AAATACTTACAGATACATAGAACATTTCACCATTCCTCAAATAACCCCTCTCAAAATCCGTCGTGAAATTTTTCGATGCACCAAGATTGGTGATCAAACTTCTACAGTCACCGTTCACCAACACCAAACATTTTGCCGTTTCACCGTTTTCGACTACTTGAAAGTGAGTTTTGATATTTTCCTCCACCATTTTGTCTTTGATCACATCACCAAGTTCATCATCACCAATGGCACCGAAATAGGAAACTTGGCGGTGTTTTGAGAGGCGTTTAAACATATGTAAGGTGTTTGTTATACTGCCACCGATTTTAATTGTTTTTTGTGATGATTTTAGCAATTCCAATAAGGGTTGGTGATGGTTTTCGAAACGCACTGTATTATTCGGTTCTAGATTATATTTGGTGAATATGGTTTCGTCTACTTTGATTATTATGTCCAACATTGGGGCTCCAAATGCCACAAGCATTGTTCCTGAAATTGTAGGAGTATCATAGATTTAAAACTAGGCAACCCAGAATACAGATTTTATAAATATGTGACCTTTAACCTACAAATACTATTTGGAACTATTTTCTAAACATGGGCAATAATACTGAAAAAACAGTATGTAATACGTCATGTATTTTTATTTTGTAATATTTTAAATTATAATTTTCTAAATATGGCATATTCAGAAACCACTCCTTTATTAATACAAAATGGTGAGTTTAGATATTTTTATAAATACCTCCTAATAATAACACGCAACACACAGTTTTACACAATTTTATTAAACAAAATTACCAACATTTCAAACTTAAACTACCCTAAAACTCATCTAGTCAATCTCGATGGTTCCTCCCACTTTCTCGATGGCTTCTTTCAGTTTTTCCGCCTCGTCTTTGGGAATTTCGGCTTTAACAACTGCAGGGGCACTTTCCACGAACTTTTTCGCCTGCACCAAGTTCATCCCCTCCATCAAGTTCTTCATTTCCTTGATCAACGCCACTTTCTGCTTCTCGTCGAACTTCATCAGTTTCACTGTAAATACAGACTTGACTACTTGGGGTGCGGCTTCCTCCTCCTCTTCGGCGGCGGCGCCGGGGGCGGCGAAGCCTCCCATCGGCATCATGGGGGCGTCAGGGAGATTGAGGCGTTTTTTGAGGAGCGTGCTCAATTCTGAGACTTCGAGAAGGTTAAGGGCGGATATTTCTGTGCATAGTTTTTCGATTTTAGGGGAGGCGGGTTGATCGACGTTGCTGGGGGGCGGTATCGTCAGTTTTTCGGCTGGGGCGGCCGCCGTGGCTTCCGCAGATCGACTCAGGAGAGAGCTAAAATTACAACGCTTAAAGTTGATATTATACGTGGGTAAAGTAAGGCTCACCTTCGCGATATGTGTCTCCATTGTTTAATGTTTGATCGCACTAATAACCGGGCGGTTTGCATTTTCAGTAATTATGTAAATTTCGGTGGAATTTTAGGTTAGACGCGTGACAGTTGACAGAATGCAGATAGAAATCTGTCTTACCGACGGTGGCGTATTCTGGGTTGCGTTATATTTTTCTGTATAAAATTAATAAATAATTTATTACGCATTTTAATAAATATAAAAAGCGTTAAATTAAAAATATTTATAGAATTTGTGGTTTCTACATTAATATTGTAAACATCTCTATAAAGTCAAACCAAAGTCATGTATTTATTTTAAAAATGCGAACCTATAAATACGAGGTGCGTTCAGAAAATATGGGGAATTTTCGTTTTTGAAAGAAATATTTATTTATACGTCTACATTAATGTTGTCCCCTTTAAAATATTATGCACATGTGCCAGCTCTTCTTCCAATACTCGAAACACTTTTAAAACTCGATCTTTGGGATAGCCTTTAGTTCTTTCAGCGATGCGCTTTTAATGTCATCTATGCTTGCAAAACGACGGCCCTTTAAGGTTCTCTTTATTTTTGGGAATAGGAAAAAGTCAGACAGAGGCATGTCTGGCGAATATGGAGGGTGGGGCATCATTACAGTATTGTTTTTGGCCAAAAATTTTGTTTAAAATTTACCAATTTTAGAACAAATTTTGCTGCCACGCGTTTCATACCCAAAACATTCGAAAAAATTTCATGGGATGAGCCAATCGATATTCCAACATCATCAGCGACTTCTCTGATGGTTTATAACCATTTCTTCCACTTTTTTCATGTTTTTATCGGTTGTTAATGTACTTGTGCGTTCGGGGGTTCGTAATCTTCAACGTCTTCACGGCCATCTTGGAAACTCTTATACCACTTCTGTGGGTAAAAGGCATAAGGGGATAAGTCAAAAAAAGCAATTTTTCAGTAGAGCCTTAAACGTATTCGCATTAATTCAGGAAACATATTTATGGTTAGCGGGTATACCCTTTTGTTAGCCCATGTCATATGCTAACAAAAGAGTATACCCGCTAAACATAAATATATTTCCTGAATTAATGCGAACACGTTAAAGGCTCTATTGAAAAATTGCTTTTTTTGACTTATCCCCTTATGCCTTTTACCCACAGACTTGTAAACTCTTGTTTTACTTATAGCAGACTCACTATAGGCCTTTGCAGAGCTGCAACAAGTCAGTTTTAAAAAGACTTAAATCTTAAGTCAATTCTAAAATCAAAATGATTTAAATCTTAAGTCAATTCTAAGATAAAGTTCAAATGATTTAAGTATTAAGTCTTTGAATTAAATCATTTTCTTTCAAGTCAAGTCATTTTCGCAAATTCTTAAATCAATATACTTAAAGTGATTTAAGTCATCTTATGACTTAATTCCTTTATATATATATTTTTATACTATAGTAAGTCGTTTTTATGACTTAAGTCTATATTTTTTATTTAAATCGGGATCTAAGAGTTAAGTCAATAAAATGACTTAAATCAAAAATTGTGATTTAAATCAAAATAATTACCCTCAATACAACGATTTTTTAAATGTTAATAATAATTTTATGGTATTAATGATATTATTAATCTATTGTAGATACAGATGATAATAAACCACTATGTTAAGAATTTAAAACGATTTATTTTCAGAACACTTTAGTAGAGTAGACATACAGGGAGGCTACTTTTTTATATACATAAATGGGTAACTTCTAAACGGTAATAGATTCAAACTCTGTTAAAATAGATAAAAGTTGAAGCATTTTTCTTAAAATCGCTGTATTTCAAAAACTGATAACTTGTTGTTTTGATAACTTTTGTTAGCTGGTTCAACATCCATCTAGAAAAAAAATATTCCTCCCTTAAGGATGTAATGATGGGAAGTTCCAAACTCTCGATTCACGACCGCTCGAGATGTACGACTGCTCACGACCGCTCACGACTACACCCGATTCACGATTATTTACGATTTACGACCAATCACAACTGTAATAATTCAAGACTACTCACGTTCACGCACAATCACGTTTGAATAATTTTATTCACGCGCAATCACGTTTTTTTGTCGTAATTACTTACTTAAACAAACCGAAACACCCTGTATGATATAAATACGTCTTTATAATATTTATTCGTCCTTACAAGTTAATCGTTTGTTTCCACTTTGCACTAATAATCACCAATTAGACCTAACTTCGCACAACACGACGAATGTTGGCAAACAAAATTATAAATCCCCACTTTTTTTAATTCATTTTGGACAGGACATTTTTTAATGTAGCCGTCAAACGGTTCCGAAAAGCTAACTTTAAATATATGAAAAATCTGACTTAAATATTTTCTAAAAAGACTTAAATCTTTTTCAAAAAGACTTAAATCTTTTTTTGACTTAAATTGTTTCTATCTGACTTAAATCGTTTGTACTGATTTAAGCCTTTTATTAATGACTTAAGTTTTTTCTGTTTTGAAAAAAATATTTAAGTCACAAATCATTTTGAAAATTCCTTAAATTTTAAGTCTTAAGTCAGTTTTAGAGAAATGACTTATTACCAAATGACTTAAGTCATTAAAACGATTTAAATCAAAAAAACGATTTAAGTTTTCTGAGAGCTTGCAGCTCTGGGCCTTTGTTTACATTTCACAGAATTTATTTCATTTTTTATGCAAAATTGGAATTTAAATTCTTTGATCCACTTCTTTTAACGAACGAAAAATCGCCGAGCTCATAAAACACGTCTAACCTTAGCGGCTGCCACAGACAAAGTAAACAATGAAAACAGCTAAAGTTTTTATCATACTTCGGGGGCATGTATACCAACATAATAAAGAAAATTTTTTGACAACCGGACCCTCCGAAGCCGCGAAATTTAACAATTCCCGTTATTTTCTGAACACACCTCGTACTTAAGCGATAACAGAGGCGATAATTTGAGTGCGTATTTGCAGTAATAAGTAATATTATTTTTATTATTTATTGAAATAAAGTACCCTTAGTTCAAGAATCTTGACTTCTGACTCAAGATGCATCTAAAATTTCTATCAAGAGTAGGTACTTGATATTTATGAAAGTTTGATATAAGAAATTAGACAAGAAAATAATATTAGTACCCCAATGCTATGAGTTCGTGGTAGGTCTAGACTAGACCGACTAGTGATATTGTGCATTATAAAAAATGGATAAACATTTAATTACCACAAGTTTTAAAGGTAATGTATTCTAGGATATTTTAATTACAAAAAATTTTGGTATAGTAAAATAGTATTCTTTGACATAACATACAGTGACCTGTAATTACAGTTAGCTACACTGATTTTGAGCTAAATGGGATAGATGGAAGCACTCTTCCTATGTAATTTCAATGTGGCAGACTTTTTATTCTTAAAATATAAAAGATTCCACAGAAGTATTTAATTCTAAATTAGGTAAGTACTTAAATAAATTGGGAGACGTTACAAAAAATGGTAATGACACTTAAACTGTTATTATTAATTCAATTAAATATTTTTAGAAAACAAATAAAATAAATTAAGGATGTAACCTTAATCTTTTTTTGTTTGTTCAATGATGATCGCGATTTAAAAAGTGAAACAAATCGTAAAATATGTACAGTACTATTTTGTTGCTCGAACGATTCGGTTGTTGTGTGACCCCTTTGAACTCAAAAAGATAGGGTTTCATGTTTTAAAATGTGTTTGTGAAGAGTTTACAGTGGGAAAAATGGTTAAAGGTAATAGTTAACGCTGTAAATAATAATAATGGTTTTAATATTATTTTTTGCGCAATTGTGTTTTTTTGTCACCAACTGTCGTTCTTTAGTAAAATTTTGATTTTTATACGAATGTTTTTTTCTAAAGTAAATAAAAATCCAAATTTTTTCAGGGGAAATTTTATCACAAGTAGTATTCAGCAAGACTATTTCACGAATATTTTTTTAAATTAGAATTAACTGCCAATTTCTGTATGATTTTTTTGACCAAATGCATATTTTTTGACATTATATAAACGTCAACATTGACAATTATTTTTCGCATAGCAAGCAATCGTATACACGAGTGTTTTTTCACCTAATTAGTAGTTGGTTGGTCACTTTAGTTATTGGGTAATATGGTTTATCAAACTAATTAATAATTATTCTGTAAGCACAATTATAAATCTTCTTATGGCATAAAAAAATTGTATTCAAAGCCTATAAATTGTATAGGTATAAATGCATTACGAAGAAATATTACAAAACATTTATAATATTATCATATTGAAAAAATATTACAAAACTAAACCATTTAAATAAGGTAAATGTTCCTATTATTCCTTTAAGTTGCAAAAACTCTTTGATTTGATTTGAACAAAATTTTAAAAAATTCCATAATGTTCATATTTTGTTCTATACTTAATTAAAAAATATTATATCAAAATATTACGCAAATTAAGTACCTATAGGTAGTATACTCAGTATACTGAGCTATTTAAACAGGTAGATCTACATTAATAAGGTTTAATCTTGATGAATTAAGTGTCCTTCATTGATATAATTGTAAACAAACTTTTTGGGATTAAATTGATTACATGTCTATAAAAATAAAGATAAGTTAAATCTCAAAAATTGCGCACTCACGTAATTACTATATTACTATACCTATATATATAATTTTTGCAATACCTATAATAGGTATTGCAAAAAATTTAAGTCAAATATCATGAAAAACATATACAACAGCTATAGCTTATTTTATAAATACTTCTGTATTTTTATTATTATTATTATTAATTTTAAATTTAAAATATAAATTTAAAAACTACAGTAAGTTTTGAACTGTCAACGAAATTGGTTATGTTTGTGTTTTTTACTCATTTAAAGTCGTTTTTTCGCGTAAATACTATGTAATACTACGGTTAAATAAGTCATGACGTCACAGTTAATTCATATAACCATGGTTAGGTTTCTAACATTTGACATTTGTTTACTTGTTCATAACCTATAATTTTTGAAATGTGTTTTTACCTATTTATAATTAATTTCTATGCTTTTACCGGTGTAAATAAATTTCTTTTTATTCCTAGTATATTCTTTTTCTATAGGTACTAGTTTTTTTAATACACGTTATCCAATTCTCCTACATGTTTAATACAAAATAAGGAAGAATATAAAAAAACCTGCATATAATTCCTCCACTTGTGGAGATTCACAATATGGAGCACCCTATCATTTATTTTTACTGACAACACCCCGTTTACCATTTTAATACAAAGTTTAAATTCGGTTTAAGAGCAATTGTACCTATAGGTATACTTAAAATATTTTAAATTTCAAATGTAAACAACTTCTTGACAGATCGAAACAGAGAAAAATATATATTAAAAAGAGAAAGACTATTAACCACGTTGAATAACTAGCTCAGCGATATAGTTTTATGGTCTGGTATTTGTGACGTCATAGTTAGGATTTTTGAACGCACTCTAAACGCAAAAATGCCTTAACTATTAACCACGGTTAAGTTTAATAACCATAGTATTTCATGGTATTTACGCGAAAAAACGACTTAAGTTTAACAAAATTGACATGTCTTTAAAACGCTAAAAAATTAGGCAACCAGTCGTATTATGACAGTCTGTGTGCTACGATTTATCCTAATTTTAATGATTTGCATATTTCTATTTGCACCTTATCGCAAAAATGCAAATAAAGACATTAATTAGAAACACTTTAAGCATTTTAAAATATTGACTTTGTTGAGGTATTAATTAGATAAGCTCCTTATATTATTTTTGGGGATTAACCATAGATCAAACAAACAAATAATTAAATAAAGATTACAAAATTAATTGCAATTTATTTACAATTATTTTGTTATTTTTTAATAAAACTGTAAGTGTCACAGATAGTGACGACCCAGATAATCTTTTAAATTGTTTTGACGTTTAAAAAATAGGTTATTTACCTTGGTTATGAGTAATTCCTAACATTTTATAATATTGTTTTTAAATGTAAAACATTTTTTTTGGGTACAGGCTACAAAAATTATCCCATGGTTTATGCTTATATAATACCGATGCACCCGCCTTTTTTGTAATTAAATAATTAAACCAGGGCTGTCCAACTTGAAGTGGCTCAAGGACCGCTGTGAATAAAATTGCGATTGTGAGGGCCGAATCATAAGATATAGTATTTTATGATGCGGTTGCATCTTTTGTCAACAGAAAATATTAATGTTAATGTTGGACAGCCCTGAATTAAATCAATACCAACTGATTATTTGTATTTATTTTTCAGAAAATATCGGCCGACTGGTCAGAAAAATCGATTTAAAGAAGTTTGCCAAAAGCAAACTTCCAATCGTGGAATGGCTTCCAAAATACACGGTGACATATTTACTGCACGATCTCTTGGCAGGTTTGACGGTGGGTCTCACGGAAATTCCCCAAGGAATAGCCTACGCTAAGGTGGCAGGTATTAAAATTTGGTAATCTTGGTACTTTCACTGTAAAAAAACTGCTTCTATACCGGATCTAAACGGTTGTTTGTCCATTCGCAGCAACAACTTGATTACTCCAATTTTGTATAGGAGGTGTTCAGAAAATATCTGGAATTTTCGTTTTTTGAAACAAATATTTATTTATTCGTCTTCATTAATGTTCTCGCCTTCAAAATAGTCCCCATTGGATATTATGCACATGTGCCAGCTCTTCTTCCAATACTCGAAACACTTCTAAAACTCGATCTTTGGGATAGCCTTTAGTTCTTTCAGCGATGCGCTTTTAATGTCATCTATGCTTGCAAAACGACGGCCCTTTAAGGTTCTCTTTTTTTTGGGAATAGGAAAAAGTCAGACAGAGGCATGTCTGGCGAATATGGAGGCTGGGGCATCATTACAGTGTTGTTTTTGGCCAAAAAATGTTGTTCAAAATTTAACAATTTTAGAACAAATTTTGCTGCCACGCGTTTCATACCCAAAACATTCGAAAAAATGTCATGGGATGAGCCAATCGATATACCAACATCATCAGCGACTTCTCTGATGGTTTATAAACATTTCTTCCACTTTTCCATGTTTTTATCGGTTGTTTTATCGCTTGTGCGTTCGGGGCGTTCGTCATCTTCAACGTCTTCACGGCCATCTTGGAAACTCTTATACCACTTGTAAACTCTTGTTTTACTTATAGCAGACTCACTATAGGCCTTTGTTAACATTTCACAGAAACTATTTCATTTTTTAAGCAAAATTGGATACAAATTCTTTGATCCATTTCTTTTAACGAACGAAAAATCGCCGAGCTCATAGAACACGTCTTAGCGGCTGCCACAGACAAAGTAAACAATGAAAACAGCTAAAGTTTTTATCATACTTCGGGGGCATATATACCAACATAATAAAGAAAATTTTATGACAACCGGACCCTCCGAACCCGCGAAATTTAACAATTCCCGTTATTTTCTGAACACACCTCGTAGATGGCGTTGATCAAACTTTCTGTTTTAGGTTTACCCACTGAGTATGGACTGTACAGCGGTTTTATGGGGTGTTTCATGTACTTTTTGTTCGGGACCTGTAAAGATATAAATATCGGGCCCACGGCAATCATGGCCTTGATGATACAACCGCACGTGATGGCCTTGGGGGCTGACATGGCCGTTTTGATAACTCTTCTATCAGGAGTTATAATTTTTGTGCTGGGGATTCTAAATTTGGGTTTTTTGGTGCAATTTTTCTCGTACCCTGTGATAGCCGGGTTCACGTCCGCCGCTGCCCTAAACATCGCCTCGTCGCAGATCAGCAGTCTTCTGGGTACCGGCAAAAAGTCCGAATCGTTCCTGGGAGCCTGGATGACGCTGTTCAAAAACCTTGACCTCGTCAAAAAGTGGGACACCCTCTTGGGACTGCTTACCATCGTTTTTTTGGTCGCTTTGAAGGAAATTCGCGTTTTCGGCACTCTTAACAACAGAAGCGATTGGTCCAGAAGGAGAAACGTGATTGGGAAAATCATTTTTATGGTTTCTTTGGCTAGGAACGCCATGGCGGTAGTGATAGGCATCGTTCTGGCATATTATTTGAACGATAACCTCACATATCCTTTCGCCATCACTGGTAAGAAAAAAAACCGAACCTAATGAATTGTCATATCCTTTGAGGGTATGATAGTACACGCCAAAATTATGAAATTTTCACGTGACAATAATTATTAATTGTAGAACAGGTTAATTCATTCAACAGGTGACTTGCACTATTTAATAAAGTTTGGCTTAACTCAGAAGAGCCGTTTTTTCCGTCCAATATTTTATTTGATATTTTTTTTTTGGGTCATGAATTCTTCTATGTAGCTTTTGGCGACAGCCGTTGATTTCCAGCCTCCAAGTCGCTTAACATTGGAAATTCCTTCACCAGAATCGGCTGATATGGTAGCGGAGGATCTACGAAAACTACGACCTGTGTACTCCTCAGGATTTTTAAGCTTTAGATATGCAGCTATTTGTGCAGGCATTTTACCAACTGTATTAATTCCTACACATTGGGTAGTGCATGCTCTTCTTTTATAACTGACAAAAAACCGCTTGTGTGGGGTATTTGGTTTTCGCAAATTTGAATATTTTCGAAACAGTTGTAAGTAATGACCCTTATTGATTTCATCAGATATCACAAAGATTCTTGATGAGTAATTTTTACTGATTATCAAATTTTCTTTATCTTCTATATCATCAATCTTCTCGCCTACAAGCACCAGCCAACCCAAAAATAGTGTAAAGGTAAATTCCATCTGGTGCTTCTTTAATGAATCTTGAAATGTCATCTTTCTCAAAACTGTTTTGGTCGGTATCCCACATTTTCCTTTTTTATATATGATGTTAATTTATAATATAGACTCAAATCCAAATTTTTATTAACTTTTAGAGGAAATACTTTCTTATTTTGGGGGTGTACTATCATTCTCTTAAAGGATGACAACTTATTTGGTGATACCCTGTATTAATTAACAATTTTCCCAAGGTCACGTGCAAAAAGGATTACCACCTTTCCAGTTGGCACCCTTTGAAACCAAATTCAATGGAACCACATACAAATTCTCCGATATGATCAGTAATTACGGCACCATCATCATATTTTGCCCATTGGTGGCCATCTTGGAGCACATAGCCATAGCGAAGGCTTTCTGTAAGTACAGTTCATCGAAAAAGTCTCGAAAATTTTGCGAACTTTCATTTCAGCAAAGGGCAGAACATTGGACGCAACCCAGGAGCTCATAGCTCTAGGGGTATCAAACCTGATGGGTTCCTTCGTAAGATCCATGCCTGTAACTGGTAGCTTCACCAGAACAGCTGTCAACAACTCCAGCGGTGTCAAAACTACAAGCGCTGGCATACTAACCGGCGTTATTGTTTTGTTAGCTCTGAGTTTTCTGACGTCTGCATTCTACTACATTCCCAAAGCCACGCTGGCTGCCATAGTCGTGGTGGCCATGTTTTATTTGTTCGAGTTCAAGGCGTTTGTGGTGCTGTGGAAGGCCAAAAGTAAGACTGGATTATGTTCAGAGTTGGGAAAGTTACTTCTGAAAAGTATCTAGTTACTTTTCTAAGATACTTTAAACAAAATAACTTACTTACCTCTGGTAACCAGATACTTTGAGTTAAAAGTATATTTAGTTACAAGATACTTTAACAAGTATCTATGATACTATCCGAAAGTATCTAAGATACTATATGAAAGTATCTGAGATACTTTTGAGTAACTAAGATACTTTTAGGTAACTAAGATACTTTTGCTGTAATACGGTAAACAAAAAAAAGAAAGGAACTGTTTTCAACCAAATCATATGCAGAAATGAGAATATTCAAAATACTTGCATCCATCAAAAGATCAAAACTTTTGCAATATTGAATTACACCCTCTCCATTGGACTGACCCCTTTTTCAATAATTTCTAGAGCCTCTCTGTTGAATATAGAAAATCAAAGTAATGTATCTTGTAAGACACCATTGAGTTTGACTTTTACAATAGTCGTGCATAGGTATAGAGGCGAAAAACATAAAAACAAACCACGATTCAATACAGTCATCCTATACACTTAACTCCATCACATATATTTTTAGAGCTGGACCTGTTGGTCTTCCTGGTCACCCTGATCTGTTGCCTGTTGATCAGCCTGGAATACGGCATTTTGGTGGGTATAGTATTCAACCTGACCTTCATACTGTACTCCAGTGCCAGGCCGAAGATAACAATAGAAAAGGAAGTGCACTCGCCATCGGATGTATTCATTATAACCCCAAAAACGAATCTGTACTTCACAGCCGCTGAGTATTTGAGAGAGTTGGTTCTGAAGGAGTGCGATGTCCCAAATACCGTGATCTGTATTGATGGGCATAATGTTGGTAACATGGACGCAACTGTTGCCAAAGTAAGAAAAAATAACGCCCCTAAAATTTATTACAAAAATGCTTTTAGAGTCTACACGTGTTGGTCGATGAATGCGATTTGAGGCATCAAAAAATCGTCCTGTGGAAGTTCAAACAATCCTTAATCGATGTTTGTGAAGGAATCGATGGGAGTTTAGTAAAATATTTTAAACAAGCCGACTTAAAAACTATATTAAACGGTAAGCAATTTTTTTATTATACTCTTATAAACTTAAATATTTTTTTTAGAAGTTGAATCCGAGTCGATGCCAACTGATGTAAATGCCATACAGTAATAGTTTAAGTACTTTGTACCTGATTATTTTTTTGGTTGTTTTTTTTTATCTAAACAAAACATTAAAGTGATACTTAAAATGATATCTGCAATGTACGTGAACTGATATTAATGATATTAAGATTAAATATAGGTGTATATGAGTATTAGCCACGTAGTTTTATTTTTAACCCCTATAAAAATTTTGCATCGTGTTTATTGCAACTTCATGCTCTCCTGATACTTAAGGGCGTTTAAAAGCGTTTCATGTTCAGTGTTTTTAATAACCCTTAAGTTTCTACACTTTAAAATATCATGAGGGACGTAATTTTTACGAAAGAAAATTACCTATACCTAAGTGAATTTTACCTAAAGGAAAATTTAACGGTAATTTTAACGTCAGAATTTTTACTTAATGGTAAATGTTACTCATAAGTCATAATTTTACGATATTAAGACCACTTTATAACCGTAAATAATTTCTATTCGCCTGGTAATTTTTAGGGTTATTAATGGTAATAAATACGGAAAAATAAGCTTAAAGTGAAAAATAAATAATTTAAAAAATATAGACTCTTAACTTACTATAGAAGAGTTAACAAAGTTGTAAATCATTATTCATCTACAAATCTTAAAACAGTCCCCTGGTATTTAATTAATTTGGTAAGCATTTATAGGTTTTATCACAGACGAGTTTTATAAAAATAAAGCAGGGCTGCAACTAAAATCAAAACTTAAGATTGGCGGGAATTATTTTTAGGTTAGTTTTTTTTTATTTGTTATTTTTTTTAAAGCGCATTTAAAATACATATGAAAGTATTATGTACTACTTCATCAGAGAAAAAAAGTCTCATTGGTTTTTTCTTACAACTATGTCTTTAAGATATTAATTGATATATATACGTACATAAATAACTAAAATATTCTAAAAATAGCCTAAAATCGAAAAAATATGTTTTTTTACATGGCCGAAATTTTGGAAATATTCGTATTATTGAAACCTCTGAACTTTGATTTAAAATAAATGTATTAGAGTATATTTTAATAGCTACCTAGGAATTCAATATATTTCTCATAAGAAATAATTATCTTTATTAATTTTCTATGCACCTTTTAAAGGAAGTGTATAGGTATTACATAAGAAAAATGTAAGGTCAATAAAGTGATGAGAACAATTGTTTATGTAATTCAACTGCCAAGCATTGAGTTTAATTCTTAAATATCTACTACAAAATAATATTTATATTATATTTATTTCCTTAAAAAACTCAGGGTCAGTTTATTATAATTTATTAATTGATCTTCTTTCTTAAATATAAGTTTTGCATAAATAAGATATGCCTTGGGCAAAGTTTTAATACATTGAATTAAATATGTGTAAAATAAAAAATATATGCAAAAATGGCGGATGCACCGGGATAGTATACTATAGTTTTTGAAATATTAATTTACATTGTGAATTATAAATAAGCTGTGCTGTTCTCTACAAACAACATAAATTATTTATCATATAAACACTGGTTTTAATTTTGTGTTGAAGGTTTAATTTTGCTGTCAATCAGTGTACATCCTTTCACGCAAATATTTGTAGTAAATAGCTTATAAAAAATTAATTGTACATTAATTATTCTATACGTTCTTTACCATTATTTTCCTGCTGTTTAAAACCAAAATTACATGTGAACATTTGATTGAGTGTTGGATGTAAAAAAAAATAAAATCACACACAGGCAAGTGTTAATTTAATAATAAATTTAAGAATAAACGTTAATAGGAAAATTGCTATCATATGAAGGATATTTTAACTCAGTCAGTGAAATACTGTGGATACATGGTACTGCAAAAAAATTAGGTAAGTTCAATATGGAATATTCATTTACTTGTGTACCTACATATATAATTGATCACGCAATAATTAATATAATTATAACCGAATCTAATTTAATTATCAAAAAAATGCACAATAGGTATGTACTAATGTTTATAAACAAAGCATAATTTATCACCAATTACACATTTATAACTATTATTTAACGTCACATAATGCCGAAAGAATTCAATAAACTTCATTGACAGGTTGTAGCAACAATAATATGCACTGATATAAGAAATGATAATGAACGAATCGCTGAAATATTTGAAGAAAAAACTACCGATACTAGAATGGAGCCTGGACTACAACGTGGACAAAGGTCTGGCCGACTTGGTGGCCGGAGTAACAGCTGGACTAACTCTGATACCGCAGTCACTGGCGTACGCCTCACTGGCTGGACTGGAACCGCAAGTAAGTTGTGTTGAATAAACTTTTTTATTATTAGGATGTGTAATATTGTATTTTATGAAGAATCTGCAGTGCTTAAAGATCTTTAAACCCAAAAAATCCTCTCTTTCCTCTGTGACATGTTCACATTTTAGTACGGTCTGTATTCATCACTATGTGGAGGAATAACCTATACAGTATTTGGAACCGTTCCTGAACTAAACATAGCTCCCACAGCTCTACTATCTCTATTAACCTATTCCTACACCCACGATCTATCATATGACAGTCACACTGGAGCCACGTTGCTGACATTTCTGGCAGGGTTGTTGGAGTTACTGTGTGGGCTACTACACCTAGGTATTGAATGACCGAGATGTTAACATGTTACTTTTACTAACTGTCATTGTATCTTGCAGGATTTTTAGTTGACTTTGTATCCACGCCTGTGGTAGCTGGGTTCACGTCGGCAGGAGCCATAACCATAGCAACAGCACAAGTGAAAAACTTGCTGGGTTTGAAATTTACCGCTGAAAGTTTCATCGACGTTTGGAAACAAGTTGCCATGCATATATCGGAAGTGAAACTATACGATGCCCTATTGGGCTCGTCTTGCTGCGTTTTCCTGCTTCTGATGAGGGTACGGATGATTGTGTGTGATGATTTTACTTAATACGTAAAAGTGGTCCCTTTTAGAAACTCAAAGATTGCGGTGAACCTCCTCTGGAAGACCACCATGAACAATCGAAAGAATCGGTGAATGGTTGCAAAAAGTTCATATGGTTCTGTTCGGTCTCCAGAAACGCTCTTGTTGTTATATCTTCGGCTATCATGGTATATGCTTTGAACTTGCACGATATAAAGCCGTTTTCTGTAACTGGTAAGTTATGACGAAACCCAATTACCACAATATTGTACTAGAACATTAAATTAACCTTAAATAAATATAGCGTTATCGCTATTTAAAGATTTATTTCTTTTCTAATAGATATATAAACTTTTTAACTATCTAGCAGACTTGGTGTCCTAACGTCCTTAATAAGTTTAAGTTTCTCAAATCTTATTCTATGACCATCATCAAGTATATGTTGGGAACAAGCGATTTATCTGTCCTACCAAATCTAGCATGGGCCAAGAGTTCTTTGAATCTAACTTGGATCTTGACAGTTTATTTCGTAGATCCCGGACATTTCAATTTTAGAAATCTTATCTTTGGGGTTGCCCAAAAGGGTATGAAATGTGTTGCTGCTTGGACTAAAAGAAATTTTGAAGTCCAGTTTTCTAGATCTACTAGGGTGGGTTCATTGTCTCTAGCAATCTCTTTTATAAAACTGAGCTCTTTCTTGTATCTACTGTTACTTAATGGAAAGTTTATTAACCTACGAACAAGAAAGTTAAAACTAGCCTGCTTATATTGCGTGCAGTGGTTCGAGTCTAAAGTGATGTAACGTGCTTGTAGGTTTTCTGTAGATATCGAACTTGAGAGTATTGTTAGATCTAATCACTAGGGTACCTAAAAATGGTAGCTGCCCATCTTTTTCCAATTTAATAGAGGGAATACAATTACTCAATTTGGAAACAAAATCATTCAAGCTGCAAGCGTTTTGATCGAAAATAGCAAAGATATCGTCCACGTATCTTAACCAAATCCTCGGAGAAGTTCCTTCTCAAAGCGTCTTTTGAAAAGATTGGCTATAAAGTTCCCACAGCGGTTCCTTCATGTTGTTTATAGAAGCAACCGTTGACTTGCTGCATACAGGCTGATGCTAACTTCAAGTATTCAGCAACCGTCTCAATGGAAAAACTATTTTCCTTGAGTAAATCCTCTAGATAAGTCAATGTACTGAGACACTTGGAAAAAGATCTTTTCGAGAACTAACGTCAAATGTAACTAATAACTCACTGTCTTGTAGTGTAACTCCATTAAGTTTTTAACTGAAAAACTAGCTTGCTTAACAGCGAGGCTATTAAATTCATTTGTTAACCATTTGGCTAATTTTTAAGTCGGTGAACCAATGGCCGAAACTATTGTCCTCTTAGACTTTCCAATGGTCCAGAAACATCTAACCTGCGCTTCAAAGCAGGAGTAACAAGGTGGCTTGGCAAAGGGTTCTTCGATAATTAAGGTAGATAAGGTCCATTACTAATCAATTGATCCACCCTGTCATAATAATCATTTTTGTCTAACACAACGACTTAGTTGCCTTTATCTGCTTTAACAAAGAAGCAGTATTTTAATTTCAGACTCTTGACAACAGCATTTAAGGGATTATTTTTTTGTTTATGTTAATGGTTGAACTAATTGGTTAAATTTTAGCTCACGTACCACCTGGTTGGCCCAACATATCATCGCCCCCTTTTGAGGCTTTCTCTGTTCACCAGAACCGAACTCTACATGTTTTTGACATGATGAAGGAGTTGGGTTCGGGTATATTCGTGGTGCCTTTCATTGCCATTTTGGGGAACGTGGCCATAGCCAAAGCATTCTGTAAGTTGAAGACCTGTTACAGTACTGTAAATATTTTTTAATTAAAAATCGTTCTAGCCCAAGGGAAAATAGTTGACGCTTCCCAGGAAATGATAGCGGTCGGGCTGTGCAACATATTCGGCTCATTCTTCGGCTCATACCCCGTGAATGCCTCATTTTCAAGAGCAGCCGTCAGCAATGCCAGCGGTGTGAAGACACCTTTAGCTGGGGTGTACACAGGTTTCATGTTTACTCGATTAAAATATTTTTGTTGACATTTTCATTGCAGGTGCCATGGTTATTTTGGCTTTCACGTTTTTAACACCATACTTTACTTATATACCAAAAACCACCCTGTCTGCTGTGATCATATGCGCCGTACTGTTCATGGTGGAGGTGGCCATAACCAAAATGATTTGGAAAATAAACAGTAAGACCTTTAAGGGGATGATAGTACACGCCAAAATAAGTTTTTCACTGCAAACGAGAAAGAATTGACTGTTATCAAAGCACTTTACAGTGAATTGAAGATTTGAACCTTGTGGGAAGTATAGACTTTATTCAATGTTGTGATGGTATTGAGCACGTGAAAGTTTTTTGTAAAATGCAAAGTGAATATATTATCATACCTAATGTTTTACTGGTTATTGCATTTCTTATGATCACATGACAATTATTAATTTATTTTCAACAAAATTAATTATTATAAAAAACAGCACCCACACCGTATATGACGTCACTTCCGTCTCGTGTCGTTTTTCTGGGTTTATTAATTACTCTCTTGAATCTTGAAACGTTCTCTTCCACTTAATCTTTGATTTTGAATCCTCGACTCATTTGACATTTAAGGCCTTTCAGGTTATGTATCTGTCAAAGTACAGTCAACGAAAGAAATCATATTTATATGTTTACCGCTTATGTTTAAGTGTTAAAAATTAATAAATCTTTATAGTATCACAATATTTCGACAAAATTATTATACAAAAACAGGGCCCACACCGTCACTTCCGTCTCGTGTCGTTTTTTCTATGTTTATTAATTACTATCTATCTTAAAACGTTCCACTCTTCCACTTAATCTTCGAATTTGATCCCTTGACTCAAGTAGAGAGCATACAATATTCATTTTTACATAGCTCAAATACCTACACGTAAGGAAGAATGAATAACATTCATCAGCAAAAGATTTGAACGCTTGACTCAGGTATAGAAATCAGAACATACATCAACTTTGACTGTGAATACTTCAGAGAGGTATTGAGAAGTATTCAGCACCTTGAATTCCCAGGTAGCACACTGACGTTTGCTGACGTTTATATGACGTCTTCGCAACGTCATTTAAACGTCATATAAACGTCAGCAGACGTCAGTGTGCTACCTGGGTTATCTATACCGGATTTCTATTCACCACAAAATATTCAATGACTATGGCGTGTACTACATCCCCCCAAATTATGACAATTTAATAGGTAACACCCTGTACTAATTTTCAGAAATCGACCTAATACCATTTCTCCTCACTCTAATTTCATGCTTGCTGTTGGGAATTGAAACTGGCATTCTGATTGGAGTAACTGTTGACATTGTAATGTTACTGTACTCTATAGCCAGGCCAAAAGTGCTTTTCGAAAAAATTCAGGTGAAAAAAAAATTGAATTTTTTTAAGGTTGATGAACGAAATTTTTTTTACAGATATCTCAAGACAAGGTATACTTAAAAGTGACCCCGACCAGTTCAATATTTTTCCCTTCAGCCCAATACTTGAGGGAAAATATATTAAAGACAAACATCGAAGAAGGAACAAATACCAACATAATTGTGCTGGATTGTCACAGAATAACAAGGCTTGATTTTACAGGAGGAAAGGTACAATTTTAAAAAGTGGCAAATTCCGTGGACATTTTTAAATTTTACTTCTTTAGTGTCTGGGTGATTTGGTGAAAGACCTAAAGAAAAAAGGGAAATTCGTAATATTTTTACTCCCCTTAAAAAACATGGAGAACACGATAAGGGTAACATGTGACCCCACAATTCCCATAGTCCATTCCGATAGCGAAGTGAAAAGTCTACTCGAAGGTAAGAAAATTGAAATAAATAAATATACATACCTCAAATTGAGTAATCTTTGGGTGAAAATAACTTTACTTTTCATGAAATACAAAAACATACCTAATCAATTATAATCTTATAAGATCGAAAATTAATCCGGCGACGTTGGCACCCCTGAAAATTCATTTACTGAGCTGCGACGTTGCCGGACTTCCGTTTGTATTGATTTTCTGACAGGTAAACATAACCTTAAACGGTGCAGGCACTCGACACACACAAAAAACAAACCGAAACTAATGAATGGTATAAATTAATAGATAATGCCTCATTACAGGTAAAATAGAAGCAAATAAATTCCTACACGGGTTTTTCAAAAGCAACCTGGAAGAAGTAACCACCAATCTATGATAGAAGAAGTAACCAAGGGGTGTAAATAAATGTTAAGTTAATTAATAAAAAAGATACAAAATAAATTAGTGATGCGCTTTTTTGAAGTTTTTTTAATTCATTGTGCCCAGTGAAACTCAAATAATAGGTAAGTCAAGCCTTTGTTTTGTATGTACAGGGTGGGCTATGATTTCATATTTTTTTAAACAGCATAAAAATAATACCTAGATTGTATAATTCTCTATAATTTGTATGTCATTGATTATGTTTATACATCTACAAATGAAGCGTGAAATAATGTTTTTGCTAGAATTATTACACAATTATTCTTTTGTCCATAAAGTATTTTTTTTTTAATTTAACTATATATTTGTTCCTTGATATAGGTTATATTTGACGGTAGACTAAGCAGAAATAAGCGCACTAATAACAACAAATTATTTTTTGTTTTATCAAGGTTATTTTGCGACGTATAGAGTACTATTAGAATTTATAAAGTAGGAAATATTATAATTCAAACAATTTTTATCACACTAAAGACAATTTTTAAATTTATAATGGGTAACCAGAATATTTTATTAAATAGGAAATTATATCCTGTAATTTATTCATAACATTATATAGGTACCTATACAATGTATAGTATACATACGTACTGGATATAGTTTCAAGGGCATATTCGTCAAAACGTTGTTTTTGAAAAAACTAAAATAAATAGTTTAACTGGGTCATTCATTGTAAGGACTTTAAGTTATTTTAATAATAATGATAATATGTAATTTTTACCTTATGAAAATCAAGGTGTATAAATTACCTATTTATTTACATACTAAAATAGATATGTATTCACTCTAAATAAAATACTTTAGTATTTGTGTCCTATCTTTTTTGGTTTTTGTCTATAGACGTAATAATTGCTCATTTAAAAATAATTATTTTTAGTAATGCAAAACAAACCAAATCAGCTAAAATAAAAACACTTTATGGTAATCTCCTAATTATTTTTTTGTTATCTATTTAATTCGTTAATATTAATGAATTCACCTTTAAAAATATGTTTATATTGACGATGTCATTAAAAAAACAAAATTAAAGTAAAATTATAAGCAAATATATACTTAGGTACAAAATTTGCTGTAAATATTAAATAATTATTTTTACCTAATTTGCTTCCATAATGATTTTTATTTTATTGGTTGGCATAATATTTAGCATATTGGTTACAATATTTTTATGATTTTTCTAGTACTTACGAGACTTTTCTGGTAATAAATTTTGTTTAAGACCAAAGGAAATCCTTTTTTTCTTCTTTAACATTAACAGCCGCTTATTGTAAATAAGTAAATTAAGGACGGCATGGCGAATCAATTTTGACATTAACTGTCAAACCAATGAATGTGATACCAACTATATAAAGTAAAATTGAACCAAATTAAATTTAAGGTATAAAATTAATTTTTTATAGAATTTTTGCAAAATAGATAAAATAGCATAAAGAACTCATGTCGTAAGACCTTTTGTCGCACTCGTCCATATAAATTGTCCGCGTGCGACAAAATGACGTCTTATGACATTAGTTCTTTAAAGTACCAATATTTAATATAGTATACAGGGTGTAACGATAGGTTGTCAAAAAACAGGTAGAAGAATTTCTCAAAATATTAAAAAACCTTTACCTTTATTACAAAAAAAAATCAATAAATAGTACATTTACTATTGTCATAAGTAGATAATGTTGGCGTTCAACATTATAGGTTATGTACGTGAATTTATTCTACAGTGACCTGTAATTATAGTTGCCTACACTGATTTTCAGATTCACTCTAATTAAAAAGACATTTATAGCAAGAGATGTCCCCCTACCTATATCAGATTAACATTCCTTCCACTACTTTACGACTTTGAGACAAAAAACAACCAAATCGGAAGTAAACAAATAACAACCTTACAATCACAAATCTCTTATTTATAATAATTATGTTGAAATCGAAATACCTTATTATTTAAATAAACAGTATATAAATGGTGGTTTTTGAGAAGGAGGAGATATATGTATTAGTGTAACTGCAAACCAAAGATCATTCACTGTCTGTGAATCTTCGCCATTCAATCAGTCATTACCAATTTAAAGTAATTTAGTTTAGTTTAAATTAAACACAATAGCATGTGAGGATTTTTAATACTAAGTAGAACACGTTTATTTGCGCAAAGTTATGCAGAAGATGGTGAACTAAAAAAATATTTACAGTATAAGTTTTTGAATATAAACAATGTCAGTGGCTGTGTAATTTTGGAAAAGTTCGAATGTAAGTATCTGGAAGAAAAAATATTGTTTAAGATTTTTTAATTTAATTTCTTATAAATTTACCTTGTTTTTTCGAGCGTGGTATTTCTTTTTACTAAATATTATAATAATATAATTTATAAATAGAATTTTCTAAATAATTTAAACAAACATTTTTTAATATAAATATTAAAAAAATTCAACCCTCACTTATTTTAATAAACAAAAATAACTTAAAGAGTATTATTTGATATTGATAAACTATTTATAAAAATATATCATCTAGCAATTTTTAAAACATGGTGAAAGTTACAAAATTTCTCTTGCAAACCGGTGAGGATATATCTAAAATAAGAACAACAATGTGTCACATAATGGATTTTACATATAAAAAATATTTATTTGTTTATATAAAGTTCTTTTTTTTATCTGGACTGCGCAACGTTGCAAATTTAGAAGTTTGTTCAAGTTGGATTGTCAAAATTCGTAGTTAAAAATGCAACTAATTTGGCTTTGGTGGTGCGTAGATGAATAAAATCATATAAAAAAGTAGTTAAATATAGGTGACTACGGCGGTATTTATATAAAAGAAATTAAAATTTTATGTGTAATAAATATTAACGCCAATTTGACACTGTCAGAGTATTTAATTAAGGTCTTCAGCAGAAGTACCATTATATTATTGTTATTATTTTTTTTAAATAAAAAACAGTTAAAATAGAAATTTAAATGACATCTGACAACGCAGCATGGCGTCATGATAGGATAACCTCAATTATACTGTCAGTGATAGATACCTAACCTCAATTCTACTAAAGTCGGTTTCATACAGTTGCGAAATGCGAAAAATTTTTTCTTTGGTCCATTTGATTTGGCGGGAAAAGCGTTTCGACAGATCCTGCCAATTCTCAAAATTTGAAATCTTGAGATTGATCCAATATTTTTCGATAATCGCACTAATTTAGCGTGATGCGCATTCGTTTCGCATGCAAATTAATGCATTTTCTTATCACACCTACGCCATTTATGTTTAGGTATATACCTACCTAATAGCGAAATATTTCGCTTGTATCGTAGTGTTTATTTTGTTGAGTTTATTCGAACTGTTTTTAAATAAGTGTTAAAAGTTTTTTTTGAGGTACATTAATGTTTCTTTTTTTTACCTTTGTAGAGGACCATCCCCTTTTGTTGCTATTCCGTTTCCCAAATTCGCTGTTTGATGAACATACCTACATGATGTTTGAAAACATATGTTTACGAACGCTTGCCAATATTTGGTACAGTATTTAGTACAGTATCATTATCAAGCATAGTGATTGTCTTAAATTAATTAGTAATAATGAATTAATCACTTTTTCATAATTAATACCTAATTAATTATATATACAAATGATATATAATTATTTATAAATAAGAATAGGACAAATCACCAAACAAATAAAAACATTTTTTTTTGCAATATTGAAAATATTTTTATGATTTGTTTTGTTAATTATTAAAATGTATATTTTAATTATCACATACGAAAACACAAATTTTGCTTTACTAAATTATTTAATAAAATTAAATTATTTAGAAAAAACAGAAAATTAAAAAAATCTTAGTGTGACGTGAGAATTTGGGGAGATGAAGGTCAAGACTTTGACAATATATGTTACAAGGGGGCAGATTGTCTAAAAAGACTTCTTAAAACAATACATATATTGGTAGAATTAAAAATAACTTGAAAAAAATATATTTTATTAAAAAAATACAACAAATATAAAATATCAAATACCTATGTAATATTATTACACATCTAAAAACTAATCAAATTTTGTCTTCAAATGGATTTTCAAACTTTTTCGTTTAATTTTAAAATCTTTTAGGTTTTATCAATAACTTTTAAAACCTCTACACCAAAACCTTTGCTACTCATCAGAGTTTGAGTTGAACTTTCTCTTGGCCTCTCTGTTGTGGAAGGGGCCCTTCCACACAGCCTGTTTGACCTTAAATGCTGGTAAATGCAGAATTCAAAAGATGGTACTTCCTCCACCACTAACTTCCCTGTTAGGGCTAGTAATTTATCCTTAAGCCTGAATTATAGATTGCCTTCCTTCCTTCCTCCCGTAGAAAATGAACAATACGAAATTTCGTAGTGCCATTTATAGGTTCCCGTACCGTAAGGACGGCATTCCTTCCTCCCGTAGAAATTTTTAAGTTTTATCTTTCACCGTAAGGTCTTTGATATGACCAATCACAGTGCTTGTTATGGACATGCGCTGTAGGGTGACAGCGCGTAGGCACAAAATATTTAAAATACATGATTGTTTAGTATTATTTAAGATAGGTGTTCAGTTTATTAAGTTAAAAACACAATTTTAGTTTATGATCTGCGACTTTTAGGTTATAAAACTAAGATACTCTCTGTCCTAGAAACATTTATCGCTGTTCAGAAAGATTCAAGGTCAAGCCTTTGAACATAGGTGACAGATACTTAACCTCATTTCGTTATTCATGTCAGCGCTTGATGCAATGTTGTCCGATTTACATTTTATTTCGTTTCAACATTAAGTTTTTATAAAATTAAAAATCGAGATTTTTATTTTATTTCAGACTGATTAATTGTAAAAATACCAGCTTTAATATGGGCTTCAAAGAAACAAGCTGCCACTACATAAAACAAAGAATTCCTATGACAGAATGGGGTCCAAAATATAATTCAAAAAAATTTATCAGTGATGCGATTGCTGGCATTACTGTTGGTTTGACAGTTATGCCGCAGGCGTTAGCGTATGCCACATTGGGAGGACTCGAACCCCAAGTAAGTATTCTCTACGATATGGCCGCCTCTTTCGTGTGATTTGACGCTTTTAGACTTACCTTTTGCCAAAAACATTAGGACCAATAATTATAATTAACAAAAATACATTTTTAGTATGGTTTGTATTCAGCTTTCGTCGGATGTTTCGTCTACACAATATTTGGGAGCTGCAAAGACATAACGATAGGTCCGACAGCTCTGATGGCCTTGATGACGTATCAGCAAGTGATAGGCAAAAACACCGACTACGCCATACTGCTCTGTTTCTTGTCGGGGATTGTGCAGGTCCTCATGGCCGTTTTAAACCTAGGTATGCCGCACGGTTCCGCATCGGGCCCAATGCAATTAAAGATTCGTGTGTTGCAGGCGTTTTGGTGGACTTTATATCGATACCAGTGACCGTGGGGTTCACATCGGCCACTTCTGTGATCATTGGAGCTTCGCAGTTGAAAAGTTTGCTGGGAATTAAGGTGTCGTCGTCTGGATTTTTGGATACCATCAGCAAAGTGTTTCAGAATTTGGATAAAACGAGGCTATCGGATGCCTTACTTGGTTTTGGGTGCATAGTGATATTAATGCTGTTAAGGGTGAGTTTGAATACTGTATTCTGTTATATAAAAGGTCAAAAACAAAGTAGCAACATTGACAGCTGTCTGTGGTTGTCAGTTAAAATGTCTGCAAGAAGCACGCCTCGCGGTAGTAGAGACTGGAACTGGCACCATCTTATACCCCATTTGCATCCGAATGCCGAAGAAACGCGGTACATATTAGGATGCAATGTGTTTTGGAAAATAGCAGAGGGCCTTATGTGTGCCGCCGGCTATTTGCTCTGTCTGTGCGCGCACATCAATTTCTACGACAAAACTTTTTTCCTGATAACTATAGCGTGCTTCGAATGGCACCTCACCTTTTTTCTGGCCGTCACGATCGGGTTTATGTACGGCGAACGCAATCCCTTCACCAACAAGTTGACGCTGGTCGTGGGGAACTTGATGTTCATGATTGTGGGTACCGTGCAACTCTACCAGGCGCTGATACAAGAAGAAGGTCTGGGATTTAACTCTGCGGAAGATGAGGTGGTTTACACGCCCATGGATATTGTTTTGGGGTTTCTGGCCATACTCATCGGGTTAATCGAGTGTCTGGAGGTAATTCTGGGTTAATTTCAGAAACTGAAAGACCTGAAACTGCACAAAGAAGACGCCAAGCCGACGAGCAACCAGAAAATCCTCCAGTACCTGATGTGGTTGGTGTCGACGTCGAGGAACGCTTTCGTGGTCATCATTTGTTCCACCGTGGCGTATCTGTACGAAACCAACGGCACTGGTTCGCCGTTTCTTCTCACCGGAACGGTCAAACCTGGTCTTCCGGATGTCAAATTGCCGCCGTTCCATACCGTCGTCAACAACAGAACCGTCGAGTTCGGCGAAATGCTGAGCGACTTGGGAAGCAGCGTTATTTTGGTGCCGATCATTGCAGTTTTGGGAAACGTGGCCATCGCCAAAGCTTTCGGTGAGCACCCATAAGTTTAGTAAAAAACTCATAGCCAATAAACTATGTTCTAGCTTCCGGTACCATAATCGATGCAACTCAAGAACTGTTCACACTATCCATGTGTAACGTGATCGGTTCCTTCTTCTCGTCCATGCCGATAACTGGTTCCTTCTCAAGGTCAGCTGTCAACCACGCCAGTGGAGTTCAGACACCATTCGGAGGTGTAATCACGGGTAACTAATTCATTTTAAAACCTTCACGTTTGGGGTGTCCAACCAAAAATGTTTTTAGGATTGATGGTTCTTTTGGCGCTAACCTTTTTGACGCCGTATTTCGCTTTCATTCCGAAAGCCTCTCTGGCAGCCGTGATAATCAGTGCGGTAGTTTTCATGATCGAATACGAAGTGGTCAAACCGATGTGGAGGTCGAGCAAAAAAGATTTGATTTCAACATTCGCGACGTTCGTATTTTGCCTCATCATCGGAGTCGAGTATGGAATACTAGTTGGCGTTGGAATCAACATAATATTCCTGCTGTACCCGTCAGCCAGGCCTACTGTCTATGTGGAAAAAATAAAGGTATGCTTTGGAATACTCTAGATACAGATTGGGATAATAGTTTATTGTTTTTAGACTGCCGGCGACATTGAATACATGATGATCACCCCCGGCAACAGCCTGTACTTCCCCGCCGTGGATTTCATCAAAACCAGCGTCGGTAAAGCAGGTGTCGACTCGAAACATTCGCCGATTGTGGTGGATTGCCGGTTTATCTTGGGTAAATCTACTATACCGATAATCGTAATTTTTTTTTATTAAAACACGTCGTAGGTGCTGATTTTACGGCTGCCAAAGGGATATCAGCGCTGATCAGGGATTTTTCGTTGAGAAAGCAACCGCTGTACTTTTTAAACACCCGACAGGAAGTCTTGGCTGTGTTCCAAGGTGTATTGACTGAAGACTTTAAGCTTAAGCATTTTGGAAGCAAGGAGGAGTTGGAGACTTTCATAGAAGGTTTTTTATATAAAAAAAAATAAAATTTTATATTATAACTGATTTTTTAGAGCACCATAACACCCACGAGTTGGATAGACTACTAGGAGAAACTCTGGATAGACAGTTGGACGAGTTAAATGAGGTCTACACGAATGGAGATAACAAACTCAATCACAGGAAGGGGAAATTTTAGACTTTTTACCAATTTTGTAGCACTAAGTTATTTATTAAACATTTTATCTATTAATATGCTTATTATTATCACAGACTATACACATAAAAGAAAACAGGTTTACAACTTTTGGACCCAAGACGTGTTACATGTTAAAGATGAGATAGGGTTTTTGCTGGATATTTCAAGATACATTTGAGTTAAAAAAAAATGTTTTGTTTTATAAAAAGAGGGTTAAAGTTGGCAAAAATGTTGTTCTAAATACTTTTTTGTAGATATCTTGGTTATCAAGATATTACATGTTAAGGAAGAGATAGGAATTTTAGGTGGCTAATGCGATATTTGCTAAATATCTCGAGATGTATTAGAGATACAACAGTTTTGTTTTGATTGTTGAAAAGAGGGTTAAATTTGGCAAAAATTTTGTTATGGTTACTTTTTTGTAGATATTATGGTTAACAAGATATAACGCGTAAAAGTTAAGAGAGCGATATAAGGTATTACCTGGTAACTAGTGCGGTTTTTGCAGGATATCTCGAGATATATTTGAGATACAAACATTTTTTTTTGATTGTTGAAAAGAGGGTTAAATTTTGCAAAAATTTTGTTTTGGATACTTTGTTGTAGTTATTATGTTTAGCAAGATATAATGCGTAAAAGTTGAGCGAGCGATTTTAGGTGACTAGTGCGGTTTTTGCAGGATATCTCGAGATATATTAGAGATAAAATAATGGTGTTAAGATTGTTGTAAAGAGGGTTAAATTTAGAAAAAATGCTGTTATGGTTACTTTTTTGTAAATATTATGGTTAACAAGATATAAGGGGTCAAAGTTAAGCTTCAAAAACATACTGCTCAGGTCCAAACAGTGTAAAGATGTTTAAATAATTATTTACACAACAAAACTACATTATGATCTTTTTCCAACTGGTCCTCCAGATGCAGAGAGCTGACCCCTGTGGAGCAACAAATTTCGTCCAAACTGGCGCCCCCTGTCAGGGATTTTTGCAAGTCGATACTGTCTGCCTCTGCGTTCAATAAAACCGGATATTTTTGGATCCTCCTTATAATCCCCTCCAATACCCCGAATTGCACCAATTTTCTTTCGTTAATACGTAAATTTACCGGATTGTGCCGAATACACAGATCCCTTATTGTAGTTCCTCTGGTCATTGAGGCGAAAAATCGGAAAACGTCTCGTAATGTTGGCGGTTGACGTTGGGATCTGGCCACGTATTCCAGACATTTGGTCTAAAATTAACAATTTGATATTCTATTTTTGGTGACTACTGCGCTTCTTGCAGGATATCTCAAGATATATTTTAGATACGAAAATTTTGTTTAGATTTCTGGAAAGAGGGTTAAATTTGGAAAGAAAGAATGTATGGTTAATTTTTTGTAGATTGTGTGGTTAACAATAAATAATGTGTCAAAGTTAAGATAAAGATTTTAGGTGACTAGTGCGGTTTTTGCAGGATATCTCGAGATATATTTGAGATACAAAAATCTTGTTTAGATTTCTGGAAAGAGGGTTAAATTTGGCACAATAGTTTTTTGGTTACGTTTTTCTAGATTGTGTGGTTAACAATATATAATGTGTCAAAGTTAAGATAAAGATTTTAGGTGACTAGTGCGGTTTTTGCAGGATATCTCGAGAAGTATTTTAAATACGAAAATCTTGTTTACATTTCTGGAAAGAGGGTTAAATTTGGCACACTAATTTTTTGATTACTTTTTTCAAGATTGTGTGGTTAACATATTGTTAACCACATAATATATATATTATAATGTGTCAAAGTTAAGATAAAGATTTTAGGTGACTAGTGCGGTTTTTGCAGGATATCTCAAGAAGTATTTTAGATACGAAAATCTTGTTTACATTTCTGGAAAGAGGGTTAAATTTGGCAAAATATTTTTTTTACTATTTCTAGATTGTATGGTGAACAATATATAAAGTTAAGATAGATTTTAGGTTACTAGTGCGGTTTTTGCAGGATATCTCGAGATATATTTGAGATACAAACATTTTCTTTAGATTTATAGAAAGAGGGTTAAATTTGGTACAACAATTTTTTTGGTTTTTTTTGTAGATTGTGTGGTTTACAATACATAATGTGTCAAAGTTAAGATAAAGATTTTAGGAGACTAGTGCGCTTTTTGCAGGATATCTCAAATATGTTTGGATTTTTGGAAAGAGGGTTAAATTTGGCACAATAATTTGTTGGTTACTTTTTTCTAGATTGTGGGTCAAAGTTAAGATAAAGATTTTAGGTGACTAGTGCGGTTTTTGCAGGATATCTCGAGATGTATTTGAGATATGAAAATCTTGTTTGGATTTCTGGAAAGGGGGTTAAATTTGGCAGAAATATAGCCCTGGTTAGTTTTTTTTAGTTATTACGGTTAACAAGATATAACGCGTAAAAGTTGAGATAGAGATTTCAGGTGACTTGTGCTGTTTTTGCAGGATATCTCAAGATACATTTGAGATACAAACATTTTCTTTAGATTTATAGAAAGAGAGTTAAATTTGGCACAATAATTATGTTTTGTTATTTTTTTCTAAATTGTGTGGTTAACAATATATAATGTCAAAGTTAAGATAAAGATTTTAGGTGACTAGTGCGGTTTTTGCAGGATATCTCGAAATATATTTTAGATACGAAAATTTTGTTTAGATTTCTAAAAAGAGGGTTAAATTTGGCACAATAATTTTTTTGGTTACATTTTTGTACATTGTGGTTAACAATATATAATGTGTCAAAGTTAAGATAAAGATTTAAGGTGACTAGTACGGTTTTTGCAGGATTTTTCGAGATATATTTGAGATTCAAAAATCTTGTTTAGATTTCTAAAAAGAGGGTTAAATTTGGCACAATAATTTTTTTGGTTACTTTTTTCTAGATTGTGTGGTTAACAATATATAATGTGTCAAAGTTAAGATAAAGATTTTAGGTGACTAGTGCGCTTTTTGCAGGATATCTCGAGATATATTTGAGATACAAAAATGTTGTTTAGATTTTTGGAAAGAGGGTTAAATTTGGCACAATAATTTTTTTGTTAGTTTTTTGTAGATTGTGTGGTTAACAATATATAATGTGTCAAAGTTAAGATAAAGATTTTAAGTTACCAGTGCGGTTTTTGCAGGATATCTCAAGATTTATTTGAGATACAAAAGTTATATTTGGATTTCTGGAAAGAGGGTTAAATTTGGCTTAAACTATGTAATGGTTACTTTTTTTTAGTTATTCTAATAATTATTATCACCCAAATCAAAACACTTACTTGTAACTCTGCATCTTGCGCCAGTAGCTTCAGTTTAGGTGTGGTGCAGTAAATATTTCCATATTGGAACAATGGTACCAAAGCGACAACACAATAATACACCAAATTCTGCACACAAGCTTTCACCAGATTGTTTTCGACATCTGATAATAAAGCAATGCGTGCAACATGATTAAACCCATCTATGTAAGGGGTAACTTGCTGCGTTGTTAAATCCCACTGTTGAGGGGGAAGCTCCTTTATAAAAACAGGCACCTGGTGGTCGTAAACTGGGGTGGGGTCGCTTCTTATCTGACACACTTTTAGGTGTGTTGCGGTTGGGCCTTCTGTTAAAGCACATTCGCCTTTGGTGTTCAACTCTTCCAAAACTTCGCGCAGAATGGGTGGCAGTTTATCTAAAATTTTCCCTCTGGACAAAAAGCAACTCTCCACTTCCATGGCTATCAGGTAATCAGACAACTTCATTACCACAGGTTCGTAATGAACTGTTCTGGCATCGCTATCGCACACAAAGCATAAGTTGAAGTGATATGCGTTTCTAGCGTACTTATTATCATCTATCCTCACGGGGAATCCCAGAATTTTATAATCTGTTAAAGTCCTAAAAGCAATTTTTATTACCTACATTTAAAAAATATTAATATTAAGTTACACTGTGATTGTACTTCTTTGCAACTCAGCCTTGGTGATGATATAAACGCTTATACTATCGAACAACTCCTTTGAAATATAGTTTTCAGGGACCTAAAACAAATAAACACAAATAAACTATTTTGAGGTTATGAATCGCATTTCTCACCTGGCAGGATATGATGGGGCCTGCTGTGTGGTGAAACTCGCAAAAAAATATGCATCGAATCGGCCCCTCTTTCCCACTACCCTCGAATCTGTGTTTTATGTACTCTTCGCTGTTCATTTTTAAAATGTATTGTTTTGAAAAAGTGACATTTATAATTTTGACAGTTTATTGTCAAATTGGAACGCCGGCAGTGCTGCCAGAGCAGATGGTCGGATAATCCGTATATATTCGTGGAAAGGGTGGGGGGAAGCCTCGAAAAATCCGTAATATTCCGTTTTTGTCTAAATTTCGAAAAATTTCTTAAAGGGGGATTTTCGTGACAAAACATACCTTTCGTCAAAGAAAATCCGAAACATCTCAGAATTTTTCGGGGGAGTTTCAGAAGTTTGAACCTCTTCGACAGTGATATAATTCTCGTCACTTTCCATTTTTCACAAAATAAAGTATTTTATATACAGATTCGGATATATAATAAACATTGACTTTGAGATCAAAATATTGCTACAATGCAGTTCAATGCACTGAACTGGAGTCAGTATTGGTTAGTCGTTACTATTGGTGGCATTGCGCCGCTTAATTATATATTGGCAGCAATAACAACGTGTTATAAAACCTTAACAAATGATATGAAACGTTCTCGTTCTCTTTGTCACACTCAATGAAAAAGCATATGTTTCGCATATATTCGGCGTTTAAGAACCCTATATTAAGAACACATCCTTTTTCAATCCGCTTTCTTTTTCTGTCTAACGTAGTAAAAAGGAAGAGGAATAGAAGCGTGACAAAGATGATCAAAAAACGGGGCAAAAATGATGTTTTTTTAGTATTAGTATGAACCTATCTTAAAAATCCGTAAAAATCCGTATTTGATGAAAATCCGTTCAAAATCCGTTTCCAATTTCTCTAGACCTGGAAAATCCGTAAAAAACGGATAAATCCGTTCATCTGGCAGCACTGAACGCCGGTGATGCCACCTTGTGGTTGGCGTTGGTAGTAAGAGTATCAGGGCCGGGCTGGCCCCTTGTACTTGCCAGGACCGTGTTAACATTTTATGATTTTAAAAACCCATCAGCGATCTTTTGTCTGAATATTTTGAACCATTACCCATCGAGATTTTTATCACACACGTGTACTTGGTAATTTTAAATTATACGCACCTTTATTCTGATAATTCTTATTTGCAATAAACGTAATCTTTTTTGTTTAATCACCTAATCTATAAAGGTTTTTAATCAAATCTAATACCTAATTTGATATTTTGTATTTTGGCGACATGTTAAAGTAATACCCTTAACAAATTTATTTGTTATGTGCCTCCAAGTTACATTAAGTCCCCAATTATTCACATAATGTAAATTGATTTTTTACAAAATTATAGAGGGTGTCTCTGAGTTTATTCCAAAGTTTTTTTATACCTTAAAATTTTTTGAATGGAATTCGTTTAAAACCCTATATTTCAAGAAAATGTGTCTAAAACAATGACCTGTTTTTTTTTTAAATTTTACCACTGTTGTTATTTTAATACAAATTTTATTGTGTTTGTAAAAAGTATACTTTTATAAACAACACCAAATGTGTTTGTTTTTATTGAATACCTTTATAGATTAAACGATTAAACATAAAATAGGTTTATTAATAAAAGCAGATAAGAATTATCAGATAAAGGAAGTGGAAATACCACAATTTAAAATTAATAATTTGGGATTCAGTGTGATACAAATCTATAGAAATGTATCTCAAACTAATTTTCCTTATTTTTTCCTTAATCATTTTGTTAAACTCAACAAACGCTATGGATATGTTGGGGGTCGATCAAAATTACACAGACATCAATAAGGACACAAAAGAGTATTATGGCAGTGATTTGTACACTGATTTATCTTGGACTGGCCTGTATACATTCACGAAAACATTTATGAACTCCATCATGGAAACAATTGACCCAAAAGGTAAGATAATCATTAAGAAGCCGTCCTGATACAAAAAGTTCGTGTATACACTTAAATTAAAAATCGAAAGATGTACGTATAAACTTGAAAATGTAGATATATCTAGCGAATATCGATGCGGAAGTATATTTAACATAAAAAATAGAGATTTTGTATACTTCCGCATCACTTTCGCATCACTTCCGCAGCACTTCCGCATCACTTCCGCAACACTTCCGCATCCTGTAAAAAAGGTTTTAAGTATTGCTTACTTGTTGCAGATTTTTTGACGATAACCCCCGAGAAGGCCATCCAGCTGAAATCCGACGACGCGATGGAAATCGTAAAACCATTTCAGGGCGTGATCATTTTCGCGGCGTTTTTGATCGCGTTCGCCGTGCTTTTTCCCGTGGCGGGTCTGATTTACTCGTGCTGCCGTTGCTGCGGCAACTGCGGTTCGACTCCCGCGCGACGCTCGAAAGAGTCCGATCGTTGTAGTAAAATCGCTTACGGAATTATCCTGCTAGTATTGTGCGTCGGTTTGTTGTGAGTTTAATTTGGTGTTTTTTCTTTGAGAATGTTTACATTTTTTTGCAGATTTTGTGTAGTGTTCTCTTTCGGAAGCACCGAGGAACTAAACGGCAGAGTTGAAGACTTTACGGCCGATTTAAAAACCACCACAAACGATATAAGTACATTTTTTGATAATACCGTTCAGCAACTATCAAATCTTCTGGATACAAATTTCAATGAGTTTAGAAATAAAACTAATACTATTATAGAAGGTGATAATATTTGAGTTCAGGTGTGGGTAAATATGTCATATAAAATTGTATTTTAGACAACAAAGATCGAATAATTGATTTGATTGAATTCGATGATACGGATGTTAAAAATCTTAAGATATTGGATTTTTTCAAACACCTAAAAAGTATTCAAGATCTTTTTGTTATTATTTCGAATAACGTGGTTGGTATAACTAACAATATTGCTGCATTAAAAGCAAGTAGGTATTTTTATAAATATAAATTAACCCTTAAAGGATGGCGTGGGGCATTGCAGAATCATTTTTTGTAATTTTGGATTATGGTTCCAAACTCCAGCTTGATCATTGATATAAATAACAATTTTTAATTCGAAAACTTGTCGTAAAATTATAATTGTAATTTTTTTATACCTACTTAAAATAGTCCAAATACGTTCTTAAGAACTATAGTTAAGTGATTCTTATTTTACCAGATTATACAGACATCCAATTACAAATACAAGTTATTTGTGGTGAAATAGACGATCTAGCTATTTGTGATCCTTCAACAGTTTTGGTAGATTTTGATGTTAAGGATGATGAGGTAATATTATTACAGTAGATACAGCAGTCAAAAAAGTATGTGAAAAATATTTTTTCTAGATTCCTTCATTTAACACTACGGAATTGCAAAAAATTGATTTTTCCACAATTGAAGATGAAATAAATAAGATACCTGACCAAATAGCCAAAGCCAAAAATGATGCAAATCAACAGTTTGATGCAAAAATTAAAGAAGCTAATGACACATTGGACAAAGCAGGTATATAATAGTATATTTTATGATGAGCCGTAAAATATAACAGATATGACAATAATTACGGATGAATTCAACATCTGTTTTCAGCACGGTCTTGTATAAAACCGTGGTTTCTTGGTTATGTTCAGTATTCTTTAAAGTATGTATTTAAATCGAGGTAAAGTACGTACTCTGGAGATTTTAAAAATAATTTTATAAACTTTATGCCAAAATACGCCGTTAATAAGACGTAAAATAACTGTCAAAATTTATTTTTGCATATACTTCATTCGTAAATCTTGACACGTCTGTTATACCCACCAATATAACAAGTGAATTTTTATCTACTACTGTATAATATTGTTTTTTTCGTATATAATTATAAACATTATACTACTTACGCCTAGCAAGGGTAATAATGAAGTCATTATTCACGTTGTTAAGCATCAGTGATTATCCGATATCAATATTGAACAATATTTAAAATTGGTAGAAAGTGAGGTTAACCAACTGACAGATGTGAGATTTTACATATTTATTTTTGAAAATCTTTTAATTATCTATAAATAATCTGTAAACAATACATTTTTACAAATAATACCAAAAAAACATAAAACCTTAACCTCAAAACCAAAACACATCTGTCAAAAATACCATTAAGGTTAGTTCACACCAAGATTTTTTTTTGTATTGTTGCACAATATACTATCTTTTAAAAGGACGGACAATAAAACGTTAAAAATTTCAGGAACAACGGTACAAGACACAATAACAACGGTTAAAAAAACTGTTAGCGATATGAACAACCAAATAAAGAAACAAGCAGATCCGTTTTTGGACGATGCGAACAAATATATCATGGACTACATGAAGTACGTTCACGGTACGATGGTATTTTTCAGCTGCGTACTGCTAACCGTACTGGTGCTCATTACAATCGGTTACACTTGGGGAATTTTCGCCACGGTACCGAAAAATAATGCCACGTGCTCGACTAAAGCCGGGGGAAGCAAATTTTTTATATGGTAACTTGTGAAATAGTTTATAAACAACACAAACATTATTTTTTTCGCAGGGCTGTGGGTTTGATGTTTGCCTTTGCGTTTTTCATGGCCTTGATGACCCTGGTGTTTTTTGTTATCGGATTCATACCGGACAGAGTCGTGTGCGATTCGGTGGACGAGCCTGAGAAGTCGAAACTATTAACATTTTTGAACGATGCCATCGATTTCGAGCAATTTAATGTTAATGTGACTTCTATTGTCGATGTTATGAACGGTTGTAAGGACAATGACGCGATGTATTCTGTTTTTAAATTAGACAGTCAATTTAATTTGGATAATATAATAACAGAAATTGATGTTAATAGCACAATGGACAGTGTGGTTGTTGAAGTAATGAAAAGTATTCCAGAAGAATTAAAAATTATTGATAAAAAAGATTTAGAAAATCTAGAGACATTGAAAGATTTCAATATTGCCCTTGATGTAAAAGTTTTATATTCTTTTTGAATCTGCATTTACATAAATGTTTTAGTTTGATACAAGCCCACTTTACAATTCCTTACAAATAATAGATGATGGTATCAAAAAAATAAACGATTTAACTGAAAAGACAAAAGAACAGGACATAATAGACAAAATTAAGACTTGTTTAGATCAATTGACCAAAAGTAAAAAAGATTGTATTGATGACGGAATTTCTCTTCAAATTAAAACTATAACGGTCAGTTATAAATGATACAATAATTTTCAAAATGACATCAACATTTTTAGGAGAACTTGGAACCAATTAGAGAATGGACAAAAACCCTAAAAGATGAAGTAAATAAACTAAACGAAACACTAACCAATGAACAAAATAAATTAGATACTGTGATATACTTGCCTTGCCAGGGATACTTATTAGGAATGATAAACGTGATTATATTTATTATCGATTTATTAACCGTGCGACAGATCGATCTAGACTGGCTTGCAGTGCTTGCGTATTAACCTTCTTCGTCATGCATTGTTGCCAGATCTCACACCCCCGTTCTTACAATCTCCTAATATCACATTTTAATTAGTCTTTACAACATTTACATTATCTTACATTTACAACATATACATATCTTACATTTGCAATATATACATTATCTTACATTTACAATATATATACATAATCCTATATTTACAACCTATACATTAACTTGAATTATTTACTACAAAATCTCTAAACCTTTGTGGTTTTCGAATCTCACGCTTTGAACGTGAAGCTTCGGCTGTTACTAACTCAGTTCGTGTTGGACGTGCATTATCATTATTGTTTGTCTGATTGGTGTTTAGGCTAAGGTCTTGGTTTTGTGTAATGTTACACTCAGGATCTGGAAAGCTTCTTGTGGTTACTGATCTTCTTATCTTGTGGTTGTTATCTGTACATTGTTCGTTATCTTCGAGCGTGCTTGAAGCTCGTATTAGTTGTGAAATATGTCGTTTCCAAATTCTACCATCGCTTAACTTACATATGTAAATTGATCTTCCTTTCCTCTCTATTATTTTGGCTTTTGTGAATGTTCTTTTATTTTGATTTCTGTAATCCATTGCCATTACTACTTCTCCCTCTGTAAATTCTCGTATCCTTCCTCTATGGTTCTTGATCTGTCTCGCCTGCGCCTTTAAATGATTGTCTATGGGCTGTTCTTCAATAAAATCTTCTTTTACCTTCATTGTATCTAGTCTTATTCTTAGTTCTCTATTCATCATCAATTTTGCTGGTGTTTCTTTGGTCGTGCAGTGTTTAGTTGTTCTGTAGGCGAATAAATATTCGTAAATTACTGTATTAATAGATTTACCTTTATTTTTGGGATCTTTTAGTCTAATTGCAAAATTCCTTTTGAATGACTTAACTGCGTTTTCCGCTAGTCCATTCCCTGATTGATTTCCTGGGCACGATGTTAAATGTTTGATGGAGCATCTCTTAAAAAGCGTCTGTACGTTTTCTGCCATTAAACTTGTACCATTATCGCTGACTATCACTTTCGGTAAACCAAATCTACTAAATACTTCTTTTAGCCTTTCTTCTGTTTCTATCGCTGACAAATTTTTTACTGGTATAACCTCCACCCATTTAGAGAAAGAATCCACCACCACTAAGAATCTAAAGTTGTTGATTTCTCCATGGTCTACATGGATGCGTATCCACGGCCTATTTTCCACTTTCCATGGTGTTAATATATTTCTGGGTGGTGCTGCCTGGTTTTGCAAGCAGTAAATACAACTTTTACAGATTTCTTCTATGTTCATGTCAATTCCTGGCCAATATAGGTATGATCTAGCCAAACTTTTGGTCTTAACTATACCAAAATGATTTTCATGTAACTCCTTTAATAATTTATTTCTTAGTTTCTGCGGAATTACAATTTTATGTCCCCAGAGTAATATGTCGTTTTCCAGTGCTAATTCCTCCTTTCTATTTTTGTAAGGTTTAATGTTGCTTAATACTTTCTCTGGCCATTTTTCTGTCCTTATATATCGAATTACTTCTTGTAATTCCTTGTCTTGTTTTGTCTCCTCTCTTATTCTTTCATTATCAATTGGCCATTCATCTAAAACTTCAGTAAAATTAATTATATTACCATTGTCCTCTGCTGTTGTTTGTGCTAAAGGAACTCTTGATAGAAAATCGCATAAATTGTTGTCTGATCCTTTAACATGCTCAATAGTGTACTCGAAATTTGCTAAAAATGCTGCCCAACGTTGTATTCGGCTATTATACATTACTGGCAGTCTTTTATTCTCATTGAATAAACCTACTAAGGTTTTCGCGTCAGTGCGTATGGTAAACTTTCTTCCAGCCAAATATTGGTAAAATTTTTGGAGTCCAAAGTATATTGCTGCCCCTTCTTTATGCACAATTGGATAATTAAGCTCACTTTTTCCTAAGGTCCGAGATGCCATCGCAATTGGTCTCTCCATTCCGTTGATTTTATGCGATATTGTTGCTGAAATACCATAATCGGAACTGTCTGTTGTTAGGTAGATAGGTAACTTTGGATCAAAGTGTGTCAATACAATTTTTGAAGCAATAATCTTCTTCATTTCTTTGAAAGCTTCTTGATGTTTTGACTCCCACATAAATTTTTCCTTGGTTTTGATTAGTAGATCATAAATAGGTTTCATTACCATTGCAGCATTAGGGATAAAACTATGGTAATAGTTGACTAACCCCAAAATGCTTCTTACTTGGGTAATATTTTTAGGTTCAGGAGCCTTTAAGATAGCTTCTACCTTTTTATCCGATTTTTGAATACCATTTTTATCTATCTTATGCCCCAGATACTCTATCTCTTCCATGAAAAATTTGCATTTGTTTTTATTTACCGTTAATCCGGCCATTTTTAACTTTTCAATCACTTTGATCAGCGTTTTAAGATGTGTCTCATCGTCTGGGCCCGTAATTATGATGTCATCCAGAAAGTTTGCAGCATACTCAATGCCCATCAATAATTCTTCTAAATGTTTCTGAAATATGAAACTTGCCGTTTTTACTCCGAAGGCTAATCTATTTACCTGGTATAAACCCCAAGGTGTTGACCATGTTAATAACCTTTTGCTGTCATCATCCATCTCAAATTGGTTATAAGCCTTTGACATATCAAGTTTGCTAAACTTTTGTCCTCCTGAAATTTTGGCAAATAATTGCTCTTTTGTTGGCAATTCATGGTTCATATTACATAGATATTTGTTTATTGTCACCTTGTAATCTGCACATAACCTTAATGTTTTGTCTTCTTTGAGTATCGGCACCAATGGCGAAGCCCATTCACTAGTTTCTATTGCTGATATTATTCCTTGCTGTTCTAAACTTCTTAATTCATCCTCCATTTTTTTTTTGAATGCTAATGGCACTGGCCTTGGTCTCATGAAAATTGGTACAGCCTCTGATTGCATGTGTAATTTTATTTTTGACAATTTATATCTACCTATTCCTTCAAAAACCTCATTGTACTTGTTGATTACAGAGTCCACTTCTGCCTTAGTCACCATATTCATTTCCAAACCAATTCCCAATTTTAATAATGCATCTCGTCCAAGAATGCACGAACTGGCTTCTCCTATTACATACAATTTTACATTAATAACCTTATTTTTATATTTTACATTAGCATAAAAATAGCCTTTTGGTTTAAATTTAGAATTATTGAATGATTTTAAAACTATATTATCCGTACATAATTCGGTTATTTTGAAATGCTTTTTAAATAAATCTAAGTTAATAGCAGAAACTGCTGCTCCCGTGTCAGCTTGCATTATTACGTCTACATTGTTTATTTTCACATTTAAATTAAAGTCGTCAAAAGTACTTACAGCGTTTATCACGTTTTTATCACTTTCTTTTTTTTTATTATTGTCCTTTCCTACAGTTTCTCTTACGTTTCTGTCCATTTCACAATCACCATCTTCGCAGTAGAACAGTTCTTGGTGTTCGCTCTCCTCTTCAGCGTCTGATGTGTAATCCACGTAGTTGAATTTCCTCTTGTTTTGATACTTAAATCTGCATTCACCTCTGTGTCTTCTTTTACAAATCTTGCAAAATCTGACTTCGTACCTTGATTCTCCGCTGTCATCTGTCATACTAGGGTTATGTTTCATTTGACCTCCAGCTAACTTCACCGCCTTACTGCCGGCGTTGCCAAATTTTCTTTTATCGTAAGTGCTGCCACCTTGGTTATTTCTCCAACTATACTCGGTTTTTCGATAACCTAGAAATTTCCCATGTGGTTTTTTATTTACCCAATTTATTTCCGGTTCACTTCTTACTTTTTCTTTTTTCTTTGCTATTTCTACATACTTTTCGAGTGTTTCATTTGATTTTTCCTCGCACAACCTTTCGTAAATTTTCTTTTCTTTGATCCCGGTCACAAATTTGAGTTTTAACAATAATTCCAACTCTGTTCCAAAATCGCATTCGCTGGCAAGAGTACATAGTTTTGCATAGTAATCCGCTATGCTTTCACCTGGTGTTTGTTGAGCCTCTAAAAACTTTTTTCTTTCATGCCACGTGATCGCTTTACTGGCGAAATGTTCCGTGAGTAATTTGTTTAATTGTTCGAACGTTTTTGTGTTAGGATTATTGGGATAACACAAATTCCTTATTAGTTTATATGTACCAGCTCCTACTAACGATAATAGCATCGCTACTTTAACGTCGTCTTCCACACCATAGGCTTTGAAATAGTTTTTCATTCTTTCTGAATACAGGATATAATCATCCGTTTCTGCATTGAACACGTCAAACTTGTGTGTCGCCATTTTGCGTTGACCACCCGCTTGCTTTTTTGAATTTTGCCTCCTTGAGGGTTGTTTAAATAACTTATTTCTTTCGAATTCTTCTTTTCCAACTCCTATTTTTCTCTCGTCGCCATGTGATATACTTGCCTTGCCAGGGATACTTATTAGGAATGATAAACGTGATTATATTTATTATCGATTTATTAACCGTGCGACAGATCGATCTAGACTGGCTTGCAGTGCTTGCGTATTAACCTTCTTCGTCATGCATTGTTGCCAGATCTCACAGATACTAAAAAAGAAGATGTCGGAAATGTAAGTAAATATTTGATAACCGCGTAGGTACCTAAAATATATTTCAATATACAGGTAACTCAAAAATTTGTGGACGAAATTAAAAATCACGTACAAATTTACCTTAACAGGGTTACTGACAAAACAGAAACTGAATTGGGAAAATGCAAACCCTTGTACCAATCAACAAAATCCCTTTTAGTTACAGGGTGTTACAAAATCCTCAACCCCATGGTAAGTACTTGATTTTTTGCGAATCAATTGGTTTCAACGCATCAAACACAATTTCAGAACGGATTCTGGTTCACCATGTTCCTGTCTCTGTTGCTTTTCGTGCCGATCATAATCGTGTGCACCGTATTGGCAACGCTGTTTCAAAAAACCGAATCCCGTATCCAACCCGAGGGCGCGGGGTACGACAACACCGCACTAGCCTACGATTACCACGACGACCGATACGGCAACGTGGCGGCGGGGTAAGCAGCGAAACACGATACACAAAAACCGGTTATGTGACGTCACAGCATACCGGTTTTTGTGTATCGGCAACGTCGCTTTTTTAACGCGCATTTTTTAGGATGAGGAACGATCCAAACCACTGGAAAAGTTATTAAAATGGGTTTATTCGATTAAAAAAATATATATGTACAAAGTATAAAATATTGTATAAATAAAATAAAATTGTCACGCTACGGAACTGTTTTTAGAATTTGCCGCCAAATTGACGATGCTTTCTATCGCCTTTTCCCTCAGCATCAAATTTCTCGTAACTTCCTTTAATTGAGCGGTTTTTGATTCGATATCGAAATCCTTCTTTTTGATCAGCAGCTCCAACTCGTTTACTTTCTAAAAAATACGGGAAAACGTTACCGAAAATATTCAACGTTGCCAAACTTACCGTTTTTAAATCGTGTATGTTGGCGTTGGCCGTCTTGAGCGATTCTTCTTTGTTTTGGAGGTTCCTCTCCAATCGCGTGCCGTTCTCCTCGAGCTTGTTGCAGAACTGCTTCAACTTACCGTGCTGCTCCTCCAAAACGCTCTTACTTTGAGAAACGTCCTCGAATTTCTTCGAAACGTCGCTCAAACTCTCCTTCAGCTGTTTTTCCGTCGCGCTCAACTTGACGCACCGGCTTTTCTCCACCTCCAAGCGCTGCTGCAGGTTGCTGGTGATCGCCTGAAAAATATTTGACATAACGTCGCTTTTCCCCCAAACTATTCACTCACGTCGATGGCTTCCTTCTTCTTGACCGCTTCCTCGTGCGACTGCTGCGCGCGAAACAGCAGCTGGTGCAGCCGGTTCAGCTCCGCCGTCAGCTGCGCGGTGCGGTGCTGCAGATGCGTGCAGCGCTCCGAAGCTGCTTCGCAGCTTGCCATGGCTGCGCGCTCGGCGTGCGCCATGGAGTACAGCTTGTACTCGTACAGCTCCATCACGTCGGAAGTCGACAGGTTTAGCAGGTTTTTATCGTACAGCGACTGAAATTTTTGCGTTGCTCGTAATGTTTGTTGATTCAGGAAGGTTTTACATAAAAAACTTTTGTTTGTAACGTTAATAGTTCAAAAGATATATGAAAAAATCACAGCGCAAATATGTCGACATAATGCGAAGTAGTTTTAACCATATAACTTTTTTATTAATTACTGGATTAATTTAAAATAAAAACCGTTTTGTAGCCCAAACAAAACCACACAAATAGTATTAAAACATTTTTTTTGTATAGTCAATGGCTGAAAAGTAACAGGTAATCAAAACCATGCGAGTGTCAAAACTTTTATCAAAGTGCTAACGGTACTAAATCGGCCATATTTAATTTATTTTTTAATCGATTTTATTTTTGAATACATCAAATTAACCCCAATTTAATACTCTTTATAAGCGTGAAAACCAAAATAACCCATCGCAAAAATTACGAAAGTTATGTTTAAAAAACTACGCAACTACGTAAAAATTGCACCGCAACTTTAAAGCCATACACCCAGCAAACTATAGGTGCCACAAAAAAACACTCACAACAAAAATTGTTCGCAATTTACCCCTCTACAAGGTACTTCTCACCCGCCATCTATAACCCCGATAATAACCCTGCAAAACTCACTTTTAGCTTCTTGAGTTTGCCGTCCAAAGTCTCCTTTTCATGGTGCGAGAAATTCGGTTCGATCCTGGGTTTTTTGCTGACGTGTTCGCCGGGCGCGTTCACCAAAACCATGGGTTGTAAATTGCCCATGGCTCGGGCGACGGTGTCCGCGGGAAAATTCGGCAGGGCAGACATTTTCATTACTTCTTTTCGGACTTCGAACGGACTGCAGTAAAGCGCTTGAGCGAGAACCATATGAACCTCCCTGTGGTAAAGAAAATGTATTTTTTTTTCGAGAAAAGTGATAAAATACTGATTACCTGTTTTGCATTAATCTGGTTTGTTTTTTGGCCCAGTCGGGGTCGTATTTGGCCAGCATATTCACCAGAGATAACCCGTAGACGTACAGGTTGATGGATTCGGTGTTTTCCACCGATTCCATCGACTTATACGAGTGTGATTTCGTTTTGCTCACATCTCCAGCCCCCTCTTCGCCTGTTAGGGGCAAAAATACTTTCCCTATGGACTCAGGGTTTATGTCTTTTAACACCTTGTCCCGTAAGGAGTCAACCTTCAGCATGGCTTCTAATAATTGCAGTAGAGCCACCAGTTTTTTGTTGTGTTCGTTATTTGACGGAATATTTCCTTGCAGAGTGTTTAGCGATAGTAAATATACGGGCAGGCCGGCTATAAGCGGTTCCAAAATCACATTATCATGATTTTGGGTGTTTACGGCAATACTTTTAAGTATATTTAAAGCTTGCGACGACACATGATCGTTTTGAATCCACTTTAAAGTGACTGCAATAAATTTGGGCCTCAATTCATCCAAGTAAGGTAATTTTCTTTCGAGTAGACCCAAAAAAAATTCAAACACTATTCCGAGACATTCAGGTTCGATGCTATTATTCTCTATTATTTCCAGCAAGTTCTTTAACTCTTCTGCATTGTTATTAAAAGTGTAAGAAGCACAGGACTCTTGTTTTAAGGTGTCCAAAAAAAATTCCACCATTTGTCGCAAAAAAATCGGGTCTTTTGATTTGATGTTTTCCTCTACACCTTTAAAGGTACAATCCACTAATCTTATGAAAATGTCTTTGGGAAACACACTTTTGGTATAGTCCAGAATTACTAAAAGTTTGCATACCAATAGTTCTATAACTGAACCCTAAAATATTGAAAATAACATTTTTATTCAAAACATATGTTAATATAATGTTTTAGTAATTTTTTTTATCTGAACTGCGGCAACGTTGCAAATTTAGGGGTTTGGTTGGTAAATACGGAACCAAAATTGGTAGCATTGATTAAAACCAACTAAACCATAGTTATAAATATAATTGTGGTTATGTTTATGAGTAAAATCATATAAAAAAGTAGTTAAATATAGGTGACTATGGCCCAGGAGAGACAAAGTATTCCTAGTTATATAGAATAAATTAAAATTTTATGTGAACACATGTGAATGTTGTCCAATCATTGGACAATTAACTACTAGATTTTTCACAAAACGGTTGAACCTAACAGCAAATAATGTTTATTTTTTGTTTTTTTATTTCCCCATATTTTTTTAAATTTCAAAAGTTTTTGAACATTTTACTCTAATGTAAAAAATAAACTTTATTCTATCAGGGCTGTCATAAAACTGTCAAATGTCAATTTTAAGGTTAAATTATAACCCACAAATAAACCTTCAAATTGTCATTTGACAGCCCTGATAGAATAAGGTATATTTATTATAAAAGAGGAGTAAAATGGTTGTCCTTAGCACTTTAAGGCCTTATTTGAGGCTTACAAGTGCCTCTGTAAGAAACACAACGTTTAAAACAATTATTAAACAGCACAAACCCAAGGCACAAAAATTGTAAACAACAAAAATGGCCGCCGTTAAACTCTGTGCAGTGTTGCAGTGATTTTTAGTATTTTTAGCATGAAATAGAACAGACCTTGCTGTGTGGATTGTGAGCAGAAGTACCATTTTTAAAATACTTGATCAAACTGGCATAAACTACCAACTTAATAAAAAACACCAAATAAAAAAAAAATGAACTGGGAAAATATTGAGGTTAAACATGTCTGGCAGATGTTGTGTGTACTAACCTTTAATGGCATACAAATCCGTATGAGTTGCTGAATATCAACCTCCCTGGTTAAGGTATAAATAGCAGGCACATTTTGATAGCAAACATTTACGAGAACACCCAAAGATAACGTAACGATTTTTTCTGAACCACTTTCAATCCACTTTGTAAGAGTTTTGAATAGGTGCGGCAGATGTGGAATTTCCCATGATATTTTAATTCCACACGATAGCTCCTTAAAAATCGTATTTTTGTATGTTATTTTCTATATGTTGTGACCTACATACCTGCATCAGACGTAAAACGCCAATTTTCTTCTCCACCGTCAGCTGATCGCTCAATAGTCTCGTCAGAGACGGTAAAAAATGGTAAGTATTTATCAAAACACACCTAGCCGAAGCATTTCGACAACAATTACTTAAAACATCCACACAGTACCAAGCTAGGGGTGATTTCGCTTCAACACTCTTCAATAATTCATACAAACTCATGTAAAACTGTGCGGCGACATTCGTGTGAGGATCAAAAACACTCAAATCTATCGTCACACTCAATACTTGCAAATTTCTGCTAATAACGCTTGCTGTGTCCTCGGAGCTGATTTTCAGGTGCTGATCTATCGCCTCGATTAACTTTTTCACGTTCTCCATGTTCATTTAATGCACTTATATTGATAAAATTAATAATAAACACCATAGATAACACGAAAAAATAACGTAAACACGATGTTTGTTTGGATTTTTAACGTCTCCTGGAGACGTGCGTTCAAAATGCTGTCGAATGTCAAAATTGCAGTGTGTTGCAAACTTTGTTGACAGATGGCGCCAGCTAAAATCGATGTAAATATGGATATTTCTGATAACCACGGTCTTATATTATAAAACAATTTAAAGCAAATGTAGTTTTAGGGCTTGTTTTACCATGTTCATTTAATTTTATTGGGTTTAAACGTTTTTATCAAAATGTATAACTTCTTGCTTTGACAGTTGTAACATAGGTGGCACCACTATTCTAAACTAAAACTTTCAATTTATATCGAAAATGTTTTTTAAACCCAACAAGCGATTGTTTTATTTACAAATAAAATTGAATAAAAATAAAACTGTTTTATGGCTAATTTAACAAAATAAATAAAACAATGACAAAATTGGAGCCTAATTTATTGAAAATAATCCAAACATTTAAAAAATTTCCATGAACGTCAAAATTTAATGATAGCTCAAACTTCAAATTTTGACAGTTGAAACGTCAAAATTTGACATTTGTTGTTAGATTTTGATTATATTTTAAGTGTAAATTGATAAAATGGGATAAAAAACTGAAATTAATTAAAAGAAAATGTACTTTAGTTGTTTTACCATTTTAATTTAATTTTATTGGGTTTTAACGTGTTTTACGAATGGTTAACTTCTTGATTTGACAGTTTGGACATAGGTGGCACCACAATCGTAATTTTAATTTCAAAAATAAAACTACCAATTTATATTGAAAATATATGTTTATTAAACATTTTAAAGCTATATATAATTGTTTTATTCACAAAAAACATCGAAAAAAATATTAACATAATAAGCAACCATAGTTAGAATGGTTTAACAAAACTTCTTTATACCTAATTTAACAAAATAAATAAAACTCGAAAAACGCGTCCATTGTAAACAACGAAAAAATTAGAGCTCAATTTAAATACACCTTAAAAATAATCCAAACACCTTTGAACGTCAAAATTTATTATTGACAGATTAAACGTCAAATTTTGACAGTCGAAACGTCAAATTTTGACATTTGCGCACAAACTACTGAACTCTATCGATTGGACGCGTTTAAAAAACTAAAACTAAGAGATTTTCTTTGTTTCAAAGAATTTCACAATCAACATTTAATTCTTATCTGGAAAAAAAACGGACATTAATAAATAATATTGCAGAAAAAACGTGAGGTCCTCGGGATTTTTTTTTATTTTTTTTTTTTACTTTACTTCCTCTATGCAAACCGTATTGGATAGGGAGAAAGTCTCCTTGGTTCTTACTTGATCGTAGACTCCGTTGACCAGCTCCTTGTAGACCATGGGATTGACGTTCTTGCCGATGTTGTACATGACGAAGAAATCCCCGAAGGAGAGCGACTTGACGATCATGGTCGCCTTTTTTTTGCCGATGCTCCTGACCTGCCCCATGTGCATGTAGACCCTGACGGCGGGCACGATCATGAACAGCAGTCTGTAAAGCACGGCAACAGCGCTTATTGCCAGCAGGATGTACAGCCAGAACCACAAAATGAGGAACAGCTTCTCGTTTAGGATGTTCAGGGGGAGCACGCATAGGGCGTCGTGGTTCTGCATGCTGCCCGAAGGGCCGTATTTGTAGTACGTGCATTTTGCCAGCGTCGGAAAAATCACGGACATGTTGTTTTGTTTGTTCTGCAGGACGTTTATTCCGTACATGAAGAATTGGCCCATCAAAAACCAATTCAGAAAATATATCTGGCCAAGCTACAACACAAACATGTTGAATTTTTTTTATTGTGTATTCTCAAATATTCTTTTTCGGTTTTTGACATTCCAGACATTTTAAAATTTAAACAAATTTGACATTTTAGAATGCAAAACATTCAAAAATTGTTTTTGATATTTCAAATTCTGTTTTTGATGTTTTAGAATGTGGTTTAGACATTTTGATTCTTGATGATTTAATTGTGTTTGAGATTCTACATGTGTGTTTTTGACATTCTAAAATTTTGTTTTTGGGATTTAAAAAAAAAATGTTTTTGACATTTTAAATTTAATTTTCAACAATATGGTGTCTTCTTGATATTTAATTGTTTTACTTTCTAAATCCTGTTTAGGCATTTACCTTGTTAGACATTCTAAATATGTTATTGACTTTTTTTTACATGTTTGACATTTTAAATTATATCTTAAGGCATTTTTAAATGAATTTGGCATTCTAGAATGTGGTTTAGATATTTTATAATGCATATGACATTTAATTTTTTTTTAGATATTTTTAAATGTAGAGACTTTTTTACATTTTTAAATAACTTGGTAATTCTAAAATTTAGTATTTGACATTTCAAATTATATTCTAGAATGTGGTTTAGAGATTTTGACGTTTAAAAATTGTTTTTGACATTTTAAATTTAACATTTTTAAATGTGGTTAAAAGACTTTTAAGTAAGTTTTTTGAATTTTTAAATAAGATTTAGATTAAATGAGATTTTAAAATTTTTAAGTGTTTGACATTATAGAATGTGGTTTAGATATTTTATAATGCATGAGATTCAAAAATTGTTTTTGACATTTTTTTATGTGTTTGACATTCTAAATTCCAGAGACTTTCAAGTGAGTTTTTTTACATTTTTTTACGTGTTTTTCGTGACATTCTAAATTATGTCCCAGAACGTGGTTTAGACATTTTTAAATAACTTGGAGATTTTAAAAATTAGTTTTTGACATTTTAAATTATATTCTAAGGCATTTTTAAATAATTTTTAAAATAATTTTTAAAATAACTTGGAGATTTTAAAAATTAGTTTTTGACATTTTAAATTATATTCTAAGGCATTTTTAAATAATTTTTAAAATTAGTTTTTGACATTTTAAATTATATTCTAAGGCATTTTTAAATAATTTTGACATTATAGAATGTAGATATTTTATAATAAATATGACATTCAAAAATTGTTTTTGACATTTTAATTTTTTTTAGACATTTTTAAATGTAGTTAAGAGACTTTTAAGTTAGTTTTGTACATTTTTAAATAACTTGGAGATTTTTTTTTTCCACAGCATAATAATTTATTAATAATTAAAAGACATCGAGGATTAATATATCATTATATTTTAGAATGTGGTTTAGACATTTTTTTTTTAGATTTTTAAATAAGATTTAGATTAGATGAGATTTTAAAAAATAGTGTTTGACATTATAAATTATATTTTAAGGCATCTTAAAATGAGTTTGACATTCTAGAATGTGGTTTAGATATTTTATAATGCATATGAGATTCAAAAATTGTTTTTGACAGTTTTTTATGTGTTTGACATTCTAAATTCTGGTTTTGATGTTTTAGAATGTGGTTTAGACATTTTTAAATAACTTTGAGATTTAAAATTTATTTTCAAAATTTTTTAAACGTGGAATTTTAAATTAAATTTCAACATTCTTAAATAATGTGTTTCTTTCTATATCCTGTATGGGCAGTTACATTACCTAGTGACCATTAGATATGTGTTTTTAACATTTGACTTTTTTAATTTTGATTTAGACAAATATTTTTTTACATTCTTTTACAAGTTTGACAATCTAAAATTTGGTTTTTAACAATTTTAAGTGTATTTGACATTTAAAATCTATGGCGTTTATTTTAAGACTTAAATCAACAAGTCGTCACCTGAGAATTATAGTGTTCTATCTGCATTTTCTTTTTTTTATTCAGGTTAGTCTTGTTTTAAGTCTTAAAGATGATATTGATCTATCTATATATAATTGGGGTAGAAATTGTAAAGTTTAAGGTTTAAACTGTACAATTTCTACCCCAATTATATATAGATAGAACAATATGCATCTTTAATACTTAAAACAAGACTAACCTGAATAAAAAAAAGAAAATGCAGATAGAACACGATAATTCTCAGGTGACGAAGTGTTGATTTGGAAGAATTGAGGTTTTGTAGATATTTATGGACACTATAGAATAACCAAAACAAAAAAATATTAACCTGGGTATAAAAATCACAAAACTTACCACATTAAGAAAGTTGAGCAACTCACAGACACAATATCTTAAAGCATATGCATTATGTGCATATTTTCCACCAATCAAATAAGTAACCAACTTATCTTTAGCCATATTGGTCCACAATGGCGTAATAACAGGCCCAGCTGAAAGGAATCCCTTTAATAACCCCCAAACACTGTAAAATACAACAAAAACCTACTTAAATCTTTAATGAGATGCCTCAGTCGACCACCCTCCCATATCTTCCACAAATACCTGGGCATGTAGAAAACCAACGCTTGAAAGCAAAAAATAATGCACACCCATTGGTAGTACCTGTGGTACGTCCTTGTGCTTATGTGGTTTTCGTTTCTTTGGTCAAAGTAAGTGTTTACGTCCAAACCAAGACCTCTCAGCACTTTTTCTACAAAGTTAACTTACTTAAAAACTAAGAAAGCTACACACACCAAACTTGGTGTGTTTGTCGGGATACATTATGAGATTATTGTGCTAAATTTACAGACTTGTAGCTTTATTAGTTTTTGAGATATATCGAAATATAGTATTGTAAATTTTTACCACCGTCTCTGACTGGCAGGGTGTAGGAGCCATAAATCCAGCAGAAAGTGTTGTACAGCTCCCTTTTGTTCTCCACATCGCATTCAATGGGGTCCCCGAAGTACTGTTTGCTGGTTAACAGTATGGAAAAAACTATTAACATGATAACCGTGACTTTGTAGTGCAATTTAAACACATTGTTATCCGTGTATATTTTCTCTACTTTCACTAGAGATTTAAACGAATTTAAAAAGTCGATCATTTTTACAACGTACTTTTCTATTAGATTTGCCGTGATTTGAAATTAACTTCTTCAGAACAACGTGCTCAAGAATTCTTCTACTGCGTTGTCAAGTCGCAGATGCCGGCTTTTACCGAACTATGTTTTAAGTGATTTTACTGTATTTTTTCGATATAAAACGCGAGGAAATGCCTTGCACTTTCACAGTAATATGACAGACGTCAAAATTACATTAAATTTTGCACAGGATTTTTAATTTTCGGCACGTTAAAAGTGAGTTTGGCAGCGTGGCTTTGAAAGAAGCGTGCTTGACAAAAAATGCACCAATAGTACGGCGGTTTTTTTCATCGCGATTCCGATTGGTTGGTTCTGCATGGTGATTAAAATTTGTTTTAAGAAATGTCAACAGTTAAAAATGACAATAAAACAAAATTTGTTTGTTCTGTATTTATTATTTACAGAAAATAACGATAAAAACATTGTGAATCATATAAAAACATTATACTTATTATTAATATATTTAATCAAACAATTAGGTAAGTTTTTTCAATAAAATTTTGGCCCCCTGGGTGGATTGTTTTTCAAGTAATTTCGAGTGTTTCTTTAATTTCTTTTTAAGTCCATTTTGGGTGTCTTTCGAACCGTTTTCGAACAAAATAACTAATAAAAAGCAGCCGCGGTTAAGTTTTAACCACATTTGCAACTAAAATAAACAAAATTAAACACTGTTAGGGATTAAATTGTAAAATAAAGACTCACCAGAGTATCATCAAGTTTTTCAATTAAAAATTCACCAAAAGTAGGCTCTTTAGCCTCCAAATTAACTTTATCGTGCTGCGCGAGCTTTTTTAACACCATGTGAAAACCGGCATGTTCGATACCATCAATTTCAGCATCGTTTTCCTTGATTTTCCAGTCCACATCGCAGATTACACCTACAATGCTCTTGTAGGCTTCTTTCAGATCTTCCCCTGAGCCTGATTTGACAATTATAAGCATTTGCAGGGCTAGAGATGAGGTCGTTAGCCAAAATTCGGGCTCTATTTTGACCAAATCCAACAGGGATTTCAGGGAGTATTGTAGAATCTCTTGACGGCGAATTTCTAGGGATTTTTTGCTTGTACAGGTTTCCCGGCCTGATTTTAGCTCGTTTTGGAATAATGGGTGGAAAATTGTCGCATTTGAGGGGTCAATTAAATATAAAAGTACCTAAAAATATGTTTTTCATACACATAGTATTTTGATTAAGGGAGGTGGTCTGATGAATTGTTTTTCACATTTTAAATTGTGTTTTGACATTCTAGATTGTTTTTGACATTATAAATTGTGTTTTGATATTTTAAATAGTGTTTTTAATATTTTAAATTATTTTTTTATATTTTAAATAGTGATTTTGACATTCTACATTATTTTGGACATTCTAAATTGTGTTTTTGACATTCTATATTTTTTTGGAAATTTCAAATTGTGTTTTTGACATTCTAAATAGTGTTTTAATATTTTAAATTGTGTTTAAAATATTTTAAATTATTGTTTACATTTTAAATAGTGTTTTTGACATTCTAGATTTTTTTGGATAATTCAAATTGTGTTTTTAACATTCTAGATTGTTTAAACATTCTAAAATGTTTTTTTTTAATTTTAAATTGTGTTTTTGATATTCTAGATTGTTTTAAACATTTTAAAATGTGTTTTTAAGATTTAAAATTTTAAGATTTTGGATAATTTAAATTGTGTTTCTGACTTTCTAAATTGTTTTGGACATTTCTAATAATTGTGTTTTGGACATTCTAGATTGTTTTGAACATTTGTGTTTTTGATATTTTAAATTATTTTTTACATTTTAAATTGTGTTTTTGACATTCTAGATTGTTTTGGACATTTTAAATTGTGTTTTTGACAGTCTAGATTGTTATGGACATTCTAAAATGTGTTTTTAATATTTTAAATTGCGTTTTTGACATTCTAGCTTGTTATGGACATTCCAAAATGTGTTTTCAATATTTTTAATTGTGTTTTTGACATTCTAGATTGTTTTTGATATTTTAAATTGTGTTTTTGGCATTCTAGATTTATTTGAACGTTTTAAAATGAGTTTTTAAGCTTGGACATTTCAAATTGTGTTTTTGACATTCTAGATTGTTATGGGCATTCCAAAATGTGTTTTTAATTGTTTAATTGTTTTTCACTTTCTAGATTGCTTCGGACATTTTAAATTGTCTTTGACATTTTGAAATTTGTTTTTCATATTTTAAATTATTTTTTACATTTTAAATTGTGTTTTTGGCGTTCTACATTGTTTTGAACATTTTAAATTGCGTTTTGAACATTCTAGATTGTTAAGACCATTCTAAAAAGATTTTAAATTGTCTTTTTGACATTTAAAAGTGTTTTTGACATTCTAGACTTTTTTGGACATTTCAAATTTTGTTTTTAACATTCTAGATTGGTTTGGACATTCTAAAATGTGTTTTTGATATTTTAAATTGTCTTTTTAACATTCTAGATTGTTTTGGACATTTCAAATTGTGTTTTTGACATTTCAAAATGTGTTTCTAATACTTTAAATTGTGTTTTTGACATTCTAGATTGTTTTGGACATAAATCTGTTTTTGAGATTTTAAATTTTGTTTTTGACATTCTAGATTATTTTAGATTCTGTTTTATTATTTTTATTGTTCTTACCTTGCTACCCCATTCAGACTGACTCAAATCCTTGATATTCTTCAATATTTCACTTAAAATGACTTTGTTAAGTAAAACTGTGTCATCAGCTGTGTCAATCAAAGTTATGACAGTGCAATGTCCATGTTCATGTTTTGACAAGTCCACTATATGCTCTTTTAACGTTTTCATAATAACCTAAACAACAAAAATTTAAGGTTTATTTTATTAAAAAAAAACTTTAATACTTTTCTGTCCTTGTTTGATCCATGCCATATGCATTGCATAGCGGCCCTAGCGCCATCTTTACTGTTACTTATGACAACTATATGTGGAGCTAACAAACTTATCATCTCAGTTTTATCTTCCACAGTGCATTCCGTGATAAATTGGCTTATCACTGATTGCACCAAGCCTGAGTCCAGTAGACCTTTGTTGATGATCTTTAGAATGTTTTCTTTTGTTGCCCTCAGTATACCAGCTTTCAAACTTTGATTATCTAATAAATAAAATGTGTTTTAAATTTTGATTTTTCTCTTAATAACTGTATTATACACACCCTTGTAAGAGTCTCTTAGATGCTTGACATTCTTGTCTTTGCTGTTTTTATACAAGTCCCCATAGAATTCCTGGGCTAAAAATTGTTTTTGCTGCGGAGATGCCCAAGTGGAGTACGCGGTTTCCACTATAGAGGCGCTTATAGAGTGAGATGTCAATTTGACAGCATGACCCAGCATTTTGTCAATTACTGCCTTTTTGGTGTCTGAACTACCATATTTCAACAATCTTTTAACACAAAATACACCGTATTTAGACTGCAGCATATCTACAGTGACTGGGGTTAGCTCCTGTGTAAATAAACAAAAAAGAAATACACAAATGTATTTGAGGTTATAATAAATATTTTACCTGTGATATTTGCGATACTACAATGTCTGAGGAGTATTTCAACAGCCATTGCACTATTCTGGCGGTGTCATGGGCCAACACAAACTTAGCATACTCTCCTTTGCCCTTCAGTAAACTATGAAGTTCGTTTATTAGTTTGTTACGCTCTTCCTCTCCCCCTTTCAAAGTTTTTTGTCTTAATTTTTCCCCGATGCTCTTCGCGCGCGTTACAACGTCAAAATTACCTCTGGTTTGTTTTCTCTTCAATTTTAATTCCTTTTTTTCCTTCTTAAATTTGTTCCAATCTTCGGGTTTCTCTAGCATTCCATTGGTAGCGTTCATTTTCACTTTATTTTGAAACTTTTTTGCTTTCACGTCCTTAAGGGACGTCGGGTCGTTTTTGTTGCCGTTTTTTTCGAATTTAGAACCCTTTTCAACCTTAAATTTAACATCTTTCTTCACTGCATTAGTTTTTTCGGCATCTTCGAGCTTTATCTTTTTGTGTGGGCTCGTGGAATTGTCTTTCGATACTTTTTTCTTCATTTTTACGGTTTAAATCACTCAAAATCGACAAATTCACGCACGTGTTTGTAATTGACAATGTAAACAGAAAGTTGGGTTATGTTTACCATTTCTTAGGTTAGAATATTACAGACGGCGCTACCGTAGATTTTTAAAATGTCTTTGTTCCAAACGGGTTTTGAGTGTTTTATTTTAGATAATTATTTTGACATTTAAAATTTTGTTTTTGACATTCCAGATTGTTTCAAATTGAGTTTTTGACATTCTAAATTGTGTTTTTAATATTTTAAATTGTGTTTTTCACATTCTAGATTGTTTTGGACATTCTAAAATGTATTCTTGAGATTTTAAATCCTGTTTTTGACATTTAGAATTTTGTGATATTTTAAATTATTTTTTATGTTTTAAATTTTGTTTTTGACATTTTAGATTGTTTTTTGATATTTTAGATTCTTTTTAACATTCTAAATTGTGTTTTTGACATTTAGAATTTTGTGATATTTTAAATTACACAGCCACACAAAATTTTTTTTTTGTTTTGATCTGGGGGTCTGACCATATTTCTTTTATGTTTTTGGGGTCGCTGAATCCGAATCCAAGGTCTATTTAACCCCATCACATCAGGATTTTGACATAACCTCAAAAAATCTATAATTTAAGCTATTAAACGCATATAACCCTAAAAATTAAGTTGTTGTCTAAAAACCCAAGCTCCTAAACCCTATAAGCCTAAAACTCACTTAACTCCATAACCCCATGACCCACTTAACCCCATCATCTATTTAAACATAATCCTTAGGATGAAATTGTGATCTGAAAACCCAAGCTATTAAACCCAATAACCATTTTAACCCCATCCCATAAACCACTTAAACCCATAACCTTGTAACCCATTTAACCCCATCAACATCAATTCCAACAGTTCCGTATCTCAGACATTTAGCTTTGAAGAGACTAAAGTTATGCGGTTATTAAAATAACGTACATATTAAGTTAAATATCTGACAAACGTGGTTGATGTACATTGAGTTATGAGGTTAAATGGGTTATGGAGTTATGTGAGTTATGAAGTTGTGATATTTAAGAGCTTGGATTTTTATATGAAAACCACATTCTCAGGGTTATAGTAATAGCTTATATAATCGGTTTCTTAAGATTATGGCAAAATCCTGATGTGATGGGGTTAAATAGACCTCGGATTCGGATTCAGCGACCCCAAAAATATATAGAAAATATGGTCAGGCCCCCAGATCAAAACACAATTTTTTTTTTGTGTTTTGATCTGGGGGTCTGTCATATTTCTTTTATGTTTTTGGGGTTGCTGAATCCGAATCCAAGGTCTATTTAATCCCATCACATCAGGATTTTGATATAACCTCAAAAATCTATAATTTAAGCTATTAAACGCATATAACCCTAAATATTAAGTTGTTGTCTAAAAACCCAAGCTCCTAAACACTATAAGCCTAAAACTCACTTAACCCCATAACCCCATGACCCACTTAACCCCATCATCTATTTAAACATATAATCCTTAGGATGAAATGGTGATCTGAAAACCCAAGCTATTAAACCCAATAACCATTTTAACCCCATCCCATAAACCACTTAATCCCATAACCTTGTAACCCATTTAACCCCATCAACATCAATTCCAACAGTTACGTATGTCAGACATTTAGCTTTGAAGAGACTAAAGTTATGCGGTTATTAAAATAACGTACATATTAAGTTAAATATCTGACAAACGTGGTTGATATACATTGAGTTATGAGGTTAAATGGGTTATAGGGTTATGTAGTTATGTGAGTTATAAAGTTGTGATATTTAAGAGCTTGGATTTTTATATTAAAACCACATTCTCAGGGTTATATATAGTAATAGCTTATATGATGGGTTTTTTAAGGTTATGGCAAAATCCTGATGTGATGGGGTTAAATAGACCTCGGATTCGGATTCAGCGACCCCAAAAATATATAGAAAATATGGTCAGGCCCCCAGATCAGAACACAAATTTTTTTTTGTGTGGCTGTGTTATTTTTTACATTTTAAATTGTGTTTTTTGACATTCTAAATTGTGTTTAAACAATTTCAAATGTTAGTGTTTTTAACATTCTAGATTGTTTTGGACATCTTGTGTTTTTGACATTCTAGATTGATTTGGACATTCTATAATGTGTTCTTGAGATTTTAAATAGTGTTTTTGACATTTTGAATTTTGTGATATTATTTTTTACATTTTAAATAGTGTTTCTGAAATTCTAGGTTGTTTTGGAAATTTTAAATTTTGTTTTCGACATTCTAAAATGTGTTTTCGAGATTTTAAATTGTGTGAATTGATATTTTGAATTTTGTTTTGGATATTTTAAATTGTTTTGGACATTTTAAATTGTGTTTTTGACATTCTAGATTGTTATGGACAAACAAATGTGTTTTTAACCTTTTAACTAGTGTTTTTGACATTTTGAAATTTGTTTTTAAAATTACATTTTTTTTTACATTTAAATTTTTTTTTTGACATTCTAATTTGTTTGGACATTTCAAATTGCGTTTTTGACATTCTAGATTGTGTTAGATATTCTAAATTGTGTTTTTGCCATTCTCAATTGTTTTGGACATTGTAAAATGTTTTTTGATTTTAAGTTGTGTTTTTGATATTCTAGATTGTTTTTTAATATTTCAAATTGTATTTTTGACATTCTAGATTGTTTTTAACATTCTTAAATGTGGTTTTGAAATTTTAAATTGTTTTTTTTTTGATATTCTAGATTGTTTTGGACAATCTAAAATGTGTTTTCGATAATTTAAATTGTGTGAATTGACATTTTGAATTTTGTTTTGGATATTTTAAATTGTGATTTTGACATTTTTAAGTATGTTAAAAAATTATTAAATGTTTTCATACTATTAAAAGTGTTTTTCCATACTATCTGTGTTTTTGATATTTTTAAATGTGTGGTGGATATTCCAAAGTAGGTTTTAAATATTCTTAATTGTGTTTTGTCAGTTTTCATTGTTTAAAAAGTCCTACAATTTCTTTACCTAAATTGTTAAGGATTTTTTAGGGAAAGGGTAGAGGGGTGAAATAAATAAAAAACAGTTTTGATACATTTAAGACAACCTTTATAACTGAATGCATACTGGTCATTTTTTGGGTTACAATACAGAGCGTAACGACGGACCTGTCCGCATTAAACACAGAAACAGAGTCGATTTAAAAGCACTTACATAACCTAACTTAAGGGCTAAGACGATCACTCGCATGCACTGTCCTCGAAACTTGTTTGTCGCTTGTTTCTAGTGGATTGGTAAGACTGATTTTTGGACAGTGGCGCGCCTAGCGCATCAATTTAGAATTAAAAATTCACACTAAACAGCTGCGACAGTGTATGCGAGCTCGTTTTTATTTTTTTATTTTATTACACAGTATAGTGGTAGTACATTTATCATACAATTGAGTTATTTTTAGATTATTATTGAAATGTATTAATTTAGGGGTGTATTTGATTTTTTTAAATTTAATTATCTGATATCACCGTGACTTTAGTTTTTGGCCTGGTCCCCTGGTTATTTTTTTTTTGTTTGTTCTCTCCCTCCATTTTACGATTTCTTTTGGACTGAGTTTTTTTCGTTGCCCAAAAAAAACCAAATAAATGTCTTTACGCCCGAGAATATGTTTTTTTATTTATTTAAAAATTGTCATTTTATCACATACGGATTTTCTTCGAAAAAAACGGAATCATTTAAAAACTAAGTAAATAATACATACAATATAACAGAGGAACTAGTTATTTTGGAAGATTTTTTCAAAAAAGGCCGCACAACAAAAACACTACCTAATTAATTAAATAAATAAAAAAGTAAGTCGGAATATTTTTAAATGGACTAGAAGTTATACATAGATATATTTATCAGGAGGGATCTGTTCGATTATTAGGCCATAAGTAAGACGAAAAAAAAATCAAATAATACCGTGTGATGTAGCTTTTCTAGTTAACATACAGGGTGTCTGGCGGATCGATGCCAAGTCTTGTGGTATTAAAACACCGATCAATTTTTAAATTATTTTGTCTTTGGATTAAGATGTAAAAAAATTGCATCGACCTGTCGAACCCTGCGTTATCTAATCGTGGTAACAAAAAAATATACATTTTGCTAATAAATGATTAAATTATTGCAAACATTTTAAATCTCTGGCCCTTCATGAATCTTTGTTGCATCACTCATAGATTTAAATAAATATAAGTGGGGATTATTATTTTTTTAAATATATCACAAAAATTTCTAGACATATCACAAAAGAATTTTGTACAAGGTTCATCGAAAACTAATAGAAAAATTAAAAAACAAATGAAATGTAAACATATACATAGTTTGGGGGAGTATATCTTCAGAAGTCTTAAACACATTTTTTTTAAATAAATCAACTTAACACCTAAGCAAATAATATTAAGCATAACACAAAAAGCACTTGTTTTTTAAATACAATAATAATAATAATAATAATTTGAACACACTTAAAATAGTTTTTTCGTACTTAATTAATAAACCCAAAACCTAACCTAAAAATCTAGAGCATGCATTTAGTTTGTTTGAACCGCTCTCTAAAATGGCGGAGGACGAGTTTGAGGTTAGAAAATTCCGTGGAGTTATTATTACAGGGAAATACTTAAAAAAAACGTCCGAACATGCGCACCGCCGAATCGTACTGTCACATTTTTAATTTTTTTTCTTAAATATATAATTAATACTATTTTATACTTAAATATATAACATTCTCTAAAGCTACAGATTTAATTTAATTTAAGTAAAAATTTCCATTACTTTCTTTATATTTATATACTATGAAATTATAACAATTGTACACTGTTCTCAGCAAATATATACATACTTTTTTGTTTATATATATATATATATTGCATATATAATAATAGAAATATACACAGCTTTTAAGCGTATGCGCGATCAGAGCGCCGTGAGCAAGTTTTTTAAGCGAAAATTTTGGCACAAAAAAATCAACAATTTCATCGTCGTCTACGTCATCAAATACTAGGTATGCCAAAAATCCAAGGGGAGATTCCGAAAATCAAAAACAGAACTTATAGTTAAGAGCACCGTACACATTATAATCAATTATAAACTAAGACGTACATATGGACCGATTTCACTCTACCTTAAAAAAACTAAAACGGCACGAGGCACGCTTTAACACCTGGTATCCCTACTACAGTCTTTACCGCACTCAAACGCGTAAAATTCATTACGTCAACTAGATAAGAGAGCACGCGAGTCAAAAATCGCAATTTTACACCTACATCTCGTACTTTGATCGTTTGAATCGAGAGCCCTTTGATTCCATTGCAGTGCGCATGCTCAAGCGAGCCACGCCCACTTGATTTTAAAACGGCAAATATAGGTGTAACATTGCTGCTCTGTATGCCAAAGTATTGTTCATTCGATGGATTAAAAAAAATAAAATAAATAAAGTGCTTGATTAAAAATCAAAACAAATAAAAGGAATGTTGAAAAAAATCATTAAACCGTAACCCTATTTATTTATAACTATATAAATCTACACCTGAGAGAGGAGGGCCTAACTTTTCCCTAACACCCCACGTCTTCATAATCTAACTTTATTTTAAACTTATCGTATCGATTTTTTATACATTTGGTGGCAGTACCAGCTAGCTTTAATCTCCTTTTTTTCATTCAAGAAAAAAAGGGAGATCTCTCACAAAAAACACATCTCCTAACTTTAACTCTTATTAAACAATGTACTAAACAACAAACAGTGGGGCAAGACCTTGTCAATGTTAATTATTTTTTTTTGTTTTGTTTTTTTTATAGAAAAACCCTGTACAGGTCAGGCCCTTATTATTTATATCAATTGCACGTTTTTAGGCACTTGGTTTGTGCTGTTCAAACTGAATAAGTACACTCGATACCGAAACAAGTCCAGTTTGCGGTTGGAACAAACCTCCGTTTGCGTTGATGTGCCAAAAGTGGTTTAAAATTACGAATCGCAGTTTTTTTGTGTTTTAAACACAAAAAATCCGCGATTCATAATTTTAAACCACTTTTGGCACTTCAACGCAATATTTAAATTTAGGCGAATAGATTAAAGTATAAAAAAGGTTTGTTCCAACGTGCGAAAGAGCGTAGTGGATAAAAATTAAAGACAGCACTGGAGGAAACAATAAAAATTGTTTAAACAAACGAACTACGATACTATCACAACCATTGGCATGGAAGATTTTCAACGATTTGGTTGGTTTTTAATAATTATTTCAATGTAGAAAAATTTCTCATATGACACAAAGTCTTTGGTACATCATAAAAAAAATTGAAAGAATGGCAAGATTTCGTTAAACAATTGTGCAGAGTATCAATCAAAAGAACTAATAATAATACAAAAAAAAAACAATAACTAGATTCAAAAAGCGTAAATATGAATTAATAATACTTGGAAAAAGGAATCGTATTGCACTATATAGTAATGTAATACAATTGTTAAAAGTAATAATAATAATAAATTGACTAAAAATGCTGTATAAGTAATGTTTAAGTTACAATATCTTATACCCTAAGTTACCCACCAACCTTTTTTATTTAAGACTTAGATTCATCAGTAGATTTCATTTTTTTGCGGACAGTACGATTCGGCGCTGCGCAGTACGAGACGCGCAGTAAATCACATTTTATACGATTGTTGTTCATAACATATTCTTTTTGTCTTAAGACATTTATAACGTTCTTCGGTAATTGGTTTGCGGGGGGGCCCAGGTAAATTTTCATCTGGCTCCCCCGAAATAAGATCAGGACCGGGCTTGGTCACGCATACCCAGGCAATCCAGAAAAACGCTTGGCTGGATCGCTTCTGTATGATAATTATTAGAGGCACATTGATTGGTATTTTCAATTTTTTTTTTGGTGAAACGCGCGACTACTGTTTGTATAAAGCGGGTAAAAGCGTGGGTGAAATGTACTGGCCATAATAAAAAAAGGGAATGCTGTTTTCAAGTGACGTTTTGCAGAACCTAACCTCATTTTTTATTACGTTGGCGTATGATATGGCTCGAGAAGAAAAATTTCACAAATATAACTTTGGCATTTTATTTTAATTATTTTGTTTATCATTCGTAAAAAAGTCTTGTAATGTAGTGATTCGTTAGTTTTTTTTATTTTTTTTTTTAGGGTGAATTGTATTGCCAACGCTGTTCCTTGCTAGGGAACAACACTTAAGCTCAGTTTGGAACAACCTTGTAAGGACTACCGAACACCGAAAAATTTACCCTAATCGAACTAAGGCAGATATGCCGTTTCTATTTTATACCATATACAATATAATAATATTCTTTTTATAATATAAGATATATGTGGCGAGATTGATTATATATAATTAGATTATATACTTGAAAACACAAGTGGCACTTCAATCACAAATACTGTAAAAATCTAAATCAAAAACATCCGCATGAACCGCTTAAGATACCTGTAATCGCAGTGCGCATGTCTCATGTTTAAGCCACGCCCAATCGGGGCTCGAGTAAACGTCATTTCTAGGTTAGAAGTGTTTTAAGGGCCAAACCGGATGAAAGTACTACGTTAAATTTTAATGTTGTCGTTTTTGGATTACGTATCAAACAACCTTGCAAAAAATCGCCTGCGCAGGCCACCAACCAACCTAAAAACACGCTTTACGGTTTTAGGGTGTGTGTTGTTGCTATAGACTATAGTATAGGAACTTTTTTAACTCCGATTAAAAAACTATTGCCAATGATTTGTTCGTATTGCGTTACAATTGGTGTTTTTTAGCGGTTGGTAGCTCTGCCTACACCCTCAGTTCGTTGAATATTATATATTTAGATAATAAAATTAGTATTGCAATAGTCAGGTAGCCGATTAATAATTATACGGGGTGTTTCAAAGCTTCCGAATGGGACGATTGTTTATACAAGGTGATGTTGTGTAAAAGTGTTTTTTTTTTATTATTATAGCCACATCTCGACTATACATACATGTATTATTGTGCAGACCCTATATATACATTTTTAAGCTGAGCTTCCTTAAACCTAACTTATTTTTTTAAGTTTTTTTTTATCATCAATATTTAAATAATAGTTAAACAACGCTAAAAACTACTTGTTTTTTTCTGAAGGTACACAAATCAGACACAAATATTATCGACTGTTTTTTTGGGGCCCCCTCGAGGGTGGGCCATCGAACAGTCTTACCTATAATGCACACATGATATATATAAATATTTTATATATTATATATAGTATTATATATATATATAAGTAAATAATCACAATACCGACTGGCAGTTGCTTAAAAAAGAGAATACGATTTTTTGTTTGAAGTCTTGCGTTACCGTCAACTGCCCCTTCCATCCGTTTTTTTTTTCTTTTCATTTTTAAAACTTACGAGCTAATATTATTATTAATTAATTAATTAATAATCCAAAAATACCCTATCAACTGATCAAATAAAACAATAATAATAATAGTTATAATAATAAAACGATTTTCTATTTTGGTACTTTGTTATACTATAAGTAATATTTAGTCTAAGTTTTTAACACCAAACAATATGGCATCTCTTGTTGTCGCTAATAACATTATGAAGACGAGACATTTATTTATAAATATATTAATAATTAATATGAACACCCTCATCAACTACCATTGTCTTATACTTATGCTTATAGAGCCCGGTAATAGAATCTAAACGCTACCACACACATTATTATTATTAATATTATTTAGTTATTCATTACGCTATGTTGGCAAAAAGATTTAGAAACTCTTGGGAATACTAGCGACCCCTCTAACCCCCCCGGACCGAACCGCTTTCCCCCGCGAGAAGTAAAGCATTTATTTTTAATTATTAATTAAAGCAGTGTGTGCGGGGGCGCGGCCGTCGCCAGGGGGGCCACCTTAGGTCCATTTTGCACCGTACTAAGAAAAAAACACCAACAATAAACAACCAAACATTCTGATATTTATTGATATTAATGTCGGTTATATTGCTGACGATTTTTTCACCGTCAATCAACTAAAACGTTTTTTTTTAGTGTTTTTTTTATCGTTTTTTATTAAATTAAAAAGCCACAAACTTCACAGCACAGTCGTGTACTTCTATTTTTTTATATTTATATTTAGTCAATTTTTACCCCCATTTTAATAACCCCCTCAAACGTAATATAATAATAATATAAATGCAAATTGTTGTGTGTTTTTATATATTTTTTTTAAATAGATTCCTCTAAACTCAGTCTTATGCAACACTAGAGTATGTAACAAGGGGGGGGGGGAAAGACCGCGCGGGGCACTGGGGACTTAAATAATTAATAAATATACATGTACAACAATATATATTTAGGACTAGATAAAAATCGACAAGTTTGATAAATTTCGAAATTATTCATCACAGAACTTCCAACAAATTTAAAATCTTAAGTACGGGAGGCTGCTGCGAATTATTTGGGGGGGCAGTCTTGTTTGAGGGGGTCGGTTTTGCTGCCGAGGGGGGGTGAGATTGCGTTTTGCCCCCGCTAGATGGGGCTGTGTTGTTTTTTTGGGGGGGGGGGAATCACAGAACAATAAAATGTCTATGCTATGTTTAATAATAGTAGTACACATGTAGAATATATAATATAATATATTATCAATAGACTTGTAATAATTAGAACGATATATATTGTTTATTATTATTTTAAGATTACTTATTACTTTTTATTTGTTAAAAAATACTTAGCGCGTGCAGTCTACGTAACTGATTGTGGGTAATGTTTTTCACACAAAACATTTATACTTTGTAATGGGTCACGTCCTTTGTAATTTTTTTTCGTTTCGATTTTTCTTCTTTTTTTTGATATAAGGAATTAGAGATCACAGGTTCTCAAATAATTAATATTTAGTCAGTACACCGAATGCCGGTCACTGGGAATAAAAAATAAATAGGAATAATATATAGTTATTAGTTATCTAGATATTATTATTATTATGTAATTATTTTATCGAGTTTGGTCGCAAATCTAGTTTTATTCAAACCTCATCGTTCGGACTAGTTTTTTGGGTTTGCGTGAGTGCGTGTTTCAAATCACAAAAAACGCTTTTTATTTTGTCGTAGTAAGGTACGCAGCAGTCTCGATCCGTGCGTCGGACTAGAGTTGAGATTTCCGCCGGAGAAACGCAAACAGTTTGGCGTTGAAACTGTTAAATTTGACATAAATGACCTTGAAAGGGTTAGCAACCTTAAAATCAATTAATTTGACAGTTCAAGTTAAAAAATCTCGAAAAATGTTTAAAATAAAAAATGTTACTTTATACTTTGACCAGTTAAACAGTTAAATTTGACATAAATGACCTTGAAAAGTTAAATTTCCGTGAGCAACCTTAAAATCAAATAATTTGACTGTTTAGGTTAAAAAAATCTCAAAAATTTTCAAAACAAAAAAGATTACTTTACAGTTTAACGTTGAAACTGTTAAATTTGACATAAATGACCTTGAAAGGTTAAATTTACGTCGGTAACCTTTAAATCAATTAATTTGACATTTAGTTGGAAAATCTAAAAAATGTTTAAATAAAAATATATTACTTTACTGTTTGACGTTGAAACTGTAAAATTTGACATAAATGACCTTGAAAGGTTAAATTTACGCCAGTAACCATAAAATCAATTAATTTGACAGATAAAGTTGGAAAATCTAAAAAATGTTTAAATAAAAAAATATTACTATACTGTTTTGACGTTGAAACTGTTAAATTTGACATAAATGACCTAGAAAGGTTAAATTTACGTGAGTAACCATAAAATCAATTAATTTGACAGTTAAAGTTGGAAAATCTCAAAAATGTTTAAATAAAAATATATTACTCTACTGTATGACGTTGAAACTGTTAAATTTGACATAAATGACCTTGAAAGGTTAAATTTACGTCAGTAAACCATAAAATCAATTAATTTGACAGTTAAGTTGGAAAATTTCAAAAATATTTTAAACAAAAAATGATTACATAACAGTTTGACGTTGAAACAGTTAAATTTGACATAAATGACCTTGAAAGGTTAAATTTACGTGAGTAACCATAAAATCAATTAATTTGACAGTTAAAGTTGGAAAATCTCAAAAATGTTTTAAACAAAAATTATTACATTAGTTTGACGTTGAAACTGTTAAATTTGACATCATAAATGACCTTGAAAGGTAAAATTTACGCGAAAATCAATTAATTTGACAGTTAAAGTTGGAAAATTTCAAAAATGTTTAATAAAAAATATAACTTTAAAGTTTTACGTTAAAACTGTTAAATTTGACATAAATGACCTTGAAAAGTCAATTTTTGTAAACAAAAGTTGCAAAATTTCAAAATGTTTAAAATAAAAAATATTAATTTACAGTTTAACGTTGAAACTGTTAAATTTGACATAAATGACCTTAAAAGGTTAAATTTACATGAACAACCTTAAAATCAATTAATTTGACAGTTTAAGTTGAAAAATCAGTTTGACGTTGAAACTGTTAAATTTGACATAAAATGTTTAAAATTGAGATTTCCGCTGGAGAAATGCAACAGGTTTTTAGTCAGTGCAAAGCGGGCGCCCAATTTAATTAATAAATGGCAACAACTAAAATATAAAAAAAAAATCACAATTGGGCGCCCGATCGCTTCGAAAAAATTTCAATGAAACAAACTTAAACGTGGATTCGCCTTATATATAAAAAACAAAAACTATCAAAATCACCAATAAAATTAAAATACAATATTATATGTATAAAAATCAATAATAATAATAATAATAATAAATAATTAATATGTTGCGGAAATGTGGACAATGTTTGACTTATTAATGTTATAAAAAAAACGTTTAAAACTTGCTAAAATGTCTCCGGAATACTTCGTTCGAATCGAGCTTGCGCGAGCGTGCGTGTGTGTGTGTGTGTCGGGGGCGGTGTTACGCTTACATGGACTCGCCGCCGAGCAGGTCGTTGGGCAGGAAGGACTGCAGGCTGCTGGGGGTGGCGCGCTGCTGGTCGGGCTCGACCGGGGCGGCCGCCCACATGCTGCCGGCGCCGGCGTTGCTCGGCCAGCCGCCGCCCACGCCGGCGCTCCACGTGTCCACGCCGCTCTTGGCGACGGCCGAGTGGTTGTTGTTGCCCGCCGCCGACGCCCTGCGCGCCGCGCCAGCCGCCGCCCTGGGAGGCGCCGCCGCCCTGGGCGGACGCCACCTGCTGCAGCAGGGCGTTCGCGTCCCAGTCGGACGGGTTTTTCCGCGTGGATGGTCGTGTTGCCCAGCACGCAGTTGTTCAGCGCCGTTTGGGCCTGAAAACGAATCATACAAATTGTCAGAAAGGAAAAATAACAATTTGAAACATTTAAATTTGACATGAACTTGAAACTTGACATGAACTTGAAAAAGCAACCTTGAAATCATTCAATTTGACAGCTTAATCTTGAAACAGTTAAATTTTACCTAAATGAACTTAAAAGAGATTAAATTTTACATAAATGGCCTTGAAATCATTAAATTTGACTGTTTAAGTTGGAAAATCACAAAACTGTTTAAAACAAAAAATATGACTTCATAGTTTGACTTGAAATAAAAAAATTTGACACTTTAAGTTGGAAAATCTCAAAAATGGTTAAAACAAAAACAGTTTGACGTTAAAACCGTTAAATTTGTCATAAATTATAGGTTAAAATCATTAAATTTGACAATTTAAGTTGGAAAAAAAATGCTTCAAACAAAAAATAAAACTTTTCAGTTTGACTTTGAAACTAGAAAATCACACTTGAAACAGTTAAATGACCTTAAAAGAGGTTAAATTTGACATAAAATAAAAGAGGTTAAATTTGACATAAATGACCTTGAAATCATTAAATTTGACTGTTTAAGTTGGAAAATCACAAAACTGTTTAAAACAAAAAATATGACTTTATAGTTTGACTTGAAATAAAAAAAATTGACACTTTAAGTTGGAAAATCTCAAAAATGGTTAAAACAAAAACAGTTTGACGTTAAAACCGTTAAATTTGTCATAAATTATAGGTTAAAATCATTAAATTTGACAATTTAAGTTGGAAAAAAAATGCTTCAAACAAAAAATAAAACTTTTCAGTTTGACTTTGAAACTAGAAAATCACACTTGAAACAGTTAAATGACCTTAAAAGAGGTTAAATTTGACATAAAATAAAAGAGGTTAAATTTGACATAAATGACCTTGAAATCATTAAATTTGACTGTTTAAGTTGGAAAATCACAAAACTGTTTAAAACAAAAAATGTGACTTCATTAGTTTGACGTTAAAACTGTTAAATTTGACATAAATGACCTTAAAATCATTAAATTTGACAACTTAAGTTGTAAAATCACAAAAATGTTTCAAACAAAAAATAAAACTTTACGGATTAACTTTGAAACTGGAAAATCACAAAAAATGTGTAAAATAAAAAAAAATACTTAAGAGTTTGACCTTGAAACAGTTAAATTTGACATAAATGACCTTAAAAGGGGTTAAATAGCAATAAAATCATTAAATTTGACAGTTTCAGTTGGAAAATCACAAAAATGTTTAAAATAATAATATATTACTTTACAGTTTGACCTTGAAACAGTTAAATTTGACAAACATGACCTTGAAAAGTTAAATTTACATTAACAACCTTGAAATTATTAATTTTGACAGTTTATCTTGGAAAATCACAAAAATGTCTAAAATAAAAAGTATTACTTTACAGTTTGACCTTGAAACAGTTAAATTTGACAAACATAACCTTGAAAAGTTAAATTTACACGAGAAACCTTGAAATTATTAAATTTGACAGTTTATCTCGGAAAATCACAAAAATGTCTTAAATAAAAATATGACTTTACAGTATGACCTTGAAACAATTAAATTTGACAATAATGACCTTAAAATCATTAAATTTGACCAATTAAGTTGGAAAATCACAAAAATGTTTAAAACAAAAAATATTACTGTACAGTTTGACATTAAAACAGTTAAATTTGACTAAATGACCTTGAAATCATTAAATCCGACTGGATCTGACAGATCATCTTGGAAAATCACAAAAATGTTTAAAATAACAAATATTACTTAAATTTTGACATTGAAACTGTTATAAATTAACACGAGCAACCTTGAAATCAAAAAATTTTCCAGTTTATCTTGGAAAATTATAAATATTTTTAAAATAAAAAATATTACTTTAGAGTTTAATCTTGAAAGATGTTAAATTTAACATTAATATCAATAAAATCAAAACATTTGACAGTTGGAAAGTCACAAAAATATTTATTACTTTACAGTTTGATGTCACCTTAAAATTGACAAATTTGACAGTTAAAAAGTTACAAAAATACAAAATTACAATTTTTTTAAACCTTGATAAATTTGGCAAGGGGGAAAGAAAATCTTAAAAATGTGTTTTTCCAATAATATTTTGGAAAATTATAAAGAATCCAGGAAAACTGTAGAAAATTAGGACGAGCTTTTTAAATGTAACAGAAAATTATGAAAAGTTCGTTTTACAACGAAAAAAGCGCCAAATAAAATAAAAAAGTCATTTAATCATAATTTTAACAGTTAATTATGGTTTATCCAAAAAAAAAAATAGAAAATTGTGGAAAAAGGAAAATTAATTTCGTAAATCTCGATAAATTTGACAGTTTAGGTAAGAAAATCTTGAAAATGGTTTTTTTAAATAATTTCTTGAGAAATTATAAGAAATTCAAGAAAATTCTAAAAAAAAAATTTAACAAAGAAAACATAAAACCCTGCAAAAAAAAACAATGAATAAAAAAAATAATACTCACTTTTGTGGCCTCTTCGCGCGTGGAATATTTGGCAAGGGCAAAGCCTTGGTGCAGGTACAAGTGGAAATTCTGCAGAGGCCCATGCTGCATACAGAGTGTTCTTAAAGTAGAACCGTCAATCTACAAAAAAAAAACGGTAAAAATATTAAAAATGCGTGAAATCGCGAAAAGAAAAAATTTAAAACGAACAAGTTCACAGTAAAAAGTAAAAAAAAAAACACGAAATAAAAAATCACATTTACTTTTCTTACCTGGGCGGTCAAATTTTTGAGCAGCAGCCACGGCGAGGAGCCGCCGCCGCCGCCCCAGCTTCCCGAGGAGCGCGGGCCGCCGCCGTACTGCATGGCGCCGCCGCCGCCGCCGCCCGTCGACCAGCCGTTCGACAGGCAGCTGTTCTTGGCGCTGAGGCCGGGAGGGGGGCCGCGCGATTTGGGCGGCGCGCCCCACAGCTCGCTGGCCACCGTGGTGGAGGGGTTCAGGTCGCCCAGGCCGCCCTTCACGCCCGCCAACTTGCTCTGCGGACTGAAACGAATTGAGAAAAAAAAGATTTATAAAAAACTGTTGCATTCAAATTCTGCAATTTTCAGTTTTTATTGACAATTTTTTCAATTAATAGAATAAAAAATTGACATTTTTAACAGTTTAAAAATGCCCTTGAATAGATTTATACAAATTAACGGGCCCTAGAATAAAAGGGGAATAAATGCAGCTTATTACTGTTAAACAAAAATGTCTTATCCACTAAGTAATAAAGGACAAAACATCGTTCATATTGTTTTTAATAAGTTTTCAACAATACAAATTATGTATTGTACTTTATTACTTCTAGATAAGGTATTTTTGCTTAACAGGGCAGCTGGACCTATACAACTTTTATTTGAAGTGGTAAACTTCTCTATTTTTATATTATTACTATATCTTGACATTGACACTTTTTACCAAAAACCGTTTAATTTTAACATAAATGGACTTGATGAAATTTATAAAAATTGTAAATTTTACTATTTTAATCTTACTACTATTAAAACAGTTAAAAAAATTTGACACAAAATTATACAAAATGGTATTCAAGCTAAAATTGTTTAATTTTGACATAAATTACATTAAATTTGACATTAACGACTACAAAGAGAATTATAAAAATTATAAATTGTACTATTTTTATAAGATTTTTTCTTTCAGTTTTTTTACCTAAACACTATTATATTATTATTATATTAAGTTCTGCAAGTTTCACACAAAATAATACAAAATTGTACTTTTTAGCTAAATTTGTAAATTTTAATATTTTTATAAGATTTTTCTTAAAAAAACGATTATAATAAAGATCTGCGATTTCCACTTAATATTGACAATTTTTTAACAAGAAATATTACAAAATTTTATTTTTTTATCCAAACGTGTTTAATTTTGACATAAATTACTTTTATTTTGACATCAACGACTCCTAAGAGATTTATAAAATATGTTTTTTTACTAATAATTACAATGAATTTTTGCGATATTAACAATTTTTTTATACAAAACTAGTACAAAAAAATTGTAATTTTCTACCAAAAAAAGAAATGTACAAAAATTGTAAAGATTACTCATATATTCTGCGACAATTTTTTGACACAAAATAATAAAAAATTGTACTTTTTCTGCCTAAATTTTTGACGTATAGGTATTACTTTAAATTTGACATCAACGATTCTGAAAGGATTTATAAAAATTGTAAATTTTACTGTTTATAAGATTTTTTCTTAAAAAAATAATGCGATTTTCAGTTAATATTGACAATTTTTTGATACAAACTAATACAAAAAATTGTAATTTTGTACCAAAGAAGAAATGTATAAAAATTGTAAAATTTACTGTTTTTTCTTAAAAAAAAACAAACAATTATAGGAAGTTCTGCAAGTTCCAGTTAATATTGACAATTTTTTGACAAAAAGTTATACAAAATTGTACTTATTTTAGCCAAAATTTTGACATAAATTACTTTACATAAATTACTTTAAATTTGACATTATAGACTCAAAGAGATTTATATAAAATGTTAATTTTTCTATATTTTAAGGATTTTATCGCTTGTAATAAAGTTCTACGATTTCTTGTTTATATTGAAATTTTTTTGATACAAACATAAAAAATCGACATTTTTTACCAACAAAAAATGTTTAAAAATTGTAAATTATACATTTTTTTCTTAAAAATATATCATTATATGAAGTTCTGCGAGTTCCAGTTAATATCAACAATTTTTTTACACAAAATAATACAAAATTGTACTTTATAGCCAAAATTGTTTAATTTTGACACAAATTACTTCAAATTAACTACTTAACCCTTTATAAAAATTACAAATTCACTTTTTTCTAAGATTAAAAACAAAACAACTATAATGAAGTTCTGCTATTTCCATTTTTTGATAAAAAATTTACATTTTTTTTACCAAAAACCGTTTAATTTTGACACAAATTACCTTGAAGAAATGTATTTAAAATTGTAAATAGTAAAAGTGCTATTTAAAGGAAAGATAAAAAAAATATTTTCAGCCAATTTTATTCGATATTAAGCAAAACTATAAATTATAACAAAAAAAACCGTAAGGCTTACCTTGTAAAGGCGCTGCTGGTGGAAGGCGACGGGTTGATGTAGCTCCAAGTGGACGAGCCCAAGGCCAACGAGCCCTGGATGCTGTCGGCGGGCGGGGACTTGCTCGGGTTCATGCCGAACATCTCCGAATCCTTGATCGTGGTCATCGAGAGCGGCGAGCGCACCACCGAGCCGGGCGTAATACTGGGATCGTCTTCGATCGACTTTATCTGGTTGCCCTGAGCCGAAACAGAAAGAAAACCGAGTTGGTTTCGACGCTCGAAAGCAGTTTTTTTCGGGGGGACAATAACGATGGGGTAATCATAGGGAATGCGTAATCAAGAGTTGTCATGAATTGGATCCAAATTATAATCATTTTAGAGATACAAGAAAACAAGGTATGTCTTGCGCATCTCTTTCCACCACTCCATTACATTGGCGAAGAGGTGGGAGCACCCAGTCGCCGCCATATTGACTATTCACATTTTGATGCGAGTTGTTTTTAAGCTATTTTAAATTTTAAGTGTAAAACAAATGTCTTTTTACAGTGTATAAGAAATAGGACAAAGCCAGGAAGCATAATAGTGTAAGAAATTAAAATAAAATTTGAAAAACAAAATTAAATCTTTATTTTTGCATTGTGCAGGAAATGTGCCAAGACAAGGAAGATAATGATCTTCAAGGACAGTCCATAACTGAAACACAAACTGCAGCATGGTGCTGATAAGGAAATGGCCCGGGATTGAAACATCCCAAAGCATTAGAAAACCAGCTTATACCATACCATAATATTTTTCATTTCATGTTGGCTCCATGGTGGCCAATTTAGGGTTTTATTTGGCAACTAAATCTAAATTGCAATTATTTGTAAATAAAATTTTGTAATACATAAATTTGGAAAAAATTTTGTGACTTGACACTTTTTATTTAATTTTTTATATTTGCTTTATTAAACAGGATATTTTATTTTATTGCAAATATTTCACTTATAAATGGCTTTAAAACAAGATATTTTATTTGAAAACCTATTAAAACACTTAACCTAAAAACAAACACTTTCATTTAACAATTTAATCTAAAAATCGAATAATTTTATAGAAAATGGATTAATTTCATAGATTTAATTTAAAATATCCTTTAAATTCAAAGGCGGGAATGAACTAAGATACAAAAAATTGACATTTTTACCAAAAACAGTTTAATTTTGACATAAACAACCTTGAAGAAATGTATAAAAATTTTAAATTGAAGTTTTGCGATTTTCAGTTGATATTGACATTTTTTTGATACAAACTAATACAAAAAATTGTGATTTTCTTTAACCAAAACAGTTTAATTTTGACATAAATAACCTTGAAGAAATGTATAAAAATTGTAAATTGAAGTTTTGCGATTTCCATAATATTGACAATTTTTTTATACAAACTGATACAAAAAATTGTCATTTTAAATTGAAGTTTTGCGATTTCCAGTTAATATTGACATTTTTTTGATACAAACTAATACAAAAAATTGTGATTTTTTTTTACCAAAAACAATTTAATTTTGACATTAAGGACCTTGAAGAAATGTATAAAAATTTTAAATTGAAGTTTTGCGATTTCCAGTTAATATTGACATTTTTTGGATACAAACCAATACAAAAAATTGTTATTCTCTAGGTAAGTATTTGTATAAAATTAAAAAAATATTTTATTTTATTGAAAACATTCGACTGAAAAATGGCTTTAAAACAAGATATTTTATTTGAAAACCCATTATTTGGTATTTAGTAAATATTATTTACTTTAAAACAATATATTTTATTTGATTGAAAAACCATATAAAACAGTTTATTCACTAATAATATTTCCTTGGAATGTTAATATTGTGACTTGGATCGTTTTTTTACGTGCGATCTCCAAATAATTCGACAATTTAATCTAAAAATCGAATAATTTTATAGAAAATGGATGAATTTTATGGAAAATAATATTTAAATTTAAAATATCATTTAAATTCAAAGGCGGGAATGAACTAAGATACAAAAAATTGACATTTTTACCAAAAACAGTTTAATTTTGACATAACGACCTTGAAAAAATTTATAAAAATTGTAAATTTAAGTTATGCGAGTTCCAGTTAATATCGACAATCATTCGACACAAAATAATACGAAATTGTACTTTTTTGCCAAAATTGTTTAATTTTGACATAAATTACTTCAAATTTGACACCAACGACGACCTTGAAGAGATTTTTAAAAATTGTAAATTTCTCTAGGTAAGTATTTGTGTAAAATTAAAAAAAAAACAGATTTTATTTTATTGAAAACATTCATTATTTGGTATTTAGTAAATATTATTTACTTTTAAACAATATATTTTATTTGATTGAAAAACCATATAAAACAGTTTTTTCACTAATAATATTTCCTTAGAATGTTTTTTATGTGCGATTTCCAAATAATTCGACAATTTAAACTAAAAATCGAATAATTTGATAGAAAATGGATGAATTTTATGGAGAATAATATTTAAATTTAAAATATCATTTAAATTGAATTAAGATGGCGGTAACTGGGTGGTGCGCCTGAAAATGCGTAAAACTGTTTTTTTTTCGCTCTTACCTTCCAGGGCTTTCCAGGTTCGAATTCAGGTACTAAGTCAGTCAGTGAGGGTTGCGCGGGCGTCGACCATTGTGCGTCTTTCACGTCGTTCGAAGAATCGCCGCCAGAGTCAGGCCATCCGGTGTCGCCGGACCTTCCGCTGGACCAGGGTCTGCGAAATTAAAAAAAAAAAAAAACTTAAACCGTCGAAGAAGAAACTTTTTTGCGGACGTCTCTCTCTTACCCGTCGGAGTTTGGCAGCAGGGGGTTCATGTTGGGCGACGTGGCCAAGGGCTTGGAGGAGGAGCCCGGCGCGCGGCTGAACTCGTTGCCGTCCTCCTTGTCCTTGTTTATCCACTGGTTGAGTCGCGACTGCTGCTGCTGCTGCTGCTGGTTCTGCAGGAAGTCGTCGCCGCCGGTCAGGGACATGGAGCGGTCGTCGCGACCGCCGCCTCCCCACTTAAGAAGAAGAAGAAGAAGAAAAATTTGAATTTTCGACGAAATGTTTCGATTTTCAAGGGAAACTGCGTGCGAAATAATCATTGGGAATGCGTAATCAGAGTGAATCATGAATTGGATCCAAGTTATAATCATTTTGAAGAGAGCTTGCCACGTTGCCGCTTTTCCAAATTTTGAAATTTCAAGATTTGGCAAATAAAACTTTTAATGCAAAAAACCTGTTTTTGTAGAATGAATGGCCTTGAAAGAATTTGACAGCAATGACCTTGAATAGATTTTTAAAAGTTGTAAGAAAAACATTATAATGAAGTTCTGCGACTTTCAATTAATTTTGACAATTTTTTTATACAAACTAAAACAAAAAATTTTACATTTTTTTAGCAAAAACCATTAAATTTTGACGTATAAAAATTGTAAATTTCAGTATTTTATATACTAAAACACAGGTTTCCAGTAAATATTGACATTTTTTTTATACAAACTAATAGAAAAAATTGATATTTTTTACCAAAAATCGTTTAATTTTGAATAAATGTATAAAAATTTTAAATTTCATTGTTTTTTTTTCTAAAAAACTATGTTAATAAAGTTTTGAGATTTACAGTTATAATTGACATTTTTTTTATATAAACTAATACAAAAAATTGACATTTTTTTTACCAAAAACCGTTTAATTTTGACGCAAATGACCTTGAATAAATACAGTGTAGGTCATAATTTTTTCAACCACAGAGCTTGCCACGTTGCCACATTTAAAAAATTTAAAACCTTGAAATGTAAAGATTTGGCAAATAAACCCTGTAAAACATGATTTTTTGTCCGTAATTTTACAATGAATGTCCTTGAAAGAGTTTAAATTTGACAGCAATGACCTTGAAGAGATTTTTAAAAGTTGTAAGATATTTCTTAATAAAAAACAATTATTTTGAAGTTCTGCGATTTTCAGTGATACAAACTCGAATTTTATTTACCATAAACCGTTTAATTTTAATTGAAGATATTATTAAAAGTTGTAAGAAAAACATTATGGTGAAGTTCTGCAACTTTCAATTAATTTTGACAATTTTTTCATACAAACTAAAAACAAAAAATTTACATTTTTTTTTAGCAAAAACCATTAAATTTTGACCTTATATAAATGTATAAAAATTGTAAATTTCACTATTTTATATACTAAAAATAGTAAATATTGACAATTTTTTTATACAAACTAATAGAAAAAATTGACATTTTTTACCAAAAATCGTTTAATTTTGACGTAAATTTTAAATAAATGTATAAAAATTCTAAAAAACGATGTTAATAAAGTTTTGAGATTTCCAGTTCATATTGACAATTTTTTGATACAAACTAATAAAAACAATTGACATTTTTACCAAAAACCGTTTAATTTTGACATAAATGACCTTGAAGAAATAATAAAATAAAATAATAAAAAATTGTACTTTTCAGCCAAAATTGTTTGATATAAATTTGACTTCAACGACCTTAAAGAGATTCTGCGATTTCCAGTTATAATCATTTTGCCACGTTGCCGCATTTTCAAAATTTGAAACCGTAAATTGTTAAGTTTTGTCAAATGAAACTTTCAAAACAAAAAATCAACAAAAAAAAATTACTTTAAATACCTTAAAGAGATTTATAAAAACTGTAAATTTCACTATTTTTATAAGATGAAAAAAAAACGATTTTCAGTTAATATTGGCATTTTTTAATACAAAAAATCATTTTTTTTACCAAATTATGACATGAAAGACATATAAAAATTGAAAATTTTACCATTAAAAAAACTTATATTAAAGTTTTGCAAGTCTAGTTAATATTGACAATTTTTCAAAACAAAATAATAAAAAAATTGTGCTTTTTAGCCAAAATTGTTTAATTTTGACATAAATGACTTTAAATTTGACATCAACGACGACCTTTTTTTTAAAATTGTTAATTTCACAATTTTCATAAGATGAAAAAAAAACGATTAGGTATAATGAAATTCTGCAATTTTTTGATACAAACTAATACAAAAAATTTACATTTTACAACCCAAAACAGTTCAATTTTGACATAAATGACCTTGAAAAAATGTATAAAAATTGTAAATTTAAGTTCTACAAGTTCCGGTTAATATTGAGAATTATTCGACACAAAATAATACAAAATTGTGCTTTTTAACCGAAATTGTTTAATTTTAATATAAATGACTTTAAATTTGACATCAACGACTATTTGTATAAAATTAAAAAAAAAACGATTATAATGAAGTTCTGCGATTTCCGATCAATATTGGAAATTTTTTGATACAAACTAATACAAAAAATTTACATTTTTCTACCATCACATAAATGACCTTGAAAAAATGTAAAAAAAAATTTAAATTTCAGTTCTGCGACACAAAATTGTACATTTTAGCTAAAATTGTTTAATTTTGACGTACATAAATTACTTTAAATTTCGCATCAACAACCTTGAAGAGATTTATAAAAGTTGTTAATTTTACATTTCTATAAGATTAAAAAAACGATTATAATGAAGTTCTGCGATTTCCAGTAAATATTGACATTTTTTTATACTAACTACAATTTTTTAACAAAATCTCGAAGAAATGTATAAAAATTGTTTCAGTTAATATTGACAATTTTTTGACACAATGACTTTAAATTTGGAGAGATTTATAAAATTTAAAAAAATATAATGCCATTTTCAGTTATAATCAATTTGAAAAGCTGCATTTAAAAAAGTGTAAATTTTTGGCAAATAAAACTCCCCACACGAAAAACCTGCAAAGCAAGAGAAAAAAACATAAAAAAGTCACTCACCAGATGGGCCTCTTTAAGCGAAATATCGGCAAAGTTCGACTGCATCGCGTTAAGGCTGTCGTGCATCGGAGCGGCGGCCTTGAAAAGGTCCGGCCCTCCTATTGGCTGATGCTGCTGCTTCACGTACATGGCTTGCTGTGCGGCTATTTGGTTCTGAAAAGAAAAACAAAAAAATTACAACCTTTTAATGAGAGATAATAACGAAGATTTATTACCTGTAGGTTTGTGATTTGCTGCTTGGTTTTGGTGATCAAAACCGAGCACTGCAGGTAATTGTTGTTGGTCGGTTTGCTGCCGTTCATGACTTGGTTTTGGGCCAAGGTGTGCTGCTGAGCTAGCTGCTGCAGGGTTTTTATCTGCTGCAGGAGCTGGTTGAGCAGCAGCAAGGTTTGCGGGGCCAAAGGCTGATTGAGGATCTGCGCGGAGAAAAGAAAAACGTCAAAAACTTTTTGAAGGACTTTTTGAAGTAACAAAAACTCGCCTGGTGATTGAGATATCCGGCTTGCACGGCCATCTGGATCTGCTGCACGAGCATGCGCAGCTGCTGCGTGCTGGGCTGCGCTTGGGGTTGCATGCTCCTGCCGGAGGCGGCCGACGAGCCGCCGAAACCTTGAGAGCCGCCGCCGCCGCCGCCCTGATTGAGCAGCTTCTGCACGCCGGCAGGGGACATGCTGTTGATGAGGTTGTTGGCGTTCGAGGAGCCGTTCATGCTGTTCAGCAGGTTCGGGCCGGCGTTCGAGGGCGGGAAGCCCATCTGGCCGCCGCCCGGGCCGCCGGGGAAGCGCTGGTTGCCGCCGCCGCCGAACTGGTTGCCCAGGTGATCGTAGTGATCGTCGTGGCGGCTGCGCCAGCCGTCGCCGCCTCTCATCGGCGAAGAGAGAAGTTCCAAGGCCTCCTCGACGTTCATGTCGCGCATGCGCAGCGCGTTCTCGACCTCCTCTTTCTACGATTCAATAAGAAATCGATATGACATATTTATACTTCCTAATACATGTAATACTGGTAGGAAAAGTATAACTCGAAATGCAGCGCAACTCTTCAATGAATTACCAAATGAAATAAAGAATCTACCCAATATCAACGCTTTTCAATGGGCTGTGAAAAACCTAATATTTGAAGAAAAAAACACTACAGAGTATTAAGAAAATAATGTATTTCATAAATTTGTTATATTCACTACATTTTTTTTATACTGTATAATACTTGTTATGGACCTTTGGTCTTTTTGGGTAAATAAATAAATTAAAAAAAAATTAAGTTGTCCAACCTTTTTTGAAAAAAAAATAATTTATTAGAAAAAATGATTTTGAAATCACAAAAACAATAAAAATAAATATTTTGAAAAGTTAAGGTTTATAACTGATCTGCATAAAATCGCTATAAAACCGACTAAAACGATGAATAGAAGATGAATACCTCCTCTTTCTGGGATTTAAGAAGAAATACGTAAAATGTGTGAAATTGTCCCCAGACAAAAAACAGTTTAATTGTGACATAAATGATCTTGAAAAAATGTATAAAAATTGTAAATTTAAGTTCTAGTTAATATTGACAATTATTCGACACAAAATAATACAAAATTGAACTTTTTAGCCAAAATTGTTTAATTTTGATATAAATGACTTTAAATTTGACATCAACGACAACCTTGAAGAGATTTTTAAAAGTTGTAAATTTCACTATTTGTATAAAAACGAATATAATGAAGTTCTGCGATTTCCAATCAATATTGGAAATTTTTTGATATAAACTAATACAAAAAATTTATATTTTTTTACCAAAAACAGTTTAATTTTGACATAAATGAAGTGTATAAAAATTGTAAATTTCAGTTCTTCGGGTTAATATCGACAATTATTCGACACAAAATTGTACTTTTTAGCCAAAATTGTTTAATTTTGACGTACATAAATTACTTTAAATTTGACATCAACAACCTTGAAGAGATTTATAAAAGTTGTTAATTTTACTATTTCTAAAGATTAAAAAAACGATTATAATGAAGTTCTGCGATTTCCAGTAAATATTGACAATTTTTTTATATTAATACAAAATTTGATAGTTTTTTTAACAAAATCTGTTTTACTATGACCTCGAAGAAATGTATAAAAATTGTTTCAGTTAATATCGAAAATTTTTTGACACAATGACTTTAAATTATTTATAAGAAAGTTTTACCTTAAGAAAAAATGATTTTGAAATCACAAAAACAATAAAAATAAATATCTTGAAAAGTTAAGGTCTATAACTGATCTGCATAAAATCGCTATAAAACCAACTAAAACGATAAATAAAAGAAGAATACCTCCTCTTTCTGGGATTCAAGAAGAAATACGTAAACTTTGTGAAATTGTCGCCAAAAGACAATAAACCATCGTTTTTGGAAAAAAATCAATTTATAAGAAAATACACTCACAGGCAAAATAATCGATCCACATAAATTTTCAAAGAATTTCAATCGCAAATAACTTTTTTATTTGATTTTGGATTAAAACAAATATTAAAGAATATTGTAGATACATTAATGGAGAATCGCTCACATTTTAAAAATTTACTAAAAAATACACATACGTTTATAATATACAGGTTTAAACAAAAAAATGTTTTTTACCATAAGTTTAAGACACTCTGTAGAGTGGCAAAACCGTATATTGTTCTAAATTAAGTTTTATTTATCAAGTCACATCTATTCTTAACAGTTTTGTTTTTGGTTCACCTCGATATATTTATTTTTGTGGAAAATATGGATTTTTTTAGAAAACATTGCAATTTCCAATATTTTTCTGTAAGAATTAAGGTTGCTATGGTCCATCCATAGGCTATGAAGAATGACAGTGGCAGTTTTGTTGAATCATCCCATACTTGGACATGTCATACACGGCTTTCAAAAGCTATCAAATTGTTTTTTGCAAATTAATGTTTAAATTTTGAGGTGTCTTCTTGCTTAAAAAATGGATATGTCTCCGACTGATGTTGCCAGAGCCATTAATTTAATCCAGGATGGACGGTCACAGTATTACTTGGCAAGTGTTTTAAACGTCACAAGAAGTAAAGTACAAAGGGCAACATCATTTCAACAACATTTTTAAAAGTAAGAAGACACCTCAAAATTAACACATTAATTTACAAAAAACAATTTGATAGCTGTATTTGACATGTCCAAGTATGGGATCATTCAACAAAACTGTCACTGTCATCCTCCATAGGCTATGTATGGACCATAGCAACCTTAGTTCTTCATACAGAAAAAATATTGGAAATTGCAAGTTTTTTTAAAAAAATTCATATTTTCCATAAAAATAAATATATCAAGGTGAACCAAAAACAAAACTGTTAAAAATAGATGTGACTTGATAATTAAAACTTAATTTAGAACAATATACGGTTTTGCCACTCTACAGAGTGTCTTAAACTTATAGTAAAAAACATCTTTTTGTTTAAACATGTATATTATAAACGTACGTGTATTTTTTAGTAATTTTTAAAATGTGATCGATTCTCCATTAATGTATCTACAATATTCTTTAATATTTGTTTAAATCCGACATCAAATAAAAAAGTTATTTGCGAAGAATACCTCCTCTATCTGGAATTCAAGAAGAAATACGTAAAATTTGTGAAATTGTCGCCAAAAGACAAAAAACCATCGTTTTTGGAAAAAAAATAATTTATAAGAAATAAAAATGATTTTGAAATAAAAAAAAATAAAATATCTTGAAAAGTTAAGGTTTATAAGTAATCTGCAAAAAATCGCTATAAAACCGACTAAAACAACAAATAAAAGAATAAAACACCCATTACACTAAAACATCTTAAATTTTTGTTTATAAAATCACATGTTGAACTAACAAAAAAATATATCAAAAAACCTTAATAATAATAACAAAATGATGATATGCTGACCTTTACTATCGAAATAGTATTTTCAAAGTAATTATAATCCAGCTATAGTCACTTAGAATAGAGAAGCACGTTCACATATTAACGCCATTTTACAAAAAGAACGACATTCTTTAGGATAGTGCATTTTAAAGCCATTGCTGACCGAAAAAAATTAAGCAAAAAATTTCGGTCGCCGCAAAAAATTGCAAACACTGTAAACAACAATGCGCTATGCGCTTGCGTTTGTATACAGTGTGGCAGCATTATGTTTGTTATTGATACGTTTCGTTTTTAAACGATATTTATATTTTAAAATCTTTTCTTTACTCGTCAATAAAGTTACTTTACTCTGGGTATACTATTTTTTTTTCAAACTTAAATTTTTGTTTAATTAATCTGGACCACAATTTTAAAATCTTAAAATGTGTTGTGAAATCGAATTATGTTCTGTAAAACGAATAAAAAAAATTGAATTGTTGTTTATTATAATTTTTTTATAATTATATAGTTTACTTATGTTTGTTTTCTGTCCATCTCGAAAATTCTGCTGCATTTAACATACTGCATGTTTTATAATTTAAAATAACAATGCATAAAGAAATGTCACTGCAACTGTCAAAAGCGAAAAGCGTTACCATAGAAACCAACTATCAATAACAATACTATTTTTGACGTTTTTTAATTCACGTTTTGTGTTACAACATATATGTATATAGTGCCATCTGTATTAACATAAAAATAATTATAAAATCAGTTGGAAAATTGTCTGTTTTTTGCATGGCAATGAAAAATTTAAACACGTTATATTTACTGAAATTTTAAAAATTGTATTTTTTGACATGCTAAAAATAAAGAAAGATGTAAATGGAACTAAAACGAAAAAATACTATAAAACCAAAGACAAAAGAATATTTTCACAAAATAAAAAAAATCCTACTTTAACATTCTGCAAAATGTTTTAAAGGTTTGAAAAAAAAAAGTTAACCACAAGTTTTAAGCTTAAATTTTAAAAATTGTATTTTTTGACATGCTAAGATATAGAAGTATGTAAATGGTACCGGAACGCAAAATACTATAAAACTAAGAAAAAAAAATATTATCACAAAATAAAAAAATCCTACCAGCAAAATGTTTCAAAGGTTTCAAAAAAAGTTAAACACACGATTTTAAGTATTTTAAAATATTTTACTGAAATTTTAAAAATTGTATTTTTGACATGCTAAAAATAAAGAAATATGTAAATGGTACTAAAACGAAAAAAATACTATAAAGTTTAAAACCAAAAATAAAAGAATATTTTCACAAAATAAAAAAAATCCTACTTCAACATTCTGCAAAATGTTTAAAAGGTTTAAAAAAAAAAGAAACGGAAGTTTTTAAGTATTTTAAAATATTTTACTGAAATTTTAAAAATTGTATTTTTAACATGCTAAAAATAATGGAATAAATGGTAATAGAACGCAAAAATATTATAAAACAAAAAAAAATTACGAAATAAAAATAAATACTACCTTAACATGCGAAATGTTTAAAAGGTTTGAAAAAAAAGTTAACCACAAGTTTTTAAGTATTTTAAAATATATTACTGAAATTTTAAAGATTGTATTTTTCGACATTCTAAAATACTAAATGGTAATAGAACGCAAAAAATACTATAAAAACAAGAGGAAAAAAATATTTTCACGAAATAAAAAATAATCCTTAATCCTACCCTAACATTCTGTGATATGTTTAAAAGGTTTGAAAAAAAATTAACCACAAGTTTTTAAGTATTTAAAAATTAAAAAATGTTTTTTTTTGACATGTTAAAAATTAAGAAATATTTAAATGGTACCAAAACGCAAAAAATACCATAAAACTAAGGAATAAAAATATTTTTACGAAAAAACCTACCTTAACATTCTGCGAAATGTTTAAAAGGTTTGAAAAAAAAGGTTTTAAGGTGAAATTTTAAAAATTGTATTTTTCGACATGCCAAGATAAAGAAGTATGTAAAAGGTACCAAAACGCAAAAAATACTATAAAACTAAGGCAAAAAAATTTATTTTTACGAAATAAAAAAAATCCTACCTTATGTTTAAAAGGTTTAAATAACAAGAAACAGAAGTTTTTAAGTATTTTTAAATATTATACTGAAATTTTAAAAATTGTATTTTTGACATTCTAAAAGTAATGGAATAAATGTTAATAGAACGCAAAAATATTATAAATTTAAAAAAAATTTACGAAATAAAAATAAATACTACCTTAACATTCTGCGAAATGTTTAAAAGGTTTGAAAAAAAAATTAAACAAAGTTTTTAAGTATTTTACTGAAATTTTAAAAATTGTATTTTTTGACATTCTAAAATACTAAATGGTAATAGAACGCAAAAAATACTATAAAACCAAGAGAAAAAAAATATTTTCACGAAATAAAAAAATAATCCTTAATCCTACCTTAACATTCTTAGAAATGTTTAAAAGGTTTGAAAAAAAAGTTAACCACAAGTTTTTAAGTATTTTAAAATATTTTACTGAAATTTAAAAAATTGTTTTTTTTGACATGTTAAAAATTAAGAAATATGTAAATGATACCAAAACGCAAAAAATACTATAAAATTAAGGAAAAAAATATTTTCACGAAAAAACCTACCTAGGTTTGAAAAAAAGTTTTTAAGCTGAAATTTTAAAAATTGTATTTTTTGACATGCCAAGATAAAGAAGTATGTGGATGGTACCAAAACGCAACAAATACTATAAAAATAAGGAAAAAAAATATTTTTACGAAAAAAAAAAATCCTACCTTGTATCCAGCCTCGGCCAGCATCCTGAACTGCTTGGACTGCCAGATCATGTCCTTGCTGAGCTGCGGCTTGGGGCCCTTGTTGTGTCCCCAATCGGGATCGCTGTCCCACAGCGGCGGCCCCATCTTCTGCTTCGGCCACGGGCCGTCGTCCCAGTTGCCGCCGCCGCGGCACGCGCCCGGCCCCACCTCGTCCCACGAGCCGCCGTTGCGGCCGTTGCCGCCGCCGCCTCCGTGGCCGCCGCCCCACACCGGCACGCCGTCGGGCTTGATGTTGCCGCCGCCGCCGTTGCCGCGCGACTGCGCCATGCCCGGAGGCCCGCCGCCGCCGGAGCCGTTGCCGCCCCTGACCATGCCGCCCGCGCCTGTTGGCATATCTTTCCAGTGAGAACCTGCTGCGTGGGGGGGAATTACAGACAATGTGCAGTCGAGTTTTATAGGTTTAGTGTGTTTTTGGCGAGTGAGGATTTTTTTCGGTGGGTTGGTAGTACGGTTAGTGTCGTTTGTTGGGGGATTTACACGCAACAATACATAAGAGAATGGTTAGTAGTACAAATTTAATGTTTAAAGTGGTAAAACATGTGACTTCAATGATTATTTAAAAGTGACAAATTTATTTTTTTCAAAAGTAAGTAATCTTAAAAATCGGTTTTTAATTTTTTTTTAAATGATACTTCCTAGAAAAACTGCTAAAAATAAAGAAATATGTAAATGGTAATAGAACGCAAAAAATACTAAAAAACTAAGAAAAAAATATTTTCACGAAATAAAATAAACCTATTTATAAATATTCTGCGAAAAAAGTTAAACACAAGTTTTTAGATATTTTATAATATTTGACTAAATTTAAACTAAATTATAAATAAATAAAAAATTTAAAATCTAGTTTCTAAACTTTTTTTTAAATTTCTGAAACATTATTCGCTAAATTTTTTAAAACGATTTTTTAAAAATATTTAAAATTATCAAAAATTTTCAAATACAGTTTGGAAAACATTTTTTAAATTTTATTTTAAAAACTTAATATCAAAAAATCATGAAATTTCTAAAAAAAATTTAATCTACGAAGTTTGTAATTTTAAAATTAATTTTTTAAAAATATCCAAAAAAAAATTTTAAACTTTTTGATTTTTAAAATTTAAAAAATTTTAAAATCAACAAAAATTTAGAGAATTTCAAATCTACAAAGTTGGTAAATTTAAAGTTTTTAAAATTTTTGATGAAATATTCTAAAACTACTAAATTTTTGAAATTTGACGATTTTTTAAAAATATTTAAAATTATCAAAAATTCAGGAAACTTTTAAATCTAGTTTGTAAACAATTTACATGATTATATACATAAATATATATTATATATAAATAAAAAAATTAAATCTACAAAGTTTTGAAATTTAAAATTTTTAAACCAATACTTTTAAAAATTTCATCAAAAAATTATTTTGAAAATTCTAAAATTTAATGATTTTTTAAAATTTGAAGATATTAAAAATATTTAAAATTTTTAAATTAAAATTTAGAAGATAAAACAGAAAACGAAAGAAAAAAATCTTATGTTAAAATTCTGCGAAATGTTTAAAACGTTTGAAAAAAAAATAAACACAAGTTTTTAAGTATATTATCTACTCCTACATTGACGAGCTGTGACTTTATGGCGTTTTATTTGTTTAATTATTATTATTATTATTATTTAGTCACGAGCTAGTTAGTTAGTTAGCTTTATTATAAATTAGAGAAAAGTGAGGTTAATTCCGTTGACATTTGACAGATGAAAAATAAAAAAAAAATAAAAAATTATATTTTTAACATAAAAATAAAGGAATAAATGGTAATAGAACGCAAAAATGCTATAAAACTAAGAAAAAAAATAATTTCCCGAAATAAATAATTCTACCTTAACATTCTGCAAAATGTTTGAAAGGTTTAAAAAAAGTTAAACACAAGTTTTTAAGTATTTTAAAACGATTTACTGAAATTTAATAAATTGTATTTTTTGACATGCTAAAAATAAAGGAAAAAATACTATAAAACTAAAAAAAAAGATATTTTCACTAAATAAAAAAAATTCTACCTTAACATTCTGCAAAATGTTTGAAAGGTTTAAAAAAAAAATTAAACAGAAGTTTTTAAGTATTTCAAAATGTTTTACTAAAAATTGTATTTTTGGACATGCTAAAAATAAAGGAATAAATGGTAATAGAACGCAAAAAATGCTATAAAACCAAGAAAAAAATATTTTCACAAAATAAAAAAAACTATCTTAACATTCTGCGAAATGTTTAAAAACAGTTTTTAAGTATTTAAAAATATTTGTATTTTTTGACAATTTTCATGAAATAAAAAAAATTCCACCTTAACATTTTCCCTAGAAACTATATGAACTGTTTAAAAAAAATTAAAAACCGATTTTCAAGATTAAAAATTAAATTCGAATCACTTGAGAAGAAACATTTTCGCCGACCTTAAACAGCGTTTCACGTAAAAAAAAATCTGTCTTACCCTTACCTCCTTGCTGGGGATTCCCCCACAGGGACGTGCCGTCGTCGTAGTTGGGCATGTTCCTCCTTTGAGTGGGGGGAGACGGCTCCTCCCATCCTCCCGATCCGTTGCCTCCGGGGCCCACGACCGGCATTTTGTTTTGGTGGTGCATTTGGTGCGGGGCGCCCGGGTGTCCCCCGGACTGTCCCCAAAAGGCCTCGGCGCCTCCGGCGTTTATGCGCCCGGTGATACCTAAGGTTTTGTCGTTTTAGGCTTTTTCCTGGAGGTATACTTTTTATAGTTGTTGTAAACCATAAAAAGTATACTTATTTTTTTGTTGTTAATTGCCCCATTATTATCGATTAATCTTGTTATTTTGCTTTAGAAAAAAAAATACAAAAAACTCACAACACACTGAATATATACTTACTTTTTTTGAGAAATATTAGAATGGCCTAAATTTTTAAATTGTTGTGATTTCTTTGACATTTGTTTGTTTTAATTGTGAATTTACAAAAATGTTAAACATTTTTGTCCCCAATAAAAAACTAACCCCATCAGAACACGTAACAAGAACGCCACTGAACAAGGTAATTTAAAGGTGCAGTAAAAGTTTTATTATTAAGGATTTTAATTAAATGTATCGCCAAAAATAGTGTTGCACTTAGATTTTTATTAATATTTCAAAATTTACTAAATTTTAGAAACATCAAATATTTAAAATTTAAAAAACTTAAAAACTTTAAAAACTATTGTGCAAAAAGTTTGTAAATTTAAAATTTGAGGATTTTAAAAACATTTAAAATTATCAAAAATTTTCCAATATTTTTAAAAATTAAAAAAAAAATAATTTTCAAAATAATAAAATCAAAAATCCATTTTTAAATCCACAAAGTTTGGATGAAAATTGTAAGTTTTAAAAGTTTGACGATTTTAAAAAAATATTTAATATTATCAAAAATTCATAAAATTTTTAAATCTAGCTTGAAAAATATTAAATAATTTATTAAATTAATCAAAAAAATTATGAAATTTTTAAAATCTCCGAAGTTTTGATACAATTTGATTTCAATAAAATTATAAAATTAATAATTACAAATTTTACTAACACTCTAAAATTTATGAAATTTGATTTTAAAAACTTTTAAATCCACAAAGTTAAATTACCTATATATTATATATTATTATATAATATTTAAAATCATCAAATATGCATAAAATTTACAAAGTTTAAATGAAATGTTTTTAAAATTTTTGAAAACTTCAAATCTAAAATTTTTGAAATTTGATTTTTTTTAAATTATAAAATTAATACAAATTTTACAATCTACAAAGTTTCCAATATTTTTAAAAATATCCTAAAAATTTTAAAAATTTTGAAATTTGATTAAAAAAAATATAAAATTAATAAAAAATTAATAAAAGTTTGTAAATTTACTTTCCATTTTTTTTAAGAAATTTAAAATAAATTTAATTTCTAAAATTTTAAAATTTGATGATTTAAAAAAAATTAAAACCAAAATTTAAATTCTACAGTTTGGAAATTTATAGTTTTTAAAATATTTGATGATTTTCAAAATTTCTAAGTTGATTTTAAACACCTTTAAAATATGATAAAAATTTTAAAATCTTTAAATTATTTTAAAATTTAAAGATTTTAAAAATTCATAAAATTTTCTAGGGAAATTTTAAAGTTTCTAGGGAAATTTCAAAATTTCTAAAACTTTTGATTTGTAAAATTTAAAATCAAAAATATAACATTTCTAAAAATTTTAATATCGACAAAGCTAGAAAATTGAAATTTTCAAACTTTCCAATATTTTTAAAAAGTTCAAAAAAACAAAATATTGAAATTTTTTTGATATTTGATATATTTAAAAAATTTAAAATCTTCAGTTTTTGAGGATATTCAGAATTTCTAAAACTTGATTCACTTTGATATTTTATTTTAAATACTTAAAATCAAAAAAATATCATTTTTAAATTTGAAGGTTTTAAAAATATTTATAATTATCAAAAATGCATGAAATTTTCAAATCTACTAAATTTATAAAATTTATAATTATGAAATTTCTGTTTTGCAATTTAAAATTTTGAAACCAATATTTTCAAAAAATTTATACAAAAATTTATTTTTAAAATATGTAAAATTTAATGATTTTTTGAAACTTGATGATTTTAAAAATATTTAAAATTAAAAATTCATAAAGAGGAAATTTCAAATCTACAGTAAAAAGATTTTAAAATTTTTGATATTCAAAAATTTTCAAAATTATCTATACTAAATTTTTGTAATTTTATTTAAAAAAATTTTAAATGTTTGTAATTTTAAAATTTTTTAAATCTTTAAGTTATTTTGAAATTTAAAGATTTGAAAATTATTTTATATAAATTATCAAAAATTCATAAATAAAATTTTTAAATCTAGTTTAAAAATTTCTAAAACTTTCATAATTTGAATACTTTTGAATTCTGAATCTGAATTATTTTGAAATTTAAAGTTTTTAAAAGTATTTAAAATTATCAAGAATTCAGAAAATTTACGAAATTATTAGAATCAAAAAAATTATAAAATTTCTAAAACATTTTGATGATTATAAAAAGTTTTAAAACTTTATTAACAAAATTTATGAAATTTTGATTTTAAAAATACTTAAACATAACAAAAATTCATAAAAATCTATAGTTTGAAAATTTCAATATTTTAAGAATAATAAAATTTCTAAAAAGTTAATATTTAAAGTTTTTGAAATTTTCCAAAAGTGCAACACTTTTTTCGCGCCTGTACAATTAAAAACCAGAACATTAAAACCACCGTGTATAGTGTAAATAGTGTAAATAGCATCTTTGTGATGTAGTGTACCTCTCGGGTCTCCTCGCATGTCGCCGCCGGCGGCGAGCTGCCGCATCTGCTCCCGCATCGGATCCATCATGCGCATCTGCTGCGCCGCCTCGACCGGGCCGCCCCCGGGACCGCCGCCCCCGCGCATCGGACCGTCGCCGGGACCGTCCGACGCGCCGCCGGGAACGGCGCCGCGCATGTCCGCGACGCCGGGACCGCGCGGGTCCGGGCCCACGCCGCCGCCGCCGCGCGGGTCGCCCCAGCCGCCGCCCGATTGGTTGACGGCGTTGCTGCCGCCCACGCCGCCGGACCAGTCGCCCGCTCCGCCGCCACCGTTGCCGCCTGCGTCCTTCTTCGGCACGTTGTTGCCGCCTGCTTGTTCGTACGGGGAGGACCAAGTTGTAATTGTAATTTTTTCTGCTTTACTACTACTACTACGCATACATTCTTAATCGCTTTGCGCAGCACACATTTAAACGACATACTGAATCGAGAGTGTTCAAGAAAATTAACGATTTTTAGTCAATATTGCAAAATGGTTATTTTTCTTGAAATTATCCAAAACGAAACCCAATAACAGTCAACACAGTCCCTGGCCAATTTATTAAACTATAAAATAGTCAATATCTTTTCACAAAAACCCAATTTTGAACTATAAGATAAAACGAATTTTTACAATAAAATTAAAAATACATTTCTTCTTATATAAAAATAAATAAAAAGTTAAAAAAAAAAAAATTCTATAAGAAATGTTAAAATTTCTCCAAAAATGTTTTAAAACAATCTTATCAAAAAAAATTGTAAAAAATATCCAAAATTTTACACAAAATGTTCATTTAAATTAAAAAATGTAACAAAAGCGTAAAAATACGTTTTGATAAAAAAATGTATACGATTTCTTCTTAAAAAAAATGTATAAAAAGTTTAATGAATTTATTATAAAATTACACCAAAAACGAAATTCTATAATGTATGTTATTTAGGACCATGTTGTAATTGTAATTTTTTGTGCTTCACTACTACTACGCATACATTCTTAATCGCTTTGCGCAGCATACATTTAAACGACATACTGAATTGGAAGTTTACAAGAAAATTAACTATTTTTAGTCAATTATATTGCAAAATGGTTATTTTTCTTGAAATTATCCAAAACGAAACCCAAGAACAGTCAACACAGTCCCTGGCCAATTTATTAAACTATAAAATAGTCAATATCTTTTCACAAAAACCCAATTTTGAACTATAAGATAAAACGAATTTTTACAATAAAATTAAAAATACATTTCTTCTTATATAAAAATAAATAAAAAGTTAAAAAAAAAAAAATTCTATAAGAAATGTTAAAATTTCTCCAAAAATGTTTTAAAACAATCTTATCAAAAAAAATTGTAAAAAATATCCAAAATTTTACACAAAATATTCATTTAAATTAAAAAATGTAACAAAAGCGTAAAAATACGTTTTGATAAAAAAATGTATACGATTTCTTCTTAAAAAAAATGTATAAAAAGTTTAATGAATTTATTATAAAATTACACCAAAAACGAAATTCTATAATGTATGTTATTTAGGACCATGTTGTAATTGTAATTTTTTGTGCTTCACTACTACTACGCATACATTCTTAATCGCTTTGCGCAGCACACATTTAAACGACATACTGAATCGGGAGTGTTCAAGAAAATTAACGATTTTTAGTCAATTATATTGCAAAATGGTTATTTTTCTTGAAATTATCCAAAACGAAACCCAACAACAGTCAACACAGTCCCTGGCCAATTTATTAAACTACAAAAACCCAATTTTGAACTATATGACGATAAAACGAATTTTTACAATAAAATTTAAATTAAAAATATATTTCTTCTTATATTAAAATAAATAAAAAGTTAAAAAAAACAAATTCTATAAGAAATGTTTTCCAAAAATGTTTTAAAACAATCTAATCAAAAAAAATTGTAAAAAATATCCAAAATTTTGCACAAAATGTTCATTTAAATTAAAAAATGTAGCAATAGCGTAAAAATACGTTTTGGTAAAAAAGTATACGATTTCTTCTTAAAAAAATGCATAAAATTACACCAAAAACGAAATTTTATAAGGTATGTTCCAAATTTTGCAAAAAAAAATATCTTGTAAAAAACTACAACAAATATTTAGTTTGTGAAAATTATCCAAAATTTTGCACAAAATATTCAATTAAATTAAAAAATGGACCAAAAGCGTAAAAATACGTTTTGGTAACAAAATATACGATTTCTTCTTATAAAAAAAATATGTAAGAGTTTCATGAAATTATCATAAAATTAAACAACAAACTAAATTTTATAAGGAATGTTTAAAATTTTGCCAAAAATGTTTTAAAACAATCTAATCTTGTAAAAAACTACAAAAAATATCCAAAATTTTCATTCATTTAAATTAAAAAATGTAAAAAAGCGTAAAAATACGTTTTGGTAAAAAAAATACGATTTCTTCTTTAAAAAAAATATATAAAGAGTTTAATAAAATTATTACAAAATTAAACAAAAAACCAAATTCTATAAGGAATGTTTAAAATTTTGCCAAAAAACTACAAAAATGATCTTGTTTTTGTGAAAAATATCCTCAATTTTGCACAAAACTTCATTTAAATTAAAAAAGTTTGCCAAAAAGTGTAAAAATACGTTTTTTATTAATAAGGACCAAAAAACTAAATTTTGAAGTAAATTTTGTTCCATTCAATACAATTTTATACCTACTACTCATACATTCTAGATCGCTGTGCGCATCATACATTAGGAATGTTCAAGAAAATTAACAAATTTCATTATTAAAAAAAATATTAGACAAATTAATTAAAAATGTTAATATCAAGAATATATTTTATAAAATCCACACATCTTAAAGCCATGCATCAAAAAACAATCACAGTCCAAAAAAAAATTAGTTAAACCATTCAAAACAAAAAATGCGTCGATTTTTTCAACAAGAAAAACTTTTTTTGGCATAACGGCCATTTAAGCATACGGACGGGACAAATCACAATACTGTTTTTATAAAAAAAATTGTAGGTAATTTATTATACATGGCGTTATGTAATTAATGTAATATATTAAAATAGGTAGTTACTTAGGGTTCATAAAGAAGCACCTGAAACTTTTTTTTCAAAATTCTAAAGACTGAAAATAATTAATATTAACCTAACTAGGAACTTTAGGCTAATCTGGTGTCCTACTTTAATTTATTATGTTATGGTTGGTAACAAGCAGCGTTTCCAGATTCTGTCATAAAAGTTGCCAGATTTTGTTTAAATTTAGCTTAATTACAAGAATGACAAAATCAATAATGCAAATTGTTAATTTGACGTTTTTATTAATTGTCTATTATGTCATTTTTGTAATAAAGGTAAATTCAAACAAAATCTGGCAACTTTTATGACAGAATCTAGTGCATTTCTTTCAAATTTTAGGTTATGTGCTCAAATTGTAAATAGCTTAACTAAGGGAAGTGCTTTTGGATTCATTTACACCAATTGAATATTTAAAGTTTAACCTGTGAACTTGTCCCAATTTCATCTGAGTAAACAGAAAGAAAAAAACCGATGAAAAAAATAATTTTGCGGTTATGGAGTTTTTAAAATAGGTACTAAATTTTCTAATCATTGTTTAAGCAAAAAGTAATGAGTAAATAAATACAGAAGGGTATTGGAGCTTTAAGGGCATACAACTTTTGTATCTATTGAGTTTTCTTTATTTTTTGCAAGAAAATTTTTAGTAACATTTTTTTACAACACCCTGTATATTATTTTTGCATCAAAATTGTCAAATATACAGACTGTATAGAATCAAGTAAGTAAGGCTGGAGACAAGGATGACAAATTATATTCTGATCAGAGAAAAAGAAACAAACTTTAATTGGGCGTGGTTTAAACCAAGCCATTCGTAATTACGAACCATAGTTGCCAGGTTGTTTTAAATCAGAAGAGAACGATTATAATTATTTAATAAATAGTTCAATTTTATTTGTTTGAAACTTTAAAAATAACAAAAAAATTATTAATATGTCGAAAATAATTTGATTTAGTTAATTTTCTTACTTTTAATATTAAAAAATAAGAAAAACAACCCTTTTAGGAAACAATAATAGCCTATGGCAACAGCGCGGCATGCAGCCAGATACAAGGGCATGCAGTTTTGTTCAGTAGCTCCGACGCTGTCGTGTATAGTTTTTTAGAAATACATTTTCGCCTTTAACTGGAATTTAATGGATTTTAAACAATAGTTTTTATTTGCTGAAATGCATTAAAACAAAACAAACGAATTCGATAAAAATAAAACCTATAAATTCTCAAACAAAAATAATTCTAAAATAACGAAAATAACTTTTTTTCTAAATTAAATGTTCAAATAGACCACCAGCAGCCCGTTAAACAATACCCTAGCCCATCATAAAAATTCCTGCGCACGTTAAACAGCATTTCAGGACTAACATCTCCCAATGTATTAAAGATTCAATCCCTATCACAGTGTATCTATTCGTTTTAATACACACTATATCTTCTTTTATAAAATATTTCGTTTTTTTTTTAATTTAATGTATATCCTAATAAAAGAAGAATATTTTTGACAATTTTTTTTTTTATAAAAACAGTTTTGTGCGTTTCGCGCGCGAGAAATGGCCGATAACCAGAGAACGTCTTTCTTCGAAAAAAAAAAAAAAAAAAAAAAAATGGAAAGCTCGACTTACCGCCCCACATGGCGCCGTTGTTGGCGTTGCCGCCGCCGCCCCACTGCTGCTGCTGCTGGCCCGACGGCACGCCGGTCCACACGTTCGAGCTGTCGGCGTCGTCGTCCTCGCCCCAAGTGCCGCCGATGTTGGTCGAGGGCGTGTGGCCCCACGGCGTCTTCTGCTGCGGCTGCGGCGGCGGCTGGCCGCCGTTGCGCAGGTTCGCCTCCCACAGCTCGGTGCCGTTGTTGACGGTCGGCTTCCACGGCGACGGGCCCGTGCCGTCCATCTTCATCGGCGGCTCGGGGCTTCCCGGGATGTCCCAGTTCGTGTCTTGGTTGACGTGTTGCTAAGGAGTACGTCGAGGGTTATTTTTTTTTCTCTGGCGGGTTTAGGGTTTTTTTTGTTTTGTTTTGTTTTAATCATAGTGTGGTTGGAATCAATGGTTGTCATTAATTGGATCCGTGTTTATAATCATGTTAAAAAGTTTCACCTTATGTAAAGGACCAAAAAATTCATTATTCGTAGATACATTGTATCTGATTCAATTTTGAAAAAAAAAATTTAAATAACAAATATCCTAAAAAAATTATTTAGCATTGAAAACCAATAAAAAAATATTAAGAAAAAAGATTTTTATATCAATAAAAATGTCAGAAAACCTGTTTCACCTTAAAGGCCCCAAAAAATTTATTATAGGTACTGTGTGTTACGTATTTCATCAAAATTTTGATAAAATATCTTAAAATAACACATGAAAAAAAATATTTAGCATTTAAAACCAACAGTGTGTTATGTATATCACCAAAATTTTGATAACATTTCTTAAGATAACAAATGGGCCAAAAAAAATACTTAGCATTGAAAACCAATAAAAAACTAAAAAAAAAGAATTTTTTATAATGGGCCAAAAAAATACTTTTAATTTTGATAAAATACTTTTAATTTTGATAAAATATCTTAAAATAACACATAAAAAAACAATATTTAGCATTTAAAACCAACAGTGTGTATCATCAAAATTTTGATAAAATTTCTTAAGATAACAAATGGGCAAAAAAATACTTAGCATTGAAAACCAATAAAAAAAAACTAAGAAAAAAGAATTTTTTTATAAATAAAAATGTCGAAAACCGTGTTTTATCTTAAAGGCCCAAAAAAATCATAATACAGTGTTATGAATTTCATCCAAATTTTTATATAACACCTTAAAATAACAAATATCCTAAAAAATATTTTTTTAGCATTGAAAAGGTATATTATATTATACAGCCCGTTCAGAGTAAAACCGAATGTAGGGAAACGTATGGGGCGTGGCCTCGCCTCCCTCCAACGCGCGACACAGTAGCTAAGCAAATAGCCTGCATCGCTAATGAGATTTTTTGCATTATTATCATTTAATTTTTTAAGTCGTCTTACCTGCTCGACCTTTCGTCATGTCGTTTATGACACAAGCTACTGTGACGCGCCTTGAAGGAAGGCGAGGCCACGCCCAAAACGTTTCCCTATATTCGGTTTTACTCTGAACCTATATCATCAAAATTTTAATAAAATATATTAAAATTACTAATGGAAAAAAATACTAAAACCAACAGTGTGTTATGTATATCATCAAAATTTTGATAAAATTTCTTAAGATAACAAATGGGCAAAAAAAATACTTAGCATTCAAAACCAATAAAAAAAACTAAGAGAAAAGAATTTTTTTGTAAATAAATTGTAGAAAAACGTGTTTTATCTTAAAGGCCAAAAAAAAACAAAATACAATGTTATGTATTTTATCAAACTTTTTATAAAACTTCTTAAAATAACAAATATCCTAAAAAAATTATTTACCATTGAAAACCAATAAGAATGCGAAAGATTATTTTATAAACAAAAATGTTATTAGGTAAAGTGTGTTATGAATATTGAAGATCATCAAAATTTTGATAAAAAATTACTTGGCATTGAAAACCAATAAAAAAGAATTTATCAAAATAAAAAAGTGTGGAAAAACGTTTTACTTATTCAAAAAAAAAAAAAAATCTACTTACGCCGCCCCATCCGTCCTGACTGAAAATGGCCTCGCGCATGTTGTTCAGCTGCTCGAGCTGCTGCTTGGTGGTGGTGGCGGTCGGGGCGAGGCCGGCGCCCACGTTGTTGTTGACGGCGCCCGGCGCCCCGCCCACGGGCGGCACCGCGCCGCCCGCCGTCGCCACTCCGACCGGCCCGGGGCCGTTGGCGGGAGCGCCGCCGCCCACCGGAGGCTTGCCGCCGCCCGGCGGGCACCAGCCGCCCGACTGGCTGCCGCCTCCGCTGTTAGACTGCGCGGCCGGCGGCTGCTGCCCGTTCGCGTTCACTTTGTTCGCTGAAAGTTTAAAGGGACACGTTGTATTTTTTTTTTCATTGCCTGCACGGTTTTTGGTTTTTTTTTGTTAAATATCATAGTGTGGTTGGAATCAATGGTTGTCATTAATTGGATCCGTGTTTATAATCATGTCAAATTTTTGTATTCCGCAAAAAATACTTCAAAAAAAATGTACGTCAAATAAATCTTGTAAATAAAATTTGTTGAAAAAAAAAATTAATTAAATCAAAATATCTCAGAAACTAAAAATGCTGGACCAATGAAATTTGGGCACGTTTTTCAAGTCGACATTATCAACATTCGTACCAAATTACATCCACCCAACTCAAAAAATAAGAGAGTTATTAACGAAAATAGTACTGCGCTTTATGTTTTTTTTTTTATTAAAAATCATAGTTTATTTGGAATAAATGGTTGTCATTAATTGGATCCGTGTTTATAATCATTCAATTTTTTTTATTCCGCAAAAAATACTTAAAAACAACCAAAAAAATAGTACTGCGCCTTTTGTTTTTTTTGTTAAAAATCATAGTTTATTTGGAATAAATGGTTGTCATTAATTGGATCCGTGTTTATAATTGTGTTAATTTTTTATTTCGCTAAAATAGTTTAAAACAACCAAAATAAATCTTGTAAATAAAATTTTTTGAAAAAAATTGAGAAAGGTAACGCCCAATTTAATTAAATCAAAATAACTCAGAAACTAAAAATGCAGGACCAATGAAATTTGGACACGTTTTTCAAGTCGACATTTTCAACATTCGTACCAAATTACATCCACCCAACTCAAAAAATAAGAGAGTTATTAACGAAAATAGTACTGCGCTTTTTGGTTTTTTTTTTGTTAAAAATCATAGTTTGTTTGGAATAAATGGTTGTTATTAATTGGATCCGTGTTTATAATTGTGTTAAATTTTTTATTTCGAAAAAATAGTTTAAAACAACCAAAAATGTACGTAAAATAAATCTTGTAAATAAAATTTGTTGAAAAAAAATAAGAAAAATGACGCCCAATTTAATTAAATCAAAATAACTCAGAAACTAAAAATGCTGGACCAATGAAATTTGGGCACGTTTTTCAAGTCGACATTATCAACATTCGTACCAAATTACATCCACCCAACTCAAAAAATAAGAGAGTTATTAACGAAAACAGTACTGCGCTTTTTGTTTTTTTTTGTTAAAATTCATAGTGTTTGGAATATATGGTTATCATTAATTGGATCCGTGTTTATAATTGTGTTAATTTTTTATTTCGCATAAAATAGTTCAAAACAACCAAAAATGTACGTAAAATAAATCTTGTAAATAAAATTTTTTGAAAAAAAATAAGAAAAATGACGCCCAATTTAATTAAATCAAAATAATTCGGAAACTAAAAATGCTGAACCAATGAAATTTGGGCACGGTTTTCAAGTCGACATTATCGACATTCGTACCAAATTACATCCACCCAACTTAAAAAATAAGAGAGTTATTAACGAAAATAGTACTGCGCTTTTTGTTTTTTTTTTGTTAAAAATCATAGTTTGTTTGGAATCAATGGTTGTCATTAATTGGATATGTGTTTATAATCATGTTAATTTTTTTATTTCGCATAAATTAGTTTAAGACAACCAAAAGTGTACGTCAAATAAATCTTGTAAATAAAATTTGTTGAAAAAAAAAATGACGCACAATTTAATTAAATCAAAATAACACAGAAATTAAAAATGCTGGACCAATGAAATTTGGGCACGTTTTTCAAGTCGACATTCTCGACATTCGTACGAAATTACATCCACCCAACTCAAAAAATAAGAGAGTTATTAACGAAAATAGTACTGCGCTTTTTGTTTTTTTTTGTTCAAAATCATAGTTTGTTTGGAATAAATGGTTGTTATTAATTGGATCCGTGTTTATAATTGTGTTAAATTTTTTATTTCGAAAAAATAGTTTAAAACAACCAAAAATGTACGTAAAATAAATCTTATAAATAAAATTTGTAAAAAAAAATGACGCCCAATTTAATTAAATCAAAATAACTCAGAAACTAAAAATGCAGGACCAATGAAATTCTGGCACGTTTTTTAAGTCGACATTCTCGACATTCGCACCAAACTACATCCGCCCAACTCAAAAAACGAGAGAGTTATCGAGGAAAATGGTACTGCGCAGAAAATGGGTAAAATTTACTGACCGTCCTGCGCAGAAGGGCCCTGATTCGAAGTCGGTGGTCGATTAGCATTGTTGTTCCATTGCTGCGCGCCGGCGGCGTTCTGATTGGCGGGATTCGCGCTCCCCCAGCCTCCGCTGCCTCCGGCTGCAACAAAACCCAAGATTTGATTTTTTTTTTGGTCACACAGCCGCTGCGTACAAGCTAATAAACCACCAAACCACGTCTGCTAGATTTGGCAACGATGCCGTCTCGATATCTGTTTACCTCGTTATCTAGGGATTTTTTTTTTTTAGCTTACCGTTGTTGTTGCTGGCCTGCTGGTTGGGCGGGCTGCCCCAATTTGAGGTGCCGGTGCTCAGCGAACTTTCGCCGCCGCCTCTCAGGCGAAGCGGTGTTGCCGCTCGCGCGTCCTCGTCTTCGATAGTCGTGATATTTTTTGGTGTGGTGTTGCTGTTGTTGTTGTTGGCAATGGTAGTTTTGTTGAGGTTATCGTCGTCGTCGTCGTCATCATCTTTATTATTATTATTACACAAGTCATTATTTTTTTGTTTGTTTTTGTTTTCTTCGAGTAGGTCATCAGACTTTTGGTTGGGAATGTCTCGTCCGAGGGATAAAGCACCAAACTTACTGCAAAAAGTTTTACATTGCAAAAATTGAACGAATTTTACAAATAAACTTGGCAACGCTTTAAATACCAACAAATCTGACAACGTCGCTAATACATTTGGCAGCACTGTAATAAACTCGCATAGGCATACGCTATGCACGGGTGTTTTAAACGATTTCTTTTGATTTTTATCCTAAATTATTGTGTTATAAAAAAAATAATTTTATACCTTAAATTTAATTTGGTCGAATTTTACTTTAGATAGTTGGTATCACAGTCATTGGTTTGACAGTTAATGTCAAAATCGATTCGCCATGACGTCCTTAATTTACTTATTTACAATAAGCGGCTGTTAATGTTAAAGAAGAAAAAAGGATTTTCTTTGGTGTTAAGTATTAGAAAAATCATAAAAATATTATAACCAATATGCAAAATATTATGCTGTTTTTAGTATAGCCAACCTATAAAATCAAAATTTTGGGTGGAATAAAGTATCTCATTGTAGATAAAATTATTTAATTATAATTTACGTAATGCTGTTGCAAACATCTGATTAAAAAAATTGAAATGCGTGTCTGCAAATAATTTTAAACAAAATTGAATTAATGCGGCACGACACCGTTGGTAAGGTGCGTTTACCTTTTAATTTTTTAATTAATTATTTACAAACACATGCTAAGTGAATACATGTTTTATTCATAATAAATTATATTCGGCCGGTCGAGACGGTATTAATTCTAATAATAGATTCATAAATACCGCCGTAATGATAGGTTTTGTTTTAGTTGGGTTCGATTTTTTTTTTCGTTTGGACTTTGATCAATAATTTTAAATTCGGCAACACTGTCCGACAACAGCGACGTTCACAGCGGATTTAAGTTTATAAATCCAGCTTCACCACTTGTTTTTATCAATAAAATACAGGGTGTTATGTAATTAATGTAATAAATTAAAATACTGAATACCTTTTGAAATAAGGTTTAACGGAAAAATATTTTCCCAAAGATAAAGAAAAAATGTGCATTGGAAGTTTTTATATTTTTTGTGATACGCCACTGGTTGCACACTTGTGTTCTGTGAGTACATAGATACCAACCAACAAAGTAGCTGCGCGTTGCCAGATGTAAAAAATTGTTACTAAAAATTTTTCTTGCAAAAAATCAATAAAAACTCAATAAATACAAAAGTTTTATGCCCTTAAAGCTCTAATACCCTTCTGTATTTATTTACTCATCCAGCTATTAGCTTAAGCAATGATTAGAAAATTTAGTACCCATTTTAAAAACTCCATAACCACAAAATTAATTTTTTCGTCGGTTTTTTTCTTTCTGTTTACTCAGATGAAATTAGGACAAGTTCACAGGTTAAACTTTAAACATTCAATGTGTGTAAATAAATCCAAAAGCACTTCCCTTAAAAAGATATTTACAATTCGAGCACATAACCTAAAATTTGTAAGAAATGCACAAGATTCTGTCATAGAAGCTGCCAGATTTTGTTTGAATTTACATTTGCATTGTAGATTTTGTCATTTTTGTAATTAAGCTGAATTTAAACAAAATTTGGCAACTTTTTTGACAGAATCTGGTTGTTACCAACCATAAAAGAATAACTTAAATTAGGCAACGAGATTAGCCTAAAGTTCTTAGTCGATCAGTGGCGTAATTTTTGGTAGGATAAAGGTTAATATAAATTGTTTTTAGTCTTTAGAATTTAGAGAAAAAAACTGCCCATTTTAATATGTTATATTAATTACATATCACCCTGTATAAAATAGCAAAAAATTGATATTTATTTGCAATAAAAAAGTTTTAATTGGTAAGACGATCTAAATAAAATTTGTTTAAACGTTGAAATGACTCCTTATTGTTCGCATATAAATGCGATGTTGCCAGATTGTTTTCGGTTATTTTTTTTTTTCGACTTACCTATCTAACTTATCGCTATTATTGTGGGCGACCGACTCGAGTCGGTCATTACGTTGTCTATTTGGTACGGTAACAGTAGAGTAGTTCAGAAGACAAATTTCGGTCACAGATTGCATAATCTTACAGTTAGAGTTGCCGCCGCCGCCGCCCGCCTCCGGGGCGCCGCCGCCGCAACTTGAGCCGTTCGGTATCACAGACTGGGCGCCGGCGCGGCCGCCGCCGTTTGCGGGGGCGGTCGCGTCGGCGTGTTTGGCGGCTGGGCGCTCGCAGGCCGGCAGGTCGGCTCGACCCTTCCGACCGCCTCTAGCGCCGCCGCCCGCTAATATTAATTGTACTACGGGGTAGGTGGTGGGGGGTGGGTTTATTTTTGCAGACACGCTGTTGATTTCCGTCGACGCCGTCAGTTGATCCGGTGGGGGTGGTGGTGGTGGTGGCAGTGTTTCGATCATAGCCGCCGCCGCCGCCTTCATCGCCCTACTACTACTAGCCGCGCCCCTCATGGCTGACTCTTGTTCTAGAGGCACTTGGTAGGTAGGAAATGTAGATTTCGGCTCGGAGGAGGTCAGGGCGCGCATCATCAATAGTGCTTCATATCAGTCTGGCCAGCCAGAGATCTGCAAACAAACAAAACTACGTCAAAAACAAACAAAACTGTCATTTTTGACGTTTAAAGCCCTGTTGCCACTTTTAAACATGGTACTAAGTTTAGGGGTTTGGTTGGTACGGATACGGAACCAAAATGGGTTGCTTTGATTAAAACAAACTAAACTATAGTTATAAATGTAATTATAATATAATTGTGGTTATGTTAAACGGTTGTGGTTATGTTTGAACGGTTGTCAAGTTGAGTTGTCAAAATTCGTATTTAAAAATGCAATTAATTTGGCTTTGGTGGTGCTAAGATGAGTAAAATCATATAAAAAAGTAGTTAAATATAGGTGACTACGGCCCAGGAGAGACAAAGTATTCCTAGCGGATAATAATCTTCGCTTTGAAAAGAATTTATATAAAAGAAATGTGAACACACGTGAATGTTGTCCAATCATTGGACTCCAATGGTGAACGGGTATTTTGTTAAAGCCACTGGGCGTGGCTTAATAATAATTATAATGTATATATTGTCCAGGACTATTAAAGATCAGTAACTTGCAAATTGAAAGAAGAAAAAGTTTCGTGATTATCGCTCTTATATTTTTCAAAGCAAATGGATGCTATTTTCAAAGACAGGAAAATTAACTACTAAAGTCTATTCAAATCCAAGCTGGACTAAATGTAAACACAATCTTCCGAATCGACCAATAAAAACTCACAATCCGAATCACACCATCAGAATCGACCAATAAGAACGAGTTATCATGCGTCTGGGCAATTTTGTTTAGTCCAGCTTGGATTTGAATAAACTTTAGATTTTTCACAAAAAGGTGGAACCTAACGGCAAATAATTTTTATTTTTTGTTTTTTTATTTCCCAATTTTGATCTTCTTAGTTTGAAAATTTGGCATTTAAAGCTTCTCAGGTTATGTAGGTGTCAAAGTAAAGTTGATGAAAGAAATAATATTTATACTGTTACCCCTTATTTTTAAGCGTTAAAAGTTAATAAATCTTTATAGTATAACAATAACAATGGTTGGTTTAAGAATTTAGCCTAAAACCTAAATCTAAATTGCAATTATTTGTAAATACAATTTCGTAATAAATAAATTTAGAAAAAATAGACTTTTCATTCCATTCTTTATATTTGCTTTAAAACAGGTTATTTTATTTTATTAAAAACATTTGACTGATAAATGGATTTAAAACAAGATATTTAATAATAAAATGACAATTATTTTTTATTAAAATACACTGTGACGTATGAAATGCATTCTTCCTAATTTTTGAATGGAATAAGGTTAATTCCAAGAAAATTTATTGTAATTGTGCAACTTTCATTTTAAATACGCACCAAAGGAAAGGATTCAAAAAGTGCACCTGGCCAAAACCCAAACAGGTATATATTCAATAAAATTCACAAAAGAAAACATCAAACCAAAACCTGTACATTCAAACACTTACTGTGTTCTTTGGAAATAAAAAAAATAAAGAATTTCTACGGGCTTCTACGATACAATTTATTTTAAGAAAAAACACCCACCGCCCACTCAGTTAAATGCATTTTATTTCGGGTAGTTACGTTGTGCAAGTAGGCGCACAATGGGAAATAAGGCGTAGCAGAAGGATTGTAGCGGTGTGCAAAACACATTAAAGGTCAAGGTCGACAATCGCGACCAAATTTCGCGATAAATCTGTTGTTTTGATGTAATGCGTTTTAGAGTAAAAGTCTCAATGATTTTAAAGGTTTCTCGACATAAAAACCCGTCGTACTGTGCGGCTGAACTAAAAATAAAACGAAAATTTGGAACGAATTGTGCAGTAGAGATGGGTGCGCGTCGAATCTAGTGCACGGTGATCGTTAGCTGGTGTCGCGCACCCATCTCTATGCAGCCTGCTAGGATTGTCGACGGCGAGAGACAAATCAAAGATGGCCGCTCGCGATTTATATTATTGAACAAGCTTTTAGGGAAAACTCACTCTTCGCTGCTGCTATCAAAATGGTCAATCGTATCGTTTAGGAGGAACTAGGTCATTTTTCACACAAACACTGTATTTATTGTAAGTCGTAGTAACACAGACATGAAAGCGTTTATTTTTGTATGTTGTTGATTTTGTAACTACTGTTATACTTAAAAATTAAGTGGTATATCACAATTGTATGTTTGAATTTGGCGTTGAAATACTTTTAAAACTGGGCACCACTACACCGAGTAATATTGATCATTTGCTCGAACGCGTTATTACCTATACAAAGTTTTTATTATTTTGCTCTTTCAGCGCGGTACACGAATGAATCGTACGTGGCACTGGTGCCTGGCAGCAGTTAACGACTGACCAATCGGATCGCGTCGGACGGGCTCGTGCCCGAACGAGAAAGCGTGCTGCCGAGTCGACGCGTTGCCCCGCGCGACCGAAACCGACGGGGAGGGGGGAAACCAGTTCTGATAGGCTCGAGGACGTTCGAGGGGATGGGGCCTCATTCCCAAGCCGACGCCACGATGCCAAATCGCCCAATAAGACCCATTTGATGCGTTTTTACGAGATTTTAATCGCGACAAGATTTAAAAAAAATACAGGGTCATTCCATGACAAACGATACCAATGGCGAAAAAATAAATATGTTCTTTTCGCAATAAATAATGAATTTCGAAAGAAAAAATTCCAAATTATAATGTGCGACAAAAAAAACTAGAAGAAACGCGTAAATTTAAAGTTAATTAGTGTTCAAAATCTGTACTCTAGTGAACTGGCTATACTATACCTACTATACTTTTGGAAATGCGAATTAAAACTGTCAACTGTCGAAAGGTTTCGAGTGTTACAACTTTTTTCATATGTCGATATAATATATCGATATAATATATAATAATTATTGCATTCTTCAAGCAATACATACACATATTATGTGTATGTATTGCTTGAAGAATGCAATAATTATTATTTTTAAGGCTCTTTCGACGGCCCACTAGCGTGGCCATCGGAAAAGCAGTTATACCTCTCTTAAAGAGGTGGTGGGACTGCTTTTCCGATGGTGTTATCGAACCTACTGAAATTTCGGTATTACTACCTAAATGAAAACGGACCCACCAAAATACCGAATACTTAGATTTTCGTCATAGTTATGTTTTTATCGATTTTCGGCAATAATAACGATTTTTTGCCGATTTATCAATCGCACCCAAAACTGCTTAAGTTATGTTTAAGAAGAATTCATTCTATTTATGTTTATTTGTTACCAACTTATTTGGTAGTACCTAGAGATTAATAAAACACCGATTTTGTCCATATAAAGTTTTTAATTTTTGTACTTGTAACACCCGAAACAGAACCATGGTAACACCCGAAACAAAGTAAAATTTTATAAAAAAAAATAGTAAACTGTTATTTGTGACAGTGATTATGTGGTAGATGGTTAGTGAATATTATACTTTGGCCTGTAATTTTTAGGAATGTTTCCCAAGAAAATTCGACGAATTTCAAATAATTGTAACAATGGTCAGGACATAGAGGAGAAATCGTGAAACACATATACATAAAAATTTAGACTTTGGTTGAACAAATGTAACACGTTTAAATGTCAAGGTGTGACTTTTGGTTGTGAATTTATTTCAAAAAATGGCAAATCATTCTTGGAACAGGGGAACCCCCTTCCTATAGCATACTCATCGACGAAAAAAAACTGAGATAAAGTCGAGTGGTTTCGGTTATAGTGCATTACGGCACAATCTAATCAAAAATTAAATAAGAACAAGTATTTTTATATCGGATTTAATGAAATCACGACTCGATCGGCTGATTAGGCAAGTAGACGTGGCAACGCGGCGAGGTGCAAATAACAAAACAACCGTTTTCGTTTTGTTTTCTAGGAATACCAAGTAAATAATGGCAAAATGTGAAGGGGGGGGTTAAAAAATATTAAATAGGACGTTTTTACAAGAAGAATGTTGATTTAACATGTTACATAACAAGCGAGATAAGATACAAAATTCTACAAAATAAAATAAACAAATTTTACATTCGTTACCTACATAAATATTTTTGGTAACATTACAATAGTAAACAATGCACTTTATGCAACGTTCAATGAGATCTGAAGCAAAACAAACAATCGAATGCATTCGGGGGTGGCGCAAGCAAGACCGCAGCGTTGCCAAGCGTACCGGTGACCTTGAAACGTCCCCGAAACGCCATAAAATCGAGCCTTAATGATCGCGTAAGCCTTTCGAAATGTTCCATCTGAAATGTGGGTTAAACCTGTTAGTGGAACCGCTCCTGACACACTTTCGGTCGGGGCAAACTAGGCCGCAGCCGCTCCTGGGGACGGCGGCGGCAGTCGGAAGGTCAGGTCGCGTGTAAAACTCGAAAGGGGCGGCTTTCGAAAGCCGTCTCCGTGGTGCTTTTGTGTGTGTGTGTGTGTGTGGAGGGGGGCGGCTGTTGCATTTCGCATCGGCGGCGGTATCGATCATCTGCCGCCGCTCCAAAGCTCGCGACGAAACAACGGAACGTATTTCCGGTTTGCGACAAAAACTTTCACTTCGATAAATCTTATGTCATTGCAATAACCAAGTGAATCTGGCAACATTGTTGTCTTTTTTTAAGTCATAAAACATTTTTTGAGCTACCCTGTATAAATGTCCATAAATCTGTCCCGACTTACAGGCCTAAATTGGGTCAAGGTCCCGATAAATTCCACTCTAACTCTAACATGGAAATGCAAAAAAAAAACGAAAAACTTGGCAACGCGCAATTTTTCTAACGGCTTTAATTGGTCGTGTAACTAGCTTCCGGTTTCCGCTTCGCGATTTTCGCCGTCTAAAAAAAAACAATAACGCATCATCATCATCGCAAAGAAACAAATGCAGTCGGTAGCGGCTCGGTTACGTAATGCGCTGTTGCCTATAGTTCATTCAACTTTGCACGAAACCAATTAGAATTTTTACAATTTTAATAATATTAAATCAAAGGTTAGATGGATGCAACTTGGCAATATTGTATTTATTTTGGAATTCTAAAAATAAGTAGGTTAACTGCAACAACAATAATAATAATAGGAAATAAATGTTCCCCCTTTTCAATTAAAGATTAAATACTATTTCCTATAGAAACTCCTGTTAAAAATTACCGTACAGAATGAATTTATAAATAATCGTTTTTTATGAGAAATAAAACAGTTGCGAAAATAAATTAATACTGACGGCGTTGCTCGGTACATTTGGCAACATCGGTTAAATAAATAAAAACCGCTAGGTAATTAACAACACATTTTTTAAAAATGTCAATAATATTATCATACCTAAGCAAATTCCGCGTTTGGTCAATAAACTCCAACAATTTGTTTTGTTTTACGCAATTTGCAGAATAAACAAAAATAAAAAATTGACCCTACTGTGCGTTGCCGGTAATACAAGACGTGCCAAAATTTAATCTAATTAAAAAAAAACGTGGCAACTTTGCCTACAAATAAAAAGTTATTTGTTTGATCTATCGTGTCGTAAAACAAGCAGCAAATTGCTTTTTTCGTGAATCCATACATCTTATTTTTCGTTAAAAGAAACCCCATAAATGCGTTAAAAGAAACATGTTGGTGTCCAATCGGAAAAAATAGATTTTTCGACATTATCAAGTTACATTTAAGACGGATACAAGGTCAAAGAAAAATTATAGAAATTAACCTTCAAAGAAAGCCAAACCAATCAGATTAAAATTTGCGACTTTACCTTCTATAAAAAATGATCTCTATAGCCAATCAAAGCTGGGCACTTAGTGTGCTGTGGGGAATGCCGGTCTCTGATTGGTTCATAGCTTTCTATAGATATCATTTTCTATAAAAAGTGAAGTCTAGAAACATTTCTTATAAAAATCAAATTAAAATGACATATTTCGGCGATTTAAACGTAAATGTAGTGTTAACTTACTTGCTAAATCGCCTCGCCGGTTAATAGGATGCGATCGAGTCCCACCTTTTACTTTTCATTGAATGATTATGTATAAATTTGAATTTGCCGCAAAAATAGAGCATAACAAAAGTTATCCGCTAGCCTGACCTCAAAGAATATACACCGTAGCCATGCCAATTTCGACCCATCAGCAATAAAAATAGCGAAAATCTGCTCAAGATGACCTGATAACCGTGCAAAATAACTTCGGCACCGAAGTGCGTAGGTCGATTGGATATTACGACGCCATTCTGAGGCAAAGACATAACCACTGCGAACTTTAAGTTACGTTTTTCGGCTTAAAACCAAGCTTAATCGTTAAGTAGTGTACTCACCTAACCGGAGTAGAGTCTTTTAATTAAAAAATTCGCACAAATATCACTCGAAATCACACAGATTCACTTGAAATTCCCGTCAAACCTTCAAATAAACGTCTGAAACTGACGCCATTTTAAAAATTTACGGAATAATTCGCACGACACTTCGACGCGAGAGGCCGCTCCAAACGTCAGACTGACGCGTCATCTGTCAACAGAAACGCCAAACATAATTTAGTCGCTTGTTAGATCAATTAAGGGTTTTAAAGCTTTTGTAATGAATAAAACGTGTACGTTTATTTGCGTTGTATATTTTGGAATTCACTTTGCTTGAGGAAAGGACTTATTTGTATGTTTTAAGACTGCAATCACGCTACCACAAAATACATGTGGCAACGTTGTACATACGGTTTAAATATTTTAATTTTTTTGCGCTTTTTGGATGTATTATAGTTCCAAACATTTACAGCGTTTCTATATGTATTTATTAACAGTATTTCTGCTCTTATGTGTGATGTTTTTGGTAAATAAACGCCGGTTTTATCTTAAAATATTTCCAATTGTGATTCGGACCGCCCTCTGTTGATTTTAATTGGTAGCACTGATGCGTGTGAAGTTTGTCCATAAGAGGGAGCTTTTCTATGAAGACACAACAAAAACCAAGTATTTTGGGAAGCCAAAAAAATAATTTTGAATTAATTTTTTGCATTTCCCGAGTCTTTTATGTAATGTGCAAGGCGTGACGTAAAAAAATCCAAAGTTGCGGCAGTATAAAGTGCGTTTTTCTTAACCTAAATCGAAGATGGGAAATTTTGTCTATTTTGTGAAGTATATTGGAAAATAAACACTAAAGAAGGGTTTTAAATGGTTGTATTAGTAGGGTAAGCCTTAATATACGTTGTATGAGTAACAATAGTGTTGTAAACATGATATTTTAGGAATTATGAATGATGAAGTAATAACCGTATTATCAGACATTTTATGGTATATTTACTAAAATAACGTCCAAGGAAGTGAGATAATAGTAGGGTGAGCTGTGTATACGTAAAAGTAATGCTATAACTGTGGTATTTTAGCAAGTATGAACGATGAAATAATAACCATATCGTCGGACACAACACCAGGTAAAAGGGAGTTCATTCAGTGCTGCTATGATGATAAGGCGTCAATAGTGACAGTAAATTCGGACAGCACCTATGTGGGGCGCGTACCAGTCAGCTGGCCTGAATCTATCACAAACGAAAAAACGTTTCAAACTCCAACTGGAGTGCAGAAGGTAAAAAAGTGGATTAATGATACTGCAGTGAACTTAGCCATGAGTGAGGAGTTAAAGAGTGATAAAGGGGACATGCTGTCGAGGAGTGATTTTAGTAATGGTAAAAGCCCTTCAGTGGGAAGTACAAAATCGAATAAATCGGTGAAACAAAGTGATAACTTGAGGTTGTTGAGGCCAAGAAGTATCGAGAGCAGTAAAAAAACGCCAAAGAAGAGCCTTAAAAGGCTTCTGCTGAAGCCGATTGCCAAAGAGGAGTTTAATAACTTGAGGAGTGAGGAGGTTATTGAAATTAGATCGGATACTAGTTCCGAGGTTTACCATGTTCCTTTGAGCCCTGAGAGTCAAAAAAAAGAGTTGTATCACTACTTAAAACTGATGAATCCTGCTGATAAAAAAGAGATTTTGTTGATACAAAATAGGAGGTCCACGAGGGTTAAAAACTTGAATTTAATGCAGGAAAAGAAGGAGTTGGACAAAAAAATGCGCGAAAACGAGCGGGAGATCATGAATGGTTGTCTAAATGGGCATGGTAGTGACCCGGAACCCACGATGAAGTCTTTTAAAGAGTTGAACATCAAAATTGAGGGTTTTAAGGATAGCAGCAGTGAAAGTAGTGATGATGATGACAGTGAGGATGATTTGGGGCCTTTTAATTTTCCGCCAATCGTTAAAAGTAAGGTTAAAACCGTCGTCAATTTTGACGCGCCTATTAAGAGGTTTTTGCACAACATCAAGAGGAGTTATGGGAAGCGTTTGGAAGGGTTGAGGAGTAAGTTGGAGGGGTTGTTGAAAATCAGGAAAAACATGAGGAAAATCAAGAATGGTAACAAGGAGAATAAGTATTTGAGGAAGAACAACAAGGTTAAGAATGGTAGGATTGATAAGGTGAGGCTAAAAATCGCGAACAAAAAGAAGTTGAACCAGCACTTGGAGAAGACTAAAATCGCCAAAAACTACCCTAAAAAGAAGGGGTGCATCCCGCAAAGAACAAAAATATTGCGAAGCACGGGCGAATTAAAAAACGTCACGATCAAAAAGCTGCTCAACTCTCAAAAAAAGTTGAAAAAGAAGAGAAAATCGCAGACAAAAAGAGATGCCACTCCTCCCAACAAACTTACGGACAAAGCAGCGCCATCTACCTTCATAGACTGCATTTGCGAGATAACGCCGCAAGAGGGCGAGAACGTCGATTTGGAGAACTTTATCGACGACATGGTCGATTTCAGCCGGCTTAGCGACGAGCACAAACGTTGCCTGATGGAGTCGCGGCTTTTGTGGAACAAATCCAGGGCGACGGTGCTGGGTTCGCCGGTCTCGTCGTCCTCGGGTAAATCTGGCAGCCCCGCGAGCCCGTTTCTGGGCTACAACAGGAGCGAGGTGATGGAAGGGGGCAAGACTGACAATATTATTCAGCAGTTCAACTACCAAAATTTCGAAGACTTTGAGGAGAAGTTAAATAAAACTTTGGAGATGATTAGCGAGGGTTCCAATGAAAAAACTTTGGAAATAACTGAAAATGAAGGTTTGGAAATAACCGAAAATGGCGTTGAAATGAACAATGAAGATTCGAAAAATGATTTGGAAGAAGAAAAGCTCAATGCCGTGAATGGTTTTACGGAAAAAGATGAACACTGTTTCAAACCTTTGCTAGCAGATCATGACTACACAAATTTAGGTATTTATATTGAATTATCATAGAATATTTTCATATATTTTGTCAACCTTCAAAGACATTTTTAAAACAAATATAAAAACATGTGTTCTTATCAGAACACTACTTGTTTTGAATAAAACAAACTAGAAAATGTCAAAATCATCATTTAAAACGTCAACGTTACTTTAGATTGTCAAAATCATACTTTGGAACGTTAACATCATATTTAAAAACCTCAAACGTTGTTAAGAAAGTTAAAAAGTACCTAAAAATGTCAAAAACATCTTTTAAAGCTAAAAAATAAAACGTTAAGACCATACTTGAGAATGACATTTAAACGTCAAAATTTCTTTAAAATGTCAAAACATAATTGAAAATGTCAAAACCATATTTAAGAATTTTAAAATCATACTTTGGAATGTCAACCTCAAAAAATACTTAAAAAGGTTAAAACCATTTTTAAGAACGTCAAAATCATAAAAAAAATTTAAAACTTAACTTATAGCTAAAAAATAAAATTGTATGACATTTAAACGTCAATATTTGTGAGAAAATGTCAAAACCATTTTTATCAATGTTTAAACCATCAAATGTTAAAACCATATTTAAGGAAGTCAAAATTATTAGAATGCTAAAAACATCTTTTAAGAACGTCAAACTCATAAAATAGTTAAAAAATAAAATGTTAAGACCATACTTAAAAACGTCTACATCATATTTAAAAACGTCAAACGTTCTTAAGAATGTTAAAAAATACTTGAATATGTCAAAACCATTTTTAAGAACGTCAAAAGTATAAGAATGTCAAAAACATCTTTTAAAGCTAAAAAATACTTTAAAATATCAAATCCATTTTTTAGAACGTCAAAATTATAAAAATAACAAAACAAGCTAAAAAATAATTTGTTAATACCATACTTCTGTGGGTAAAAGGCATAAGGGGATAAGTCAAAAAAAGGAATTTTTCAATAGAGCCTTTAACGTGATCGCATTAATTCAGGAAATATATTTATGTTTAGCGGGTATACGCTTTTGTTAGCATATTACATGTGGTAACAAAAGGGTATACCCGCTAACCATAAATATGTTTCCTAAATTAATGCGAATACGTTTAAGGCTCTACTGAAAAATTGCTTTTTTTGACTTATCCCCTTATGCCTTTTACCCACAGACTTAAGAATGACATTTAAACTTCAAAATTTCTTTATAATGTCAAAAAATAATTAAACATGTCAAAACCATATTTAAGATTGTCAAAACCATATTTTAGAACGTCAAACTATTTTTATAATGTTAAAACATACTTGAAATTGTCAAAAGCATACTTAGGAATAACATATTGTAAACGTCAAATACACATTTTAAAACTAATAAGATTATTAGTCCTTCGGAGGGGACTTTAAGCCCGCGGTCCGTTCCTATCCCTAACCCGCTCCAGCCATTCAGTTGGCTTCTGGGACTTCTTAGGAAGTAAGGGTGGAACTAAAAGAGCACTTTTGTATAAACTTTTTTTTTAAGAATGTTAAAACCATACTTTAGAACGTCAACTATACGATGTTATATTTAAATATATTTAAAAACGTCAAACCTTTTTAAGAATTTTAAAACATACCTGAAATTGTAAAAATAAATTTTAAGAACTTCAAAATCATAGGAATGTCAAAAACATCTAAAAAATAAAATGTCAAAAACATAGGTATATAAGAATGACATATTTAAAACGTTTAAATTCAAAATCATATTAAAGAATATCAAATATACCTTTTAAAACTATTAAAATTTATTTAAGAATGTCAAAACATACTTAAAATGGCAAAACCATTTTTTAGAACGTCAAAATCATAAGAATATCAAAACCATATTTAAAAATATAAAATATACATTTTAAAACTAACAATATTTAAAAAGTTTTCAAAACCATTTTAAAGAACGTCAAAAGCATAGGAATGTCAAAAACTCATTTTAAAGCCATATTTAAAAGATCAAATTTTTTTAAGAATGTTAAAACCGTATTTAGAAATGTCAATATTATACTTTAGTACGTCAACTTTATTTCTTTCGTTCTAAGAACGTATTTAAAGCTCTAAAATAAAATGTCAAAAGCATATTTGAAACGTCAAAATATTTTTAGAATGTAAAATACACATTTTAAAACTAAAAAAACATTTAAAAATGTCTACAGGATATTTAAAACTTTCTTAAGAAAGTTTAAACATACTTGAAAATGTCAAAACCATTTTTAAGAACGTCAAAATCATAATAATGTCAAAACATAATTGAAAATATTAAAACTATATTTAGGAATGTCAAATGCACATTTTAAAACTATAAAAACATATTTAAGAATATCAAATATACATTTTAAAAGTATTAAAATTTATTTAAGAACGTCAAAATCATAAGAATATTTAAGAATGTAAAATACACATTTTAAAAATATTTATGAAAATTTTAAAACTATCTTAAAATGTCAAAACCATTTTTAAGAACGTCAAAATTATGGAAATGTCAAAACCGTATTTAGGAAGTTCAAAATCATACTTTAGAACGTCAACAACGTTTTTAAAAACGTCAAACGTTCTAAGAACGTCAAAAACATATTTAAAGCTATAAAATAATAATAATTTTTTAATAAACTCATACTTATGATGTCATATTTACAAAATCAAATCTAGTTAAACCTAATTTAGAATTTTTAGAGTGTCAAACACATTACATACATTTTAGACTGTCAAAATCATAAAAATGCTTTGACCAATTTTTAAGAACGTCAAAATTATGGAAATGTGAAAACCGTATTTAGGAAGGTCAAAATCATACTTTAGAACGTCAACATCATTTTTAAAAACGTCAAACGTTCTAAGAACGTCAAAAGAATGTCAAAAACATATTTAAAGCTATAAAATAATAATTATTTTTTAATAAACTCATACTTATGATGTCATATTTACAAAATCAAATCTAGTTAAACCTAATTAATTAAGAATTTTTAATACATTTTAGAGTGTCGAAAACATAAAAATGCTTTGACATTTTACATTGATTCTTCGTAATAAATACGCGTTTTTCTTCAAAACTTGACATTTCTTCCGTTCTCTCCTCTCCAGAATCGAGTTCAAGCGGTTCGGAGAACGAAGACGACGTCGTCGTGGCGCGCACTCAACCGGAAGCGGTCTCGCCGCCGAAAACGACCGCATCCACTTACGCCCCCTTCCGGCAGGCGAAAGAACCGCTCTCGCTGCACCGGAGCCTCACCGCCGTCGCGGAGAAGAAGCCGAGCGACGGCTTCGAGTGCGGCTGCGCGGCCGAGCAGAGCTGGGAGACGTTCTCGCAGCAGAAGAGCAAGAGCGACGACTCGCACAGCGTCTTCGTGTCCAAAGCGCACGGCGCGGTCCTCAAAGCCTTTTATCTCGACGACCACCTGATCGTCGCGCAGGAGTTTCGCGTGTCGCTGTGGACGCAGAGCGCGCTGGGAAACGTTTTGGCCGCGCAAAATATGTGGATTCCTAAGGGCAGCGCGCCGAGAATGGTGCTGAACAACCGGAGCACCTTGAAGGACTCGTCGGAGATGGTTTTCTGCCGGGAGGCCACTGTTGCGTACGTGGAGCTGTGGATCAAGGAGCACAAGTCGGAGATCAGGCAGGGCCCTGTTGCCGACGTTTTCGCCACCGTTTACTTCTGGAAGAAGCGGCAGAACGGGCTCGAGAAGAAGGTTCTGCAAATCGAGAATATCAATGGGTGAGTACGAGAGTTTTAATTAAATTTATTGTCCATTTATGGTACTTTTTTTTTAATATTTTTAAAATTTTATGCCACTGCGCAAATTGCACAAAATTTAATAGTCATTTTGAAAATTTTGGAAATTTGTACTACCTTTTATATTTATAATACTCTGCAGATTTTTTTTTACAATTTTTTACAAAAATGCTGCGAATTTTTCCAACCATTTTTTAATTTTGAACCCATTTTGGATATTCTGGATATTTTGAATATTTTTATTCTTGCGTTGTGGTAACAATGTAACAGGTACTTAATTAAGTGGGAATTCAAACATTAATCAGTGGAAATACCACGTTGCTTTTTTCTACAGTTTTGCACAAAACTCGTTTAAATGAATCGTTTATTTTACTAAATATATTTTGTTTTAGTAAATTTGCCATTTTCTGTATTTTTAGTTAATATTTTACTCGGGAAAATTTTTCCCGAAATACCGATTAACCAGATAATTTGTAAGCAATCTATTGGCTAAAATGTCCAAGGTTATTTTTTATCTATATTTCTGAAACAAAAGATTGTATTTGATCAATTTGCGATTTTATTATAGCCCACAATCCACACAACAAGGTCTATTCTATCTCATGCTAAAAATCACTGCAAACTGCACAGAGTTTAACGGCGGCCATTTTTGTTGTTTACAATTCTTTTGCTTTGGGTTTGTGCTGTTTAATAATTATTTTAAACGTTGGGTTTCTTACAGAGGCACTTGTAAGCCTCAAATAAGGCCTTTAAGTGCTAAGGGCAACCATTTTACTCCTCTTTTATAATAAATATACCTTATTCTGTCAGGGCTGTCAAATGACAATTTGAAGGTTTATTTGTGGGTTATAATTTAACCTTAAAATTGATATTTTACAGTTTTATGACAGCCCTGATAGAATAAAGTTTATTTTTTACAATAGAGGAGGAAAATGTTGTTCTTAGCACTTTAAGGCCTCTTTTAAGGCTTACTACGTTTAAAACGACTATTAATCTGTATAAACAAAGCACAAACCCAAAGCACACAAATTGAAAAACAACAAAAATGGCCGCCGTTAAACTCTGTGCAGTGTTGCAGTGATTTTTTGTATTTTTAGTACGAGATAGAACAGACCTTGTTGTGTGGTTTGTGTTATAGCCTATAACAAAATCGCATGCGCCATACGAAAACATTTTGCTGTTGCGCATGTCCCTGACGCCCATTTTTTCTTCAGCTTTGCAGATGACGTTCAGTACGTCGTGTTAAAAAACGCCGCCACCATCATAGTGAGCTGGCACTCGGTGTCGGAAAACAACAAAATAACGTTGGTGCACAAATACTGCCTCGCCAGCGATTTCGCCACTGTTGCCAACACCGAAATGCAGAGCGTCAACCATTACGTATCATCCCTGCACAACATCGAAGGTGAGTTTTGGTTTTTTAGTGGTGATAAAAAGGTTTTTTAATCGGTTTAATATCTTTTAAGACTGCGAGAGCATGATAATCGGTTGTGGCGAAAACAAAATAACTTTGTGGAACATAGAGCACGGTTACATCGTATCCACAATTGAAATGAACGACATCAGGGTGCCTTTGTCGACTCTTTGGGTTAAATGCGATCAGGTTCGAATTTTCGGTGTTTTTTCTTTTTCACTGTTGGTAGCGTTATTTTTTGTTTTAGGGATTTTTGTTCACCATACAACAGTGCGTCAATAGAGAACTAAGACTTATTGCCATTAACGGTTTCAACAACACGTGGAAAAAATTGCAAAGCTACGTGCCCCCAGAAGGATACGACAGGTAAAGTACATTTTAATTAATTTTTAAAATTTTAGAAATTTTGGGAAATTTTGATTTTTTTTGAAATTTTTACTTCTAGTTTTCTACTCGTCAAACCCTAAATTTGAAATTTGTCAAATTTTTGAATTTTGTTTCCACATTTTTTGTTTTTGTTCGAATATTTTAAAACGACGCAGGCATTTTGAAAATTTTCGATATTCTGGAAATTTTGAAAGTTTGTCCTCCCATTTTTCATATTTATACTACTGTGCGGATTGTTTCCTCAATTTTTAATTTTTACCCATTGTGCGAATTTGTCCAAGCATTTTTAAATTTTGATCCACTGTGCAAATTTTCTTCAAAAAGCCCAATACGACGCAGACATTTTGAAAATTTATGCCACTGTGCAAATTTTGTTCGAATATTTTAAAACTACGCGCGCATTTTGAAAATTTTCGATATTCTGAAAATTTGGAAAGTTTGTCCACCCATTTTTTAAATTTATACTACTGTGCGGATTGTTTCCACAATTTTTAATTTTTACCCACTGTGCGAATTTGTCCAAGCATTTTTTAATTTTGACCCATTGTTCAAATTTTGTTCGAAAAGTCCAATACGACGCAGACATTTTTAAAATTTTCGATATTCTGGAAATTTTGAAAGTTTGTCCTCCCATTTTTCATATTTATACAACTGTGCGGATTGTTTCCACATTTTTTAAATTTTAAACCAGTTGCGAATTTCTTCAACAATTTTAAAATTTTGAGCCACTGCTAATTTCGTTCGAATATTCTAATACCATGCAGGCATTTTGAAAATTTTTGATATTTTGAAAATTATATACTTTAGAACGTCAACATAATATTAAAAAACGTCAATCACATATAAAAAATAAAATGTTAAAATGACATATTTAAAACTTCAAAATATATTTAGAATATCAAATACACATTTTAAAACACACAAAAACATTTAAAAATGTCCAAACGTCAAGAGGATATTTAAAACAGTTAAACTTTCTCAAGAATGTTAAAACAAACTTGAAAATGTCAAAACCATTTTTAAGTACATCAAGATCATTAGAATGTTAAAAACATCTAACCTTGAAAATATTAAAACCATATTTTGGAATGTCAAATGCACATTTTAAAACTATTAAAACTTATTTAAGAATGTCAAAACATACTTAAAATGGCAAAACCATTTTTAAAAACGTCCAAATCATAAGAATATTAAACCATACTCAACATCATATTTAAAAACGTCAAACGTTCTTAAGAAAGTTGGAACATATCTAAAAATGTCAAAACCATTTTTAAGAATGTCAAAATCATAGGAATGGCAAAACCATATTTAGGAATGTTAAAATCATACTTTTGAACGTCAACATTAATTTTAAAAACGTCAAACTTTCTAAGAACGTTAAAAGAATGCTAATAACGTATTTAAAGCTATAAAATAAATTGTCAAATCGTACTTATGAAGTGTGTCATATTTACAAAATCAAATCCAGTTAAACTTAATTTAGAATTTTTTAACACATTTTAGAGTAAACATTTTGGATATTCTAGAAATTTTGAAAATTTGTCCCACCATTTTTTATATTTATACTACTGTTTGTGCACATTTTTTAAATTTTTACCCACTGTGCGAAGTTCTATCTCTCTCTTAGTTATGCACAGACACCAATTTCTTACGCCAGCTGCGCGCGCAGCTTCCGTCCCTGCTTAAATTTTACTCCCAAGTGCTAAAAGAACTACTATACGGTTTTTCAGGTTGAAAGGGGTGGTTCTGGACGAGGGTTTCATCATCTCCTTCTACGATTCGGGTATTTTGTGTTGGAAAGCGCAAACTGCGGAACCAATTCAAGAAGATAACGCAATTCGTAACTACATCCCTTCGGGGAAGCACATAATTATTATAGAAGACGATCAAATAATCGTTAAAAACGCCCTGGCCTACCTGTTGGAGTCATAGATTTTCTTCGCCTAAAAGGAATTGGATGATTTTCGACACAAGCGCCCCCTGTGTCAGTTTTACGAGGTTTTAGTTACGCGAATATTTTTAAAATTCTACCGTTTAATTATTGTTAATTTTTTACAGTTTATTGTGCAATTTTATTTAATTTCTTAATGTACAGGGGATTTTTGAAATTGTTTAATCCAAATCATCATAGTTTTTGGATTATAAATTTTGTAAATAATTATGTTTTATTTTAAAGTGAAATTTAATTTTTTAGTACAAAATAAAAGTAGATTGTTTTATTTAATAAAAATCAGTAGACTAAATAAATGAATTATTGTAAAATACTGTGATTGTCGAATTGTGTAAATAATTTCAAATGTAAAAAATGTATAATTGATCACAAAAAGTTAAAGTTAAAAGCGAATTTTTAACTATTAGAGGGTTATTAAAACAAGTTTGTGTATTTGTATTATATATTTAATAATATATTTTGTATTCAGTATTTATTGTTTTATTTCATCAAAAAAAATTATAACTTACTAAACTAAACCTAACCGGAACAGCCCCTGCATCCACAGTGAACACACTCCACAATCCTTCCCTAAAAAAAATAATTATAACCTCAAATTTAACATCCACTAATCACCTACCTCTTCAAGCTTCCCTTTTGGAACCCTACAGATGCAATTCGTCCCGAAATTGGTATCCCTGGTTTGTATACACCTCAAGCAACACAAATTTTCATATCCCTGCTTCTTCCACTTCGCAATCAAGTTTTTATCCGCTATATTTTCATTCAAACAATAATCGTACAACTCCCTACTTATAGCCTTTCTTCTGTAGAACAAATCGAATATATAACGCGATTTTTGATGGTGTATTTTGAATATCGGCCACAGCGACTCATTTTTACGTTTTCCCTCATGAGTTTCAGTCTCAGCTACAAAAAAAAAACAAGAATTAGTAGTTTGTGGTAATCTAGAAATTTCCCATTATTTACCTTCGCGCATTTTCTGTTCCAACTCGTCCAAAGTTGGTTCTATTAGCTCCCAACCCTCTGGGGGCGATTTTTTGCTTCTTCTCACTTTTGGCATCGTTATGAATTCCAAAAAACAACAAAAACGATTGATGTTTATATTTTTAGGTTATATATGTCAAAAGTTACGCATGCCGTGTTGCCATGTCTAATTTATTATCTTCCCCAGATATACTCATAAAAGTTAATAAATGAAGTTTTATAACATTTTATGATGTTAAAAAAACGTTTTAAGATGTATTTAGATAGTTTTATTATTTTAAACAGTTTAAAAAAAGTAATCACTAAATAATTGGGTGTTTAAAAATTTATATCTCAGATTTGATGGTAATAATTGAGCTCGGCAACACTGCAGTCGGTAATACAGGTGGTAATTCTGCCGACGGAGTTATCATATGATAGTTGATTAATTCTACGCATATTTGTTTATTTGGGTAAAGGCACGTTTTTTCGGGAATAAAACCGTAGTGGAGGTAAACTAAATAATCAATTAAATGTTCCACTCTCGAAACAGGTGCACTATATTGATTACCGCTTCTTTAATTAACATTCAAAGGCCTTTTTAAGGTTACGGGCGAAGTAGTTAATAACAAATTTAGTAGAGTGGTATGCATAGTTGCTTTCATGCTGTCTACGAGGTAAATTAAGGGTGTTAGCTGTGTTTTAGATTCGGAGGTTTTCGTCTGCAGCAAAACTCCAACATGGACGCACCAAAAACATCAGACGTCGTTTTGGTGACGGGAAATTCTCACCCGGAATTGGGGAATATGATTGCCAGAAGACTGGGTGTCAAGTCTGGAGGATGCGCTGTCTATCACAAAGCGAATCGCGAGACCATGGTGAAAATTGGCGACTCCATCAGAGGGAAAGACATCTACATCATTCAGACAGGCACAAAGTAAGTATTTTTCTTACATTGGTGACACTGACACAATTTTTACCCCATGGCCAACTTTGTTTGGTCAAATTACAGTGTTGTCATGTCATTATGTCTTCTTTTAAGGGATGTAAACAACAACATAATGGAGCTCCTTATTATGGCTTATGCCTGCAAAACATCTTCAGCTAAAAGCATTGTAGGGGTTATTCCTTACTTGCCTTACTCTAAGCAGTGTAAAATGCGTAAAAGGGGAAGCATAGTTACAAAGTTGGTTGCTCAGATGATGTGCAAATCTGGTTTGACCCATATTATTACCATGGATTTGCACCAAAAAGAGATACAGGGCTTTTTTGACTGCCCTGTAGATAATTTGAGGGCCAGCCCCTTTCTGCTTCAGTACATTCAAGAAAGTGTAAGTATATGTTATTTTTTAATATTAATTTTCTTTAAATGCTTCCATAGCTGCCTAAAGATTGTATTTCCAAGATTTTGCTTATAGCGCCCTCTGTTATTCTGTGCGGTAACTCTTGGTAGTAGTGTCACATCTACTTTTTCGTTGCTCCGTGATTTTTTCATTTTAGAGGCCTATTTCCCTTCAATTATTTCGACTTTGCGCTCTAAGAATTTCTTAAACATCTATGTTTATACATCATTGTCTAATTTGCTATTCCGTTTCCAAAATTCGATGTATGGAAACGTATGTTTACGAACGCTTGCTGGAAAGGTGATGTTAGCCAATATTTGAGGTTTTTTATTTTGCATTACTCATAAATTTCGGCGATGTTTGGTACAGTATACATATTACTTACATTATTACTTCTAAATTCCAAAGACTAAAAATAATTTATAATAACCTTTATCCTACCAAAAAGTACGCCACTGATCGGCTAGGAACTTTAGGCTAATCTGGTTGCCTAATTTATTTTTTTTATTTTATGGTTGGTAACAACCAGCGTTTCCAGATTCTGTCAAAAAAGTTGCCAGATTTTGTTTAAATTTGGCTTAATTACAAACATGACAATCTAGTGCATTTCTTTCAAATTTTAGGTTATGTGCTCAAATTGTAAATATGTATATTTATTTACACAAATTGAATGTTTAAAGTTTAACCTGGGAACTTGTCCTAATTTTATTTAGTAATTTAGTTTAAAACAGAAAGAAAAAATCCGATGAAAAAAATTAATTTTGTGGTTATACTCTAGAGTATTTAAAATAGGTACTAAATTTACTAATCATTGCTTAAGGTAATAGCTGGATGAGTAAATAAATACAGAAGGGTATTAGAGCTTTAAGGGCATAAAACTTGTATTTATTGAGTTTTTATTTATTTTTTGCAAGAAAAATTTTTGGCAACAATTTTTTACAACTGGCAACGCGCAGCTACTTTGTTGGTTGGTATCTATGTACTCACAGAACACAAGTGTGTAACCAGCGGCGTGTCACAAAAAATATAAAAAAATGTAATGGATATTTTTTCTTTATCTTTGGGAAAATATTTTTGGATTTTCTTAAGTTGTCTTTAAGTCCATTTAGTACATTAAATATCACCAATGATTTTTAAAATAATTATTTTAACACAATTTTAGTCCATGATCTGCTACTTTTAGGTTATAAAACTAAGATACTCTCTGTCCTAGAAACATTTATAGGCCTCTAAAACTGTATTTCCAAGATTTTGCTTATAGCGCCCTCTGTAATTCTGTGCGGTAACTATTGGTAGTGGTACATGACTTGGCAGTAGTGTCACATCTAATTTTTCGTTGCTCCGTGATTTTTTTCATTTTAATCGCATAAAATCGTTTAAAAGTAAAAACAAAAGTGATTATTTTAGATTCCGGATTACCGGAACTCGGTTATCGTCGCGCGCAACCCGGGCAGCGCCAAAAAAGCGACATCTTACGCCGAAAGGTTGCGTTTGGGGATAGCGGTCATCCACGGGGAGCAAAAAGAATCCGAATCGGATGAGGTGGACGGGAGGTGCTCCCCTCCACTGGTCCCCCGTTCCAGAACTATGGACGCTGGAGTGGGGGTTCCGGTGCACATCGCTAAAGAGAAACCCCCCATAAATGTGGTGGGGGACGTTGGAGGTCGCATCGCCATAATGGTGGACGATCTAATTGACGACGTAGCTTCGTTCGTAGCTGCAGCTGAGGTTTTGAAGGAACGCGGGGCGTACAAAATTTACGTGTTGGCCACGCATGGTTTGTTGTCTTCGGATGCCCCCAGATTGATCGAGGATTCTCCCATTGACGAGGTAAATATTTTACAGCGTCAAAATGACTAAAAAACAATAACTTACCTACAGCGCCATCTATATTTCTGAGCGGGAACTCACGAACTAACTTTGACGGTAGTGTCACATCTACTTTTCACTGCTCCGTGATTTTTTTTGTTTAACGCGTGTTTCGAATGTTTCAGGTGGTCGTGACAAACACGATTCCGCACGAGCTGCAAAAAATGCAGTGTCACAAAATAAAAACGGTCGATATCTCGATTTTGTTGGCCGAGGCCATACGCAGGATCCACAACAAGGAGTCCATGTCATATTTGTTTAAAAATGTAACTTTGGAGGACTAAAATATTTATAGAATCCCACCAATTAAAATAATCATGCATCTATTGTTATAAGCACTTTTTTTGTTTTTCCGTTTTTAGGAAACAGTGATTCAGTTTTACCAACCTTAATAAATTAATATCTACACACTGTATTAAATAAGTATTTTTGTATTATTTTGCGATTTTGTTTCCGTATTATTTTGCTTTGTTGATTTCCAATATTTTTGGCTTGTTATTGGTAGATTAAGTATTAAACAATAAAAATGTATATAAGTTTTGATTAAGGTGTTTTTATTACCTTCATCAAAAATAAAAGTCAAAAATACTTAATATAAAAACAATTTATTAACACATAAAACTATGAACCATATTTTTTAGCTTTCAACTGTTTGTAAGCCTCAATAATTTCTTTCTGTTGTTTATCCAGCTGTCTTCTCAAAGCATTTGGAAGATCTTTTCTTTTCCCCTTTTTGTCAATGGTTTTGTTTTTTATTTCCTTCAACTTTTTCAAACTATTTTTTACAACTTTCTCACTTTTTTGCTCTTTAATGGTATTATTATTATTATTCTTTGGCTCCAGCATGGATTTCAGCAGCAATTGTTTGCTACCCGGCTAAAAAAAATGTTTACAAAAACCTGATGTTCAAAAATAATAAAAACTTACTCTGGGTGCACTTTCAAGTTTTGTCACCCTCCTGGGGGCAGATAAGGTCGGTGGTGCGTGAACAATTTCACCAAATTTAACCTCATCCTTAAAATCATTGAAGTCCATGGGTTTTTCAGCTTTCTTATTCTTTTTTTCGTTCTTCTTTAGCTGCCATTTCTGCGATTTACTCAATTTCGGACCCTCATCCTTCTTTTTCTTTTTCTTCTTTTTGTTTTGTTTATCCTTGCTCTCTTTTTTGGCTTTGTTTATCAAAACTTGTAGTTCATCTTTTGGCCTTTTTTTGACTTCTTCCACCTAAGATAAATTGTAAGTTATTTTAACAACGTTAAATATTGACGTACTTGTCCCGTCTCGGCGTTCCTTTTAATGTCAACACCGTATTTCTCCTCAAAAGCAGCTTCTCGTTGTACACTTTGACAAATACGATTAACTCTAAGCAAGAAGTGCCTGTCATTCTCGCCAGGGCGTTGCTTGAACTCTGGTATAGGCTTCTCCTCCACGATATTTACCGCCTTCTTACTATCTCCCTTATTTTTCACTGGTTTAACAACTTTCTTAACCTCAACAACTTTCTTCACGTTTTTTTTGCTCTTACCATAGTAATACCCACTTTTAACCTTATCCTTCAACTCCATGATCCTCGACAAACTCTTCGGTATATCCTGTGCATCGGGATGCGACGGCGGGGCGTTAATTTTATCCTTTATTCTAAAAAACGTGAATTTTATAGGTTATGTCGACTGAAACTTTAAATTAATGCGCGTTTACTTATCAAATCGCACGGCGGCTTGCTTCTCCGGATCCCTGACACCGTGGTGCTTACGCCCTGGTATTTTTCTGCCCATTTTGCGTTAAAAACGCAATATTTTGATGCTTTCTGTTTTGAGGTTAGATTATGAGTAGTTCAAATGAACCACACGTTGCCAACTGTAGAATACCAACCACAGATCAAACCATAACCTAAAAAGTAAATAAAATGTGATATCTCGTGTTTTTTATAAGAAAATATGGACAATTCGTGTGTGATTTGTAAGAAAGATGCAACATATAAGTGCCCTACGTGTTTGATATCATAGTAAGCCCCTACAATAACCCCAAATTACTGTTTTCAACTCTTTATTTTTTAGTTGTTCTGCAATTTGTTGCAAGGAACACAAAAAAGATAACTGTGTGATAAAAAAGCCCGAAATTACTGAAAAAGAGAGTGAAAATGCGTTTACCACGCCCAGTACAGTGCCCAAAGAGAAATTGGAGCTGTTACGTAGGTTGTATTAAATTTAAATACATATATTGTATATTTTTTCTAGGTGAAAGTAAAGAATTAAAAGAAATGCTGGGAAATAATCCACATTTAAGGAACTTGTTAAGTAGCATCGACAAATGTGAAAATGTAGAAGATATGATGCAAAAAGTGATGCTAGAACCAATATTTGTTGAATTTGCTGATGAATGCCTTAAAATTGTTGAAGATAAAAATAATTTTGATAATTAGTATTTGTACATTAAATTTTTTAAATAAAACCCGATAAAAACAAAAAAAAACGTTTATTATAAATATGAAAATACATAATTTTGCCATAAAAAGTCATAAATTCTACAGTGGGTCCTTAAAAGCTAGTGACTAAATTTAAAAACTACAGATTTAATAAATTATAAAATTTAACACCTAAATGCAAAAAAACTGATACTGGAACAAACCTCAACATCAAAAGGTTTGTTCCAACGTGCGTTGTACCGTTTTTAGCGATTAAGTGAAATTACAAAGTCAAAATAGTTAAAACATTCAGTAGGTTAGTCAAAGAAATGGCACTACTATTCTAATAATTATTTGTACTTAATATATTAGTTAAATTTAATCACAGATATTTATAATAATAGTCAAACAATTCTATAAAAAGGCACTGGGGCAAGAAATGTGTAGTATTTTCGTATAAACTGCCTTTGGTTATTAGACTGTAGGATTAAGTACATTTTGGTATAAAAAAATATTCACAAGTATAAATACAGGGTGTTCTGAGAAAATTTACATAAAAAATTATTATGTCACAAATAAAATGTACACCCTGTATTGAATAAATGAGAAAAGCGCGATTTAAAACTAATACTGTGCGTCCCGACTATCTATATACACAAACAATCACTAAGTCAATAAATGTCAGTTTTTTGTCCCATTGCTATATTTCCGTAACGCTTTATTGCAGGTGAAAAAGCATAAAACATTTTTTGTGGAGAATTTCATGATCTACATTTTTCGTTATACACACTTTGGGCTCCTATTATTAGGAAGCCAGATATTGCACAAAAACAACGTGCTAACCACATGTTATTATCTATGTTCAGTAGCCATCTTCCCGTGCACTCTAAATCGATACAAGCAGGTGTAATTCGGGTTGCCGTGGTTGGAGATCACCCTCAACTCGACGTGGTCGAAGATGTGACCTTGGGAAGCGACGTGGAAGAATTGCAGGGCGTCGCCGTTGTAGTCGTACGAGTATTCGCCTATTTTGACGGGGTTTTTGTCGTTTTCCGCGGTTAGGCCGTAGACTTCGAAATTTTTGGGGGGCCGAGTCGATTTTCCCGTTGGGGACCAGCAGTTTGTTCACGTGCTCCAATGAGAACGCTTCTACGTGGATTTTGGAGCTCAGTTTGATAACCAGAAACCCAGGGAAGTTCTCGAAGGCAAAACACTCTCCTGGGTTGATTCCGGGGGTTATGACAGTCCTGGGGGTGTTAACCGGGTACCATAGTGGTATACCCAGCACCGAAACCACGGCTTTTCCGGAATGGTAGGCCTCGGTACAGCGCGTCGTCAAAACTTGACCTCCCATTGGTTCCATGGCATAATCCACCAACCCTGTTCTATCGGCATCGTATATATTCAAAGTGTTTTTAACTATAAGTTTGATGTGCTCATCTGATACATCACCGACGCTACCGACGGCCATTTTGCCCTGAATTTTCCCGCTAATATCATTCAAAATGACCTGAGTGTTATCCCTGAGCAAACCTTCAAACTGACCCTCTAATTTCGTTGTTACCCCCTCCAATTTTTCCTCCAACTCTTGCTTGGCCACCAGGATGCCTTTCAGAAACTGCGCGAAGCCCTTCTGCTCACCCAGATACACAGGGTTGTTCAGAAAATCCCCCACCAACTTACCTACGTACCCCTCAATGTTGATCAACGACTTTTGACAGCACTTTTTCAGCTCCACGCCAAGTCTTGCGGAATTTTCGGCGTTCTCGCTCCTCATGTTGTTTATTACGCTGGTGATTTCATTTTGGCGCCTCTCAAAGTCCAACTGGATTTTTTTGATGTCTTCCTTGAGGGTTGCGATGATTTCGTCTTTGTCAAGATTTTTTCGGGTATTGACGATTTTTATAAAGTTGGTATTCTGTAGGATTTGTTGGGCGACGTGTTCCGAGTTTATTTTTTCCGTCAGGTCGATTTTTTCCTTGATTAGCGAGGCGATTTTGTTCAATTCCTCATCCGTGAAGCCCGATTTTTCCGGTGTTATATTAATATTCGGGATTTCATCCGATTTTGTTAGGATTTCTTCGATAATTTCGTCATTATTTTGAATAATTTCTATATTTTCGGCGGTTGAATTTATAGGTACACCCCCGAATAAACTGCCCAACAAAGTTAACAAGTACCAACCTGCAAGGTTTGAATTAAAAAATTACTAGGTTAAAGAATTCAGGTTGCAAAATTTACAAGAGTACTTGTTTTTTTGGACTTTAACACATTTGATTATGTTGGTAGTCAATGTTTTATGTTTTAATACTAGTAGTTGGCATTTCTGATTTAGTGACAGTTCATTGACAAATGACATAACCAAAATTAGATTTCTCACTATTAAATGCCAAAGTCCAAATAAAAACCTCAAACATTGTAACCTGAGAGTGGTTTGATTTTGTAACTAAAATTTTGAAAATACAATGTTGCCAAATTATCCCTTGCCTCTTCAAACCACCAAAGTAAAATGGATATTAGTAAAAATGTATATTAAAAAGCCAACTTAATTTATATTACTTTATTAAACACATTAAAAAACAATTTATTATAAAGATTAAATAGAATCAACACAAAACACAAGTATAAAAATGTTAGTATAAAAAAACAAATGAAGTGACATTTATTGGACGGTAAAACGCTACCAACCATTAAAACCGAAAAGCCGCCAAAAAATGCCAATTTTTAAACTCTGTTAATATTAAATGTTATAAAACGATTTTAAAGCTTTATCGAAATATTCCTGCGCTAAATCAAAACAGTGTGGGTGGCATGAAGGGACAAGAGAAACTCCGCTGGCCAGCAACGTATGCAACCCTAAAAACACGTCACTTGTATAGTCCATTCATAGAACGAAAAATGCCGGAAATAAGTTTTAACGCATATAACTCCGTACTCTATAAAGCTATAACCACCAAATTTGCCATAAATATAATAAATACGTCCGTCTACAACGTACTAAAATTTAAAATAAATATGTCCAAAACTTTTTGAGTTATAAACATTTATACATTTTCCCGACATTTTTCAACCTATGAATCGACTATACCACACAAAGCGGCAACGTTTCAAGTAAAAACAAATGACATACCTCCGAAAAATAACAAGGGCACTATGCAAAGTAAGGCCAGCTTATTTTGTTTGTTCCAATTGGGGTTTTTCATCATTAAATACGTGTCCAATAGCATCACCCAGCTGCAAAAACGATGTATTTTTGAAAAAATCGACGTTTGTATTTTTTGAAAGAAGTAGTAAATCGTTGTGATCGTCGAAATGATGGTTAAAATGCGTCGTTTTGCTCTGTACCATAACGTTTGTTCAGTTGTGTATCTAAAAGGTGAAATATTTTGAAAACTCTTTATTGTAGAGTTTTTTTGTGTAATAGTTATTTTTAGAGGGTTTGTTTAGCTATAATTTGATATTTTATTTTTATATGTGGGGTTAATATTAACGGAATTATTGAAGAAATTGGAGGGAGGTGTTTTAAAACAAAATAAGGTGTTATAAAAATCATTGTAAGTTTAAAATTAAAAATGTTACAAAAAGTATGTTAAAAGCAAAATTGTAAAGAAAATATTGCGCAACAATGTGGTCAAAACTAATAAATAAAATATAGTAAAAAATAGGGTTATGTAACAAAAAAAAACATTTTATTAAAACCATTATACCTCAAAAACTATTTAGGCTAGAAAAAATATGTATACACCAAAATAAAGATAAAACCTTACACTACAACCCTAGATTTTTGTTAATACATACATAACCTCACAAACTTACCTTGAAGTGGTTTCATCAACAGTATCATCAAAATTATTGTTGAACAACTTTCTCCTTTGTAAATTCTCGGTTTTATATAAACTTGTGAAACCCTCCAGTAAATCAGTGTTTGTAGATTTTGAGTGCACATCGTTAATTGTGCAATCTAAGTTGTGGATTGTTCTACGAGACATATTGGGCATTATTACCTCTCCGGGGGCAATTTCAAAACGATCTTGCGAGTGGTATGAATATGTATAGTCAGTTTTGGGATATTTGCTGGAAAAATACACACAAATAAAACATAAAACACCTAAAATACAACACAAATGACTTGAATAATTAAAGCTAGTTTTTTTGTTTTTTTTGTTGATAATTTCTTGTGGTACTATACAGTGTGTCTCAAAAAAATTAAGTACAGTGTGGGTAACCTAAAAATACTTACTCCCAATATCTGTCAGAACTTCGGTATAATTCCAGGGCTGATATATCCCCAGATCCGTTTGCCAGAGCCCGGGCATCCTCAATGAATTGATTTTTTTCATTTTGAGTTATGCTTCTTTTGCTAGTGAAGGAATCGTTGTCTTCAGAAGAATAATCAGATGTCTTGTACGATATTTTTTTGCTAGATTTTTCCAACCTAGACGACTTTCTTGGTTTTGAAGTACTTGAAGATACTTCAGATGAATTTATTTGAGACCTAAGAATATATTTGCCTTATAAATACAATAAGTTATATCTGTGAATTTGATAAAAAACAAGAATTTTTTTCAAGGTTTACAAAATTTATCATATTTACATTGTTGAGTAATGAAAAACCGATAAAATCGTCTGAAAGTGATTAATTTTGCTAAAAAATCACCAAGGCATAACAAAAACACCTTATTTATGCACCTGTCAAAAAATTATAACCTCGAAATCAATCAAGCGTGACATTTGACATTTAGCGTATAAACAATTGATAAACGTCTTACCTTGTTGTCGTTTTTCTCGTCATTTTAACGACTTTCGATGAACTTTCTTTTTCGATTGATTCTCTATCGAAACTTTCAACGACGAAAGGCGTTTTCGAACGCGAACGACTGGACCTCAACTCCATGTCTCTGAAAATACACAAAATGCACTTTTTTATTCGTTTCTATGGTTTATTTTCCGTTTCGAACCCCCGTTGAACTACCACTAAAAATAGATTTTGCTATTTTTAAACACAACACCAAATACCCGAGTTACCATAAAAAATACATTAAAACCCACCTTTATTATTAGTCAATAATAATAAAAAACACTATATAATTATGTTCAGCGTGTTCGTTAAATTACGAACGATAAATAGTAACCGAAAAAATTAACTGCCCATGGAAGATGACGTCATTCGTATTATTTTAAGGTTTCAGTTTACAGAACCTTATGAAACGAGTGATTAAGGACGATTTTCGTTTAAAGAATAACATGTAAAACAAAAGCTGGGCACTGTTGCCAACTTCACTACTTTACAGAATATCTGGGAATGACTCAGATTGAAAAAGTGTTTACCCTGTTGTTTTGGAGGTTATAAGGTAAGTTTTGTATTTTATACCATAATTTAAGATAAATGCTATGAATTTAATTGTTTATTAGGGTTTGAATTAGTATATTTATAGTTTTTTATTCTAATTCGGTCCAACTGTATTTTTATTTGAAATGTTGTGATTTCATAATGTTTACTTTATGAATTTACGAGTTTACAGTTATGTTTATATATATTTTGGAGGACGCCTATTTACCTTGACAAAACCTGTTTTAATTAATACAATTTTTCATACATTTGGTAAATGTCAATAAATTCCTTATACCTAATTAAGTTTAATCTTTTAATTTAAAGTTAAACATCAAAATGATATTTTAGAATGACAAATTGTTAAAAACAAATTCGACTGTCAAAAACACAATTTAGAATTAAATTTAATTTTTATTCGTGAATTCTTAAAATATTATACAATTTTAAATTATTATTATTACAATTGGTTAATCCTTTATTCAAACTATTTACATTAGGTTTATAAAAACGCTCTCTAACGACATAATTATCTGAAAAATCTGCCAAATTCGGTTCCAAATCTTTTTCATTACTAAAAACTTTATTTTTGTTTATCAAACATTGATTCTGATGACCATGTGAGTTAAGTTGTATTAAGTCCCTGTATATTGCTTGATCATACGGAAAATTCATTTTTTTTGTCACCTAAAAATAATATTAAATAATAATAATACAAAAATTATAATTGCAATGTTACTTTTTCGTCTATTGCCAATTTTTCGATTTTATTATCATTTTTATTGAATGAACTCTTGTTTTTTTTGTAATTCCCTATTTCTTCTATCTTTTTCGCCAATTTTAACGCGCTGTAAAGTTCTGGAAGTTCAAAATCGTCGTTTTCTTCACATTTTGAGATCTTTTCCGTACTTTTTGCTATTTTAACGGTTTTTTCTTCATTCTCTTGTTTTGTTTTTGGTAAACTTTGCTTACTGTTGCGTATTAATACTTTTTTCGCGTTTACAGCCTTTCCTTTATTCATTTTATTATTTACGTGAAACCACAGAAAAAGGAAACCGTTTATTTTTTGTTTACAATTTGAAATTGACGTTTGAATTATAGGTTAACTCTCATTTTAATTACTTTGATAGATTAAAACTGCTTTTTCAGTTCGAAAAAGGTTTAAATAATTGAAATATTAAATTGGAAGTAATATTGTATTGTTTTTACCAATTTAATTCGGGAATATTTTTAAATTAACACATTTTAAAGATATTAAATAGTGCTTCCATCTATCGGATATACTGAAAAGCAAGTCAGGATAGCCAACGTTCGAAATGTATGAACGTAGGCAACCACGATAGCAGAAAATCAAAAAATTCTATTTTCAATGCTTTTATTGCTTAACAAGTCAACAATTTGTAAATGTTTTTGGTTTATATACAATCGCACTCCGTGCGATAACCTTAGATTATTAAAAACAGTTCACTGGGACGATAAATAAATAAAATTTAGATCATGGCATTAAATTATAATTATTGTTGTTAATCTGGCCAGACGTAGTCTTCGATGAAATCTAGGTAGGCCGATACGCGGGTATAAATGCTGGGGTGGTTCGATCCGCACCCCATTCCGTAAGAAGTCACTCCCACGATGGAGAAGAGACTGGAGTCTTTGAGGTTTTGGACTTGCAGGGGGCCCCCAGAATCCCCCTGAAAAATAAAATTTGCGTTATTTCGCGAAAACCTTGGACTATACACCGCAGGGATGTACATCCATGTGGTGTATGCTCTAAGGTTGAAAGAATAAAAATTATTGAAGTGTCATACTTGGCATGTGTCTGTTGTTTTCGTGGTGCTAGGATCTGCCGCGCACAATTGTTTTCTCGTTATGTCTTTGTTTACTCTACTTTTGTATAACTGAGTGCAGGTTGTCAAATTTGACGGCAAAATTGAAGCTTTTTGTAGAGCTTTCCAACTGTTCGCCATGTTTGCTAAAAAAATATTTAAAAATATAAAAAAACATATTTTGAGAGAGCTCTTTTAAAAAATTTTTAACGCGATTATCAGTGGTAGACATAAAAAACTCATTGCATTCTTTTAAATTGATACGACGATAAAATGAGTAATATCAAAAATGTGGTAGTACCTACTTTTATAAATATTTTAGATTTATACGAAAAAACATTTTGGTGAAATTTTTTTATTTGACGTTTTTTTTGCTTTATTATAAACCGTGGATTTTTTTGGAGCCTACTTAAGAGTATCAAAACACAATGAATTAATTTAATATTCACAAAGCACTATCAGGAATTTTAAAGAAAAATGGCAAAAATCACAATAAATTGTGTAAACAAATTTTTATAATGTCATAAAACACTATGTTAAAAAACTCATAACACTTGAGAATGTCCAAAAACACTATTAAGAATTAAGATTGTTGTGACAAGAATGTAACAAAACACAATTTAGAAGTCAAAAAAACACATTTTATAAGGTAAAAAACACAATTAACAAGCCAAAAAACACATTTTGAATGTCAAATTGAATGTCAAAAAATATTATTTAACCAAAATTAACAATCTTAAAAACACTAATAAGAATGTTAAACAACAAAAATTAAGAATGTTAGAAATTATAAACAAGATTATTTTTATAAGATTGTAAGTAAACACAATTTAGAAGTTAAAAAAACACATTAAGAAGCCAAAAAACACTTTTTGAATATCAAAAATTATAATTAAAACACAATTAACACCTTAAAAAACACTATTAAGAATGTTAAAAATAAAATCAATTAAGAATCTCAGAAATATCTCTAAAAAAATTATTTTTCCAAGAATGTCTCAAAACACAATTAAAAGCCAAAAAACGAATTTTGAAAGTCAAAAAATATAATTTAACCAAAATTAACAATCTTAAAAACCTCTATTAAGAATGTTTAAAAAACAATTAAGAATTCTTAACATTAATGTCGTAAACAAGATCCTTATTACAAGATTGTAACAAAACACAATTTAAAAGTTAAAAAACACATTGTATAATGTAAAAAAAACACAATTAAGAAGACAAAAATACAATTATTAGGAAGTCATAAACCACACTTGACTGTAAAAATATAATTTAAAAACACTTGGCAATCTTAAAAACACTATTAAGAACGTGAAAAAAATCAATTAAGAATGTCAGAAATCATAACCAAGATTCTTGTTACAAGAATGTAACAAAACACAATTTAAAAATATAGTGTAAAAACACAATTAAGAAGACAAAAAACAAAAGAATGTTAACAAAAAATCAATTACAAGAATGCAACAAAACACAAATTTAAAATTTAAAAAACACTTTTTATAATTACAATTAAGAATTCAAAAATCACAATTAAGAAACCAAAAATACAATTAGGAAGCCATAAAAAACACTTTTTACTGTAAAAAAATATAATTTAAAATCAATTAGCAATCTTAAAAAACACTATTAAGAACGTTAAAAAAATCGGTTAAGAATGTCAGAAATCATCACCAAGATTCTTGTCACAAGAATTTAACAAAACACAATTTAAAAATCAAAAAACACTTTAAAGTGTAAAAAACACAATTAAGAAGGCAAAAACACTACTAAGAATGTAAAACAAAAAATCAATTCAGAATGACAGAAATCTTGAACTGTTCTTGTTCTAAGAATGTAACTAAATACAATTTAAAAGTTAAAAACACATTGTATAATGTAAAAAACACAATTAAGAAGTCAAAATTGACAATTAAGAAGCCATAAAAAACACTATTTACTGTAAAAAATATTATTTAAAATCAATTAGCAATCTCAAAAAACACTATTAAAAACGTTAAAAAAAATCAGTTAAGAATGTCAGAAATCATAACCAAGATTCTTGTTACAAGAATTTAACAAAACACAATTTAAAAATCAAAAAACACTTTTTATAATGTAAAAATACAATTAAGAAGACAAAAAACACTACTAAGAATGTTAAACAAAAAATCAATTAAGAATGTCAGAAATCATGAACAACATTATTGTTACAAGAATGCAACAAAACACAATTAAGAAGCCAAATGGAAATATCAAAAAACACTATTTAAAACGTTAAACAAAAACATAATTAAGAATGTCAGTAATCATAACCAAGATTCTTGTTACATGAATGCAACAAAACACAATTTAAAAATCAAAAAACACTTTTTATAGTGTTACATCACTAAGAATGTTAAACAAAAAATCATTTAAGAATGTCAGTAATCATAAACAAGATTGCAACAAAAGACAAATTTTAAGTCAAAAAACTATAATTTAAGCACAATTAGCAATCTTAAAAAACACAATTTTAAAATCAAAAAACACAATTAAGAAGCTAAAAAACACATAAATTAAGAACTCAATTTAGAATGTCAATGTAGAATATAGAAATCATATTAGAAAATGTCGAAAACACATCACCCAAAAAAAGTCAAAATTTTCATGGTACTTACTATTTATAACTCCCCATCCGGTAATGGTGAGCCCTATGGGGTCGTCGTTTTCAGTGTACAGACACGCAGGCTCCACGTACTTGGTGATACGAGCCTCCCTGTCCAACTTCAACACGGCGATGTCGTTCCTTCGCGCCCTTATCACGTACTGAGGGTGCACGAGCGTGTCGACGATGTCGAAGTCCTGCTTGTGCTCGCTACCCTCGTCCGTGAGGTCGTTCTCCCCCAACCTCACCTTCTTCGGCTCGCCGTTGTTGGTCACCACGCAGTGCGCGGCCGTCAGGACGAACCGCGGGGCTATCAGCGAGCCCCCGCAGTTCCAGTTAACCGCGTCGCCCTCGTCCGAGGGGTAGCCGACGGCCGCCATGTGCGGGTACTCCCCCGCTTCCGCGTCCACGCCGTTTATTATGTGCCACGACAGCCTGGCCTCCGTCTTCTGCATGTACTGCTCGCAAGCTGAAAGGGTTTTGTGTCGAATGTCAAAAACACAATTCAGAATGTCAAAGGTAAATTGACAAAACAGAATCTTTCCATAGGTACCCGGACAACAATCGGGATTTCCTGGTGAAGTCATGATGATATCACAACGTGATTTTTTTATCACGCTGTGATATCCTGAGTGCATACACATGCTTCATCACAGTGATATCATGTAGAACTCACCGTGTGATATTTTCGAATAATTTCTTGGATTTAAATTAACTATATACATATAGTTAATTTAAATCCAAGAAAATATTGAATGTTAAACTGTTGATTCAATTGTTAACATACTTTTTCTTTCTATGTACAAATGTTTCGCAAAAATGAATATTCAAACACCGATGGCATAAAAAATCATGTCGTGATTTTTTATGCCATGTTTGGATATTTATTTTTGCGCCACATTCGTACATTGAGAGAAAAAGTATACCTACATATATGGATATTGAATCAACAGTTTTTTTGGTTAAATACATTCAATATTTTTTGGATTTAAATTAATAGTTAATTTACATCCAAGAAAAAATTAAAAGCATTTGACCACAAAAACTGTTAATTCAATTGTTAACATACTTTTTCTTTCAATGTACGAATGTGGCGCAAAAATAAATATCCAAACATGTCGGTGCACCGATGGCATAAAAAATCATGTCGTGATTTATTATGCCCAAACACCGATAGCATTAAAAATCATGTCGTGATTTTTATGCCATCGGTGTTTGGATATTTATTTTTGCGCCACATTCGCAGAAAAAAAGTATAGGTACCCACATATATATGGAATCAACAGTTTTTGTGGTTAAATACATTCAATATTTTCTTGGATTTAAATTAACTATATATAAATAATTTAAATCCAAGAAAATATTAAATGTATTTAACCGCAAAAACTGTTGATTCAACATCATTTTTCTCTTAGCAAAAATGATTATCCAAACACCGTTGGCATAAAAAATCACGAAATTTTCATTTCTCACGCAGTGACATCCGGATGATGTTCGTATGAATAAAATTTGAGAAAATCACGACGTGACGTTCGTATGATTTTCATTTATCACGCGTTGACTTCCGTATGATATCAGTATGAATAAAATTTGTGAAAATCACGACATGATGTTCGTATGAATATCACGATTGTTGTCCGGGTACTATGCTCCACACCTCAAAGTCCCACCACGTGACCACGTACGGAACGCTGTCTTTTGAAAATTTGGCATTTAAGGCTTTTCAGGTTATGTACCTGTCAAAGTATAGTCAATGAAAGAAATAATATTTATAGTGTTACCGCTTATGTTTAAGCGTTAAAAGTTAATAAATCTTTATAGTATCACAATAACAATGGTTGGTTTAAGAATTTAGGAATATAAATACTGAATTTAATGAAATTCCAAAGTGTAAGGTGCAATATAAGCGATATTTTTGTGCATTGGGTCTACATTTCTCCATAAAATAGTTTTAACTAAATAGCATTTATTAAAAAAATCTAACTTCTCTATTATGAAATAAGAATATCTGTATCAAAGATGGTTAATGTATTAGAACAAAAAATATCATCTAATTTTGTATTTTAAGGTTAGAAAAATCTATTTTGACCAAAATAAATAAGTGGATTATTTGAAAGAGTGTGTTAATATGGTCATAAATAAATATAGGTATACTAAATAATTGTTGAATATAGTTCAAATTAAATTGAAGCTTTTATACTTCTAACGACAAAACTTGTGCATACCTCTCGGCATACTTACTTTAAGTTAAATTATAAGAAAACAAACAATTTTTAGAGAAACTTGCAATGTGAAAATATTTAATACTCCCATGACATGTGATTTATTAAATTTTTTAAAGTTATAATGATTTTTCGATGTAGATCAAGTTCAGTCAAAGCTTTTTAACTATTTGTATTGACAAAACTTTATGTAGGTACACTTTAAGCTGGATAAGAAAAACTACCACATTTTTAAATACCATATTATTCAGTCTTTTAAATAATCCAAAATACTTATTTATTTTGGTCAAAATAAATTGTTCTAACCTTAAAATTACAAACTAGATGATATTTTTGTTATAATATATTAACCTACCTTTAAAACAGATATTCTTATTCCACAATAGAGAAGCTAGATTTTTTTTAATAAATGCTGTTTAGTTAAAATTATTTTATGGAGAAAACCAGATATTTGGACCAAATGCACAAAATAAGTATTACTTATTTTGCACCATACATTTTAGAATTTTATTAAATGCAGTATTTATATTCTTAAATTCTTAAACCATCCATTGTTATTTTAATGTTATAAAGATTTATACTTTTTTAACGCCTAAACATAATATTATTTCTTTCGTTGACTATACTTTGACAGATACATAACCTGAAAAGCCTTAAATGCCAAGTTTTCAAAAGACTGCGTTCCGTACGTGATCACGTGGTGGGACTTTGAGGTGTGGAGCATAGTACCTGTCACACTTTTTCTCGCCCTGCTCTTCGCTCTAGTTTGCGTGCGTTGTCCCTTGTCCTTGTTTTCGTCGTTATCATCTATCGCAGGCTCTCTGTTTGTGTCGACATCAGGGCAACACACCACCTCTTCTACCCCCTTGAAGCCGCACCTGCGCAGGCTGTGTTTTTGGTACTTTCGCAGTTGCTCTAAACCTGTGGGGCACATGCGCATTTCCCTGCACACGCCCGTCAAGTTTTCCTTGGTAGTGCAAGGGTCGCCATCTAGATAAAAAGATTTTATATATATAGTAAAAACATCACACCCAAGTTGAGTGAGTCACCACAATAAAAATTACTATTGTCCATGGCTGTACCTAACATAAAATATAAAAAAATATGGCTATAAAACGGCGTCACCTACGAAAACTAAATTTGGCACATAAATGTAAATTTTACTTAAATATCTCTATCCTCGAGATATTTACTGTTAATGATAAAAACAATTGAAAATAAAATGAAAATATAACTTTTTTATTATAGGTACGTTTTACAAAAAAACATTCTTCTGATTGTTTAAAAAATGAGATTTCCAATAAAAAAATTTGACTTAAATAAACACCCTTTACATACTATTACTATTGTCCATGGTTATATATATGTATATGTATATACTATAGTTCCTTGAAAAAAACTATTTTTGTAAATGTCTGGGTTTCTGTACACCCTGTATATTCTTTATGGTTCATTATATTCTCCTGAATTTTTAATAGCTTTTTATGAATCTTATGAATTTTTATTGCTATTTATTATTAATAAAACTTCATTTTTATTTGTTTTCTGTTATGTTTATTATCTTTATTTACAATTTATATAAATCCCATTCGAATTTTATGAATTATGGAAATTTTCCCACTTTTTTATACAAGGTGTCCCAAATTTGTGGTGCGTAATTTTTATGACACCTTGTATAATTTTTACTCGGTAGCAAAAATGTAAATACCCGACTACTTTAGTAATATTAATAATTATTATAATTACCCATTTCCGTTTACATTACAATCTCCAAAACGCTTCAAAAAAGATTATTTTTCCATTAAAATAAAAATTTGCATTGGAGGCCTTAAAACTTGTTCACGAAAATCGCTTATAAATAAAGTTAACAATTGTTATGAATTTTCGGAAAGTTTTAGCGTTATTAAAACAAATAGGCAATTCTTTGAACTTGAAACACCTAAACAAACCAAACACAGAAACCAGTTTTTATGAATTTTTTATTTAATATACGGAAAAAAATCCAGTGTAGATTGATACATCCTATATATATATATATACCTCAATTATATGCGAATTCTACAAAATTTTGTTTTGATAACAAATATTCGTTTATTAAACAAAAAAAACAAAAACATTGTCTTGTATCAAACTAAAACAATTTTGCAACTTTTTAATTTGTGTGGTTATCGATATATATATACCGATAAAAATTTACCTATAAATTCAAATTTTGTACGCAAATTTAGGGTATACCGTCAAAAATAACTTTACCTACCATCGGCACAAAAAACACCAACAATCACAATAAAAAAAAACACGAAAATCCTCATAGTTTTCCCGAATAGAAACGTCACCAAATTTTAACAGGACAAACTAAAATTCATTTTAACACGCTAGCAGGCGCTTAAAACAATATCCATAGCAACGGCGGAAAAATCACTGACGTTGATTGGCAAAGCGCGTCGAATAAATGAAGATCGGATTCTGCGACTTAAAATGCGCATGCGTGTGTTATGCGTAACAAAAAAATAGAAATAAGTCAAAACTTATCTACTGTCTTGCAGTGCATGCATAATAATCAGAACCTAAAAACTTTTAAGGGTATGGAATTGTTGTTATTGCCCATTAATTAAATAATTTATTGGAACCGTAATTATCCCAAAAACAATGGTTTAATAAATATAAGGTTGATTGGAGGAAAACAAAAAATCGTAAAAAAAAAAAATTTATTGAAATATTAAAACGTGATTGTACACAGTCTCAACGTATTGAACAGCCTTGTAAAAACATGCCCGTAATCGGGAAAATCGCTGGTCAGATTTTCCACGACTTTTCCCAGCTTGTTGTTCAGATCTTTTTGCTTTCCGTACTCGCTCGTCAGGTGTTTTTCCGTCCTGTAAATCGTGTAGGGTTGCCTACCTTTTGACAGCTCGGTCAGCATGCTGACCTTCTTTTGTTTTGCAAGCAGCAGTTCGAACTTTAGCTGTCTGTCAGTTTTGACGTTTTCCGTCAACTCTTGAAAACGTTGACACTCGGTTTTTATTTCTTCGACCTCATTTTCCACTTCTTCAGTCTGTTGTTTTACTTCTTCAATATTATCGTCCAGTTGTTTGGATTTTTCTTCGAAGTCTTGCATTGCCTGAATAAAAAATGTTTATTCAATCAAATTCACCCTGTAATATGGTTACTTACAATTTCAATCAAGAATGTCAAAATCTTTTAAAAATGTAAAAAACACATTTAAGAATGTCAGAATAACAAGAATTTAAAATGTCAAAAAACACATTTTAAAATGTCCAGCTTATTCAAGAATGTCAAAATCTTTTTAAAATGTAAAAAAAACACATTTAAGAATGTCAGAATTACAAGAATTCAAAAAACCTGTTTAAGAATTTAAAAAACCCATTTTAGGATATGTCAAAAACACATTTTAGAGTGCCAAAAACACTTTTAAAATGTGAAAAAACACATTTTAGAATGTCCAGCTTATTTAAGAATGTCAAAATCTTTTAAAAATGTAAAAAAACACTTTTAGAATTAGAATTATAATTACATTTAAGAATTCAAAAAACATGTTTAAGAATTTTAAAAACCCATTTTAGAATCTCTAGCTTATTCTAGAATGTCAAAAACACATTTTAGAATGCCAAACTTATTTTAGAATGTCAATCATTTTTTTTTAAATGTCAAAAAACACATTTTAGAATGTCCAGCTTATTTTAAAATGTCAAAAACTCCTTTAAAAATGTAAAATTTAAGAATGTCAGAATCTCATTTAAGAATTTAAAAAACCTGTTTAAGAATTTCAAAAACCCATTTTAGGATCTCTAGCTTATTCTAGAATGTCAAAAATACATTTTAGAGTATTAAAAACACTTTTGAAATATGTAATGTAATATGGTTACTTACATTTTCAATCTTTTTAATTTTATTCCGTATGTCATCAGATTTTTTCGTATAGTTTATTCTCGTTTTATTCTGTCCAGATCTTTTTTCTATGGAATCAGACAGTTGAAAAATCGCACTGCGTCTGGTAATACACTGTTCCATATCTATAACCAATTTTTCCTGTGCTTTCCTTAATTGTGCATACCTTACCTACAAAATTACCAAAAAATTACCAACAAATTACTAAAAAATGACCAAAATAACCTAAAATTACCAAAATATGACCAAAAAATTACCTGCATGCGGTGCAATTCGGCCTTCATCTGCCCCACTTCACCGCCATCCGATTGCGATTCCTTCATGTTATCTTTCGTTTCTTTGGTCATGATCAACTTTTTTTCCCACTCCAAAATTTCCCGGTTCACATCGACCAACTCCTTGCTCAAATTGACTTTTTCGTTCTCGATTTCCATGGTTTCCGCTTCTATGCGGAGACATTCGAGCTCGGAGTCCTAAATTAACGAAAAATTACCACGCGGGAAAAATTACTCGGCGGTGATTTTTCGCTTACCCGTAGTCGGACGTCGTAGTGATTTTTTAGGATGTCGTTGGTGTGATCCAGGTCGGTTTTTTTGTCCTTTTTCTTAAATAGAGAGTCGCATAGAATGACGACTTTACTTTGCAGTTTTCTGATGTTTCTCTCGATTTTTTCCAGTTCCAATTTCGTTCTCTCTATATCGTCGGTGATTTTGAAGTTTTTCTGCTCGGTTATAAGGATTTCTGCAATGATAGAGTAATAATTACCTTTAAATTACTATACAGGTTATTGTTAAAACGGGGCCTCAGATCAAAAAAAGTTATTCTTGAAAAAGTGTTTAAAATTGCCCAATCTGTATATTTACGTTTTTTGAGCAAGTTTTTGTCGTGCATTTGCTCTTGCCGTTCTCTTGACATCGACAGCAGGTTCTTCTGCTCCCTCAGCCAATAGGATTGCAGTTCTTTGATGGTTTCCATGGTTTCGTCGACACTTTTTTCCAAGGCGACTATTCGCAAATCTTGCGGCGACCCCTTCAATTGGTCCTGAGTGCCGAAAGTTTTTTCCAGCTTGTTGGTCAGGAGTTCCAACTGGCCGACTTTTTTCCGTATTTCGATGTCCAAATGGGAGATTTTCGATTGGATTTCGTTCTCTTCAGCTTCCAGTTTTTTGCTTTTCTCTAAAACTTTTTCGTATTTTTCGCTTTGGCTTTCCGAAGAAAATCTCAACTTATCTATTTGAGATACGAGGTTTATATTTTTGTTGTCTATATCCGCAAGCTTGAGCTCCTATAGAACATATTGTTTATGGTTAACTTAGGGTGTTATTAATGAGAGTTCTATAATTGCTGTTTTCGCGGAGAAACTACTTTCTTTCAAAAAACACATTTAAGGATGGCAAAAAAATATTTAAGAATGTCAGAAACACGTTTAAGAATTCCAAACACTCATTTTAAAATCTCTGGCTTATTTTAGAATGTCAAAAACACAAAATGGCCAGCTTATTTTAGAAAAAAAAAACACTTTTATGAATATCAAAAAACATTTGAGAATGTCAGAATTAAATTTAAGAAATAATTTTGTTTTAAAAAAAGGCTAGCTTATTTTAAAATGTCAAAAACTCTTTTATTAAGAATGTCGAACTCTTTTATTAAGATGTCAAAACACATTTAAGAATGTCAGAATTACATTTAAGAATGTCACTTTTATGAATGTTAAAAAAACATTTTATATTTTAGAATGTCAAATACTCTTTTAAAATTTCAAAAAACACATTTAAGTATTCCAAAAACGGATTTTAGAATCTCTAGCTTATTCTAGAATGTCAAAACGATATTTCTTTTATCACTTTGTAGATTATGGCATCCTAATGTTATGAGGAATGTCAAAACACATTTAAGAATGTCGAAACACATTTAAGAATGTCAGAAAAACATTTAAGAATTCCAAAAACCCATTTTAAAATATCTGGCTTATTTAAAATTTCACTTTTGAATGTCAAAAAACACATTTAAGAATGTTAGAATCACATTTAAGGATTCAAAAAACATGTTTAAGAATTTTGAAAACCCATTTTATTCTAGAATGTCAAAAACACATTTTAGAATGCCAAACTTATTTTAGAGTGTCACTTTTAAGAATGTAAAAAAAATTATAGAATGTCCAGCTTATTTTAGAATGTCAAACATTCTTTTAAAAATGTTAAAAACACATTTTAGAATGTCAAAAACACTTTTAAAAATGTAAAAAAAACATTTAAGAATGTCGGAAAACATTTAAGAATTCAAAAAAACATGTTTAAGAGTTTCAAAAACCCATTTTAGTATTTCTAGCTTATTCTAGAATTTCAAAAACACATTTTAGAATGCCAAACTTATTTTAGAGTGTCACTTTTAAGAATGTCAAACATACATTTTAGATTGTCCAGCTTATTTAAGAATGTCAGGAAAACACTTTTAAAATGTCAAAAAACACATTTTAAAATGTCCAGCTTATTCAAGAATGTCAAAATCTTTTAAAAATGTAAAAAAGAAGAAATAATGTCAGAATTACAAGAATTCCAAAAACCCGTTTTAGGATCTCTAGCTTATTCTAGAATGTCAAAACACATTTTAGAATGCCAAACTAATTTTAGAGTGCCACTTTTAAAAATGTCAAACATACATTTTAGAATGTCCAGTTTATTTTAGAGTGTCAAAAACACTTTTAAAATGTCAAAAAACACATTTTAGAATGTCCAGCTTATTTAAGAATGTCAAAATCTTTTAAAAATGTAAAAAACACATTTAGAATTAGAATTATAATTACATTTAAGAATTCAAATAACATGTTTAAGAATTTTGAAAACCCATTTTAGAATCTCTAGCTTATTCTAGAATGTCAAAAATACATTTTAGAATGCCAAACTTATTTTAGTGTGTCACTTTTAAAAATGTCAAAAAACACATTTTAGAATGTCCAGCTTATTTTATAATGTGAAAAACTCCTTTAAAAATGTAAAATTTAAGAATGTCAGAATCTCATTTAAGAATTTCAAAAACCATTTTAGGATCTCTAGCTTATTCTAGAATGTCAAAAACACATTTTAGAATGCCAAACTAATATTAGAGTGTTACTTTTAAGAATGTCAAACATACATTTTAGAATGTCCAGTTTATTTTAGAGTGTCGAAAACACTTTTAAAATGTCAAAAAACACATTTTAGAATGTCTAGCTTGTTTAAGAATGTTAAAAACCCATGTAGCTCCGCAAAAACAGCTAATAATGGTCACTTACCGCTACCCTATTGACTTTTTTCTGATCTTTGATCATCTGGTTGACATGTTGCGCAGCTTTGTCATTCAAAACTAACACGTCGAGCATTTTGACGATATCTTGCTCTTTATTTTGTATTTTTATCAGTAGTTGGTCGATTTCTTTGCTGACCACTTGTATAGCAGCTTCTTTGTGTTTTTTTTCCTAAATCAGATGAAAGAAATAAAATTCAATTTTAAATTATTCGTATTTATTACGGTTACGACATCCTCGATGTCTTTGGATATTTGATCGATCGTTTCGTTCAGCTCGTCGATTTGCACGTCATAACCTTGATATTTGAGCAGTTCCTCTTCCGTTTTGCTCTTGTAACCGTTTATTTCGCACGTTATTCTGTGCTTGTCGTACGTGTGTTTCTCGTTCTCGACGTGCTCGTTCTTGATCAGCTTCTTGACCTTGTCGATCTCGCTCAGCACCGCCTTGTACTTCAGTTCCAATTTCCTGAAAGAAAAACCTTAAAAATTAACATTAATCCTCGTCTCGCTCACCCTTCTTCTTCTCTGAGGCAGTTCAGCACTTTGTCGCGGTTGCCGACGGCGACAACGACGGAGTTCCACGAGTGCATGAGGCAGCGGTGCTCGGCCTGGATCGCCTCGATGTTCGTGTTGCCCTGCGCGACCGTCAGCGCCATCTCTTCGCGTTCGGTCTCTTTGACGCGCAGCTGCATGTCCATGGTCTCCAGATCCGATTCCAGGCGCCATATTTCTTTCATCACTTTGTATATTATGGCGTCCTAATGTCAAAACACATTTTAGAATGTCAAAAACTTTTAGAATTTAAGAATGCCCAGTATATTTTAGAATGTCAAGACACATTTTAAAATGTTAGAAAAACATTTAAGAATGTCACATGTAAGAATTAATTTTAAAAAAAGGGCTTGCTTATTCTAGAATGTCCAGCACATTCTAGAATGTCAAAAACAAATTTTAGAATGTCCAGCTTATTTTGGAATGTCAAACACTCTTTTAAGAATGTCCTAACACATTTAAGTATGTCATAAAAACATTTAAGAGTATCAGATTCACCTTTAAGATTTTTTTAAAAGGATTGCTTATTCTAGAAAGTCAAAAACACATTTTAGAATGTCCAGCTTATTCTAGAATGTCAAGACACATTTAAGAATGTCAGAAAAACATTTAATAAGGTGACATAGCTTATTCTAGAATTTCAAAAACACATTTTAGAATGTCCAAACACATTTAAGTATGTCGGAAAAACATTTAAGAATGTCAGAATCACGTTTAAGAATTGTTTTTATTTTATTATTTATTTATTAATTATTTTTATTTATTTATTCTAGAACACATTTTAGAATATCCAGCTTATTTTAGAATGTCAAACACTCTTTTAAAAATGTCCAAGCAAATTTGAGAATGTCAGAATCACATTTAAGATTTTTTTTTAAGGCTAGCTTATTCTAGAAAGTCAAAAACACATTTTAGAATGTCCAGCTTATTTTAGAATGTCAAACACTTTAAAGAATGTCCAAACACATTTAAGAATGTCCAAACACATTTAAGAATGTCCAAACACATTTAAGAATGTCAAACACTCTTTTATAAGAATGTCCAAACACATTTAAGAATGTCAGAATCACCTTTAAGATTTTTTAAAAAGAATTGCTTATTCTAGAATGTCAAAAACACAATTTAGAATGTCCAGCTTATTCTAGAATGCCAAGACACATTTAAGAATGTCAGAAAAACATTTAACACTCTTTTAAGAATGTCCAAACACATTTAAGTATGTCGGAAAACATTAAAGAATGTCAGAATCACGTTAAAGAATTGTTTTTATTTTATTAATTATTTATTTATTATTTTTAATTATTTATTCTAGAACACATTTTAGAATATCCAGCTTATTTTAGAATGTTAAACACTCTTTTAAGAATGTCCAAGGAAATTTTAGAATGTCAGAAAAACATTTGAGAATGTCAGAATCACATTTAAGATTTTTTTTTAAGGCTAGCTTATTGTAGAAAGTCGAAAACACATTTTGGAATGTCCAGCTTATTTTAGAATGTCAAACAATTTTAAGAATGTCCAAACACATTTAAGAATGTCAGAATCACATTTAGGATTTTTTTTACAGGCTAGCTTATTCTAGAATGTCAAAAACACATTTAAGAATGTCCAGCTTATTTTAGAATGTCAAACATTCTTTTAAGAATGTCCAGCTTATTTTAGAATGTCAAACAATTTTAAGAATGTCCAAACACATTTAAGAATGTCAGAATCACATTTAGCTATAGCTTATTCTAGAATGTCAAAAACACATTTAAGAATGTCCAGCTTATTGTAGAATGTCAAACACTCTTTTAAGAATGTCCAAACACATTTAAGAATGCCAGAAAAACATTTAAGAATGTCAGAATCACATTTAAAATTTTTTTTTAAAGGCTTCTCATTTAAGAATGTCAAAAACACATTTTAGAATGTCCAGCTTATTTTAGAATGTCAAGACACATTTAAGAATGTCAGAAACACGTTTGGGAATTCCAAAAACCCATTTTATAATCTCTAGCATAATTTAGAACGTCAAAAACACATTTAAAAATGTCCAGCCTATTTTGGAGTGTCAAAAACACATTTTAAAATTTCCAGCTTATTTTAGGATGTCAAAAAACACTTTTATAAATGTCAAAAAACATTTAAGAATGTCAGAATCACATTTAAGAAATAATTTTTTTAAGCTTGCTTATTCTGGAAATTTAAAAACACATTTCAGATTGTCCAGCTCATTTTAGAATGTTAAAAAGCTTTTTAAGAATGTTCAAACATTAAATCTCTGGCTTATTTTAGAGTGTCAAAAACACTTTAACGAATGTCAGAATCACAGTTAAGAATTCAAAAAACACGTATAAGAATTTCAAAAACCCATTTTAGAATCTCATTCTAGAATGTCAAAAATACATTTTAGAATGTCAAAACACTCTTTTAAAAATGTCAAAAAATACTTTTAAAATATCTAGTCAAAAAATATTTAAGAATTTCAGAACATTTAAGAATTCAAAGAATCCATTTAAAATTGTCAAGCTTATTTTAAAATGTCAAAACACATTTAAAAATTTCAGAAAAACAATTAAGAATGTCAGAAACACATTTTAAAATGTTAAAAACAAAATAAAGAATTTAAAAAAAAAACAATTTTAGATTGTAGAAACACTAAAAAAAATCGCCAAATTTGTTTACCTGTTTTACTTTTTCTTTAGCAAGCAAAGTATTTTGTTTCCTTGTTTTTTCTGCGATGCGTTGATTGACAGTTATATTCGATTCGATTTTGTTTTCCCATTCGCTCATTTGATGAATCAACAAATTGGTCGCTTCCACTTCCGTTCGTAACTCAGCGCCTAGAACAAATTAATTCACATAAACTGAACCTAGGCAACACAGAAAACACACTTCTTTTTTCGGCTTGCATCAACTTGTCTCGGGCCTCTTTGTTTTTGGCTTTTTCCTCCTTAAGCGTCTCCTCCATGGCCTCCCTTGCAGCAGTCATTTCTTCGAGACTTTCAACGCTCTCCTCCAAGACTTTTTGTTGTTTGCACAACACTTGTTGGGCTTCGTAGGACTTAACCCCGATGTGCTCCTTTTCTTCGTTCTTTTTTGCCGTTGAGACTTCCTAAAAGAAAAAATCCATCTATATCTATGACGCAAAATTTGAATGTATTTTTCCGCAATACTAAAATAACTTACATATTCAAAAATCTCCCCTTTTAGGCTGTCGATTTGCGCCAACAAATGGTTTTTTAAAGCTTTTTGAAACTTTTCTAAAAGTGGATGGTCTGGACTTAAAACCGGTAGCTGTTGAATATCATCGCTAAAAATGTTTAAAAAATCCAATTATGTTTAATAAAAAAATAGAATAACTTACGGTTTTTTATTTTCCAAATCCATTTTGTAAAAATAGTAAAAATGTTTGCATTAAAAATGCCAATATTGATTAAACTTTGACAACATATAACAAATTAACGGTTGCCATGGAATTTTTCTATACTTGTTTGGTCAATGGGAATAATGTTAGGGTTTTAAGGCGTTTTATACCGTAGTTTTAGACAGTTCAAAGGAATTTAAAAAATTTAGACAGTTTTAAGACACTTTTGTAATTTTACCACTATAATTTCTAATTAAATAGCATTCAAAAAAGGGAGGGAATTTGCATAACACGTGGTCGGAAGCTGGCGCCCTCTAGCGTCGCTTCGGCCAACCTAAAAACTCCAAATCTCCCAGCTGTCAATTGTCGTAGAATTTAGAGGTTGTTTTTAAAGCAATTTTCCTCCGTTTGATTTCCGCCGTAAATTAAAATCGCGCAGAAAAATGTCCGAGGACCAGAAAAACGCTTCCGACCAAGAAAATAACTGCGTCGTTTGCTGTAAAACGTTGGAAATTTATTCGTATGGCATATGCGACCATCCAGTGTGTTTTGAGTGCTCTACGAGGATGAGGGTTTTATGCAAACAGAACGAGTGTCCTCTATGCAGACAGGACCTTCCCAAGGTAATAAAGGATTGCACGAAAAATGCCATACTTATTTGGGTCGTAACCCTATGGTGCAACTTGGCAAATACATTTCTCCTATTTAAAATTCGTTATATAACAGTCAACTCTTTACGGACTCTTGTTAGTTGCTTATTTAATATGTATTTACGTTTTGTAGTGATTTTTTACATTATAACCCTACTTTTTAATAGCTTTTGACACAGTATGATATCATGACATTCTAGACGTTTTCGAGTTATTTTAGGCGCGAAATTTTCTTGTAGGTTATATTTACAAAGTCCGTGGAACCCTTCAACACAATTTTCCAACGCTTCGAGCGCTCAAACTTGCAGGACCGCAAGTTCGGATTGTTTTTCTGCACTTTGGACATACAGAAGGGCTATTGGAAGCTCCTCGAGCATCGTTGCAGCATCTGCGATGAAAACGAGGAGAAAAAGTGGCCGTTCAGGTCTTTCAATCAGCTCAAAGACCACATGCGGAGGGAGCACGAGTTGTTTTATTGCGATTTGTGTTCAGAGCATCTTAAGATTTTTAGTTTTGAGAGGAAGACCTACACTAGGCAAGAGTTGGGGTTGCACCGTAGAAAAGGTAAGTTCAGATAGCATTTTTTTTACTTGGGGCAGTATTAAGACTTTTTTACACAGATACCTTGGATAGTTTTTTGTCAAATTACAGTTCCTTGAAAGTTTATTTAGTTTTCAAGCTATTTGGAGACATTTTAGACAGTTTCCAGATAATTTTTTAGTTCCAAGACAGTTTTAACAGTTTTTGAAATTTTAGGCAGTTTTTAGACATACTAAACTATTTGTAAGTCAATTTTAGACAGTTCTGTCAATTTTTAAACATTTCAGACAGTTACAAGACAATTTAGACAGTTTTTAAGCTATTTGAAGACATATTGGGTAGTTTTTAGACGAACTAGACGATTTTAAGTCAATTTTAGACTGTTTTGTCAGTTCCCAGACATTGTTTTAAATTGTAGACAGTTCCAATACAATTTAGACACTTTTTAAGCTAGTTGGAGACATATTGGACTCTACACAATTTTTAAGTAAATTTTAGAAAGTTTAGACCGTTTTTAGGCTATTTGGAGGGATTTTAGACATACTAGAAAATTTTAGACAGTTTTCAGATAATGTTTTTAAGTTGTACAGTTCCAAGACAGTTTTTTGAGATATTTTAGGCAGTTTTAGACGATTTTTAAGTCTATTTTAGTAAGTTAGTTTTGTTAATTTTTAACATTATAGACAGTTCCAAGACATTTTAGACAGTTTTTATTTGGAGACATTTTAGTCAATTTTTTAATCAATTTTGGACAGTTTGTGGCAAATTTTAAATATTTTAGACAGTCCCCAGACAATTCTTTATAATGTAACAGTTTCAAGACAATTTTTTGAAGACATTTTAGTTTTGTCAATTTTTAAACATTTTTTATATTCCCTAGACAATTCTTTAAAATTTGACACTTTCAAGACAGTTTAAACACTTGAGACATTTTATGCAGTTTAAGACATACTAGACGATTTTTTAGTCCATTTTATACAGTTTTCAGATAATTTTATAGTTCTAAGAGTTTTTTTCAAATTGTTTAGACATTTTATACAGTTCCGAGACAGTTTAAACAGGTTTTAAACTATTTGGAAACATTTTAAACTGTTATTAGACATACCCAAGTCTATTTTAGACAGTTTTTGAAATATTTTAAAATTTTTCCAGACAATTTTTTTTTTAAACTTTAGATACATAGTTCCAAGACAGTTTAGACACTTTTTAAGCTATTTTAGAAAATTTTGAGAAATCCTATACGATTTTTGTTAATTTTAGAGAGTTTTTGCCATTTTTAGACATTTCATGCAGTTTCAGAACAATGTTTTAATTTCAGACAGTTTCAAGAGAGTTTAAACAGTTTTTAAACTATTTGGAGACAGTTCGCAATTTTTAGTAATTTCAGGCAGTTTACAGACAATTTTTTTAATTTTCAGACAGTTCCAAGAGAGTATAGACAGTTTTTAAGCTTTTGGGAATATTTTAGACATACTAGATATTTAACAATTTTACAGGCAAATTTTGAAATTTCAGACAGTTCCAAGAGAGTTTAGACAGTTTTTAAGCTATTTGGGAATGTTTTAGACATACTAGACAATTTGCAATTTTCAGGACAAATTTTTAAGTTTTAGACAGTTCCAAAAGAGTTTTAAACAGTTTTTAAAATATTTGGAGACATTTTTTAGACAGTTTTTAGAGTTGCTAGATAATTTTAAGTCAATTTTACAGTTTGCAATTTTTAGACATTTCAGGCAGTTTGCAGACAATTTTTAAAAAATTTAGATGGTTCCAAGAGATTTTAGACAGTTTTTAAGCTATTTGGGCATATTTTAGACATACTAGACAATTTGAAATTTTGCAGGAAAATTTTGAAATTTCACATAGTTCCAAGAGGGTTTAGACAGTTTTTAAGCTTTTGGGGATATTTTAGACATACTAGATAATTAACAATTTTCCAGGTAAATTTTTAAATTTCATACAGTTCCAAGAGAGTTAAGACAGTTTTTAAGTTATTGGAGGATAGTTTAGACATACTAGACAATTTTCAATTTTCCAGACAAATTTTCAAATTTTAGTTATTTCCAACAGAGTTTAAACAGTTTTTAAATTATTTGGAGATATCTTAGACAATTTTTAAAGTTATTAAATAATATTAGATTATTATTATTAGATAATTTTAAATTAAAATTAGACAGTTTGCAATTTTTAGTAATTTCAGGTAGTTTGCAGACAATTTTTTAAAATTTCAGACAGTTCCAAGATAGTTTAGGCAGTTTTTAGGCTATTTGTGGTTGTTTTAGACATACCTACTAGACAATTTGCAATTTTCCAGGCAAAATTTGAAATTTCAGACAGTTCCAAGAGAGTTTAAACAGTTTTTAAAATATTTTTAGGCATTTTAGACAGTTTTTGGACTTACTAGATAATTTTAAGTCAAGTTTAGACAGTTTGCAATTTTTAGAAATTTCACACAGTTCCAAGACAATTTTTTAGATTTTAGACGGTTCCAAGATAATTAAGTTTTTAAGCTATTTGGAGACAGTTCCAAAACTACTTGAAGACATTTTAAATTATTATTGTTTGATATTAATAATAATAATAATAATAAACGACTTTATTTGATATAAGCATCCACTAACATCAAAAAGTTCAATCAAAGATTGTTCTTCCACTTATTATTGTACACAGTTTTTACACAAACTTGATGTTTTTTAAGGCATTGCAATTTTTAGACATTTTAGAAAATTTTTCGGAATTTTTTACAGTTTCAATAAAATTTAAGGTATTGCAATTCTGATTTTATATAAATGTTTTAGTATAGAAAATATACACAACATATTAAAGCAAATAATATCCAATATTTTCTCGCAAAGGTGATCCCGACAACACCTCGCACCGCGGCCATCCACTATGTCAATTTTGCGACACTCGTTTCATGGACGCAGACGACCTCTTCAGGCATCTGCGCAGAACGCATCTCTTCTGCCACTTCTGCGACGCAGACGGTAAGAATGGGGTAGTTAAATTTTTTCTGACCTATACTTTTTATGGTTTTATTCAAGGCGTTTTGTAATATTAAACATTTCTGTGAAATCGGAATTTCAATTGAGTTTAGCGTTTTCGAGATATTTACAAAAAAAATCTCCTAATTACGTCACTAGGCTATTGACAACGTTGCCAGCATTTTCTATGGTTGCCAGTGTGTTTAGTTTAAGATTCTTACGATAGATGGCGCCACGTTATAATATTTTAGTTTTAAAACCACTTGATCTATAATTTTAGTCGAGAAGAAGAAGAAGAATTGATTTTTTGACGTTTCTTTTTTTCGGGTTATGTTTTTTTTAAATTTAGATTATTGAAAATCAATGTTATTGTTATGTTATTTGTAATTGATATTAGATAAGTGATTTATTAATAACCGACTCCAAAGCAGAGGAATCTTGTGGAATGGTTGGTTACATTGAACATTGGAGCTTTTAAACAAATAAAGTACCTAAGTACCTATAATTATAATCATATTTTGTCGTAAATGCATTTCATTAGTATAAGGCCTAGTTCTTTATATTTTTTTAGATAAACTCCTGGACAAAATTAACGCAACATCAAAAAATTTGCCACATTTTTTATGCTATTTTTTTGTTGAATTTATGATCCGATTTGAATAATTTTTTTTTTGCATTGTAGGTTGGTTCCTTGACAATGTCATAATTTTCGCTGTTTATGATAAAAAGTTCATTTTCGATTTATACCGGGTGTAATAAAAATGGAATGTTTTTTTCCGAAAATTCGTATCACCCTGTGGAGTATACTAGCAACCGAAACATATACCAGTTGACATTAGACGGTAGGTTCATCTTTCGCCAACATTTTCTTTTTTGGTTTACTTCATTATCTCTG